TCCAAACTTCATTTTTTTTTTCAAATTACTGTGAACATTATGAATTGTCTTCGACTATATAACAGCCAAGAAAACTGACTTTGAGCTGCCAGGAGAGGGCAGTATTCCAAAAGGGAACGAAATGGCGATTATCGCATTTTGGAAACAAACACTTCAAATCCATTCCACTGTAAAGAAAATACTACAGCTTGACAAATTCTCATGTCAATGTATTAAAAGTTTTAGCTGATGGCAGGATGTTTTTGCAAGACCATCCCCCATCAATTCCAAACATGTACATGAAAACTTTGCAAGTATAAAGTAAGCTTAATTAGTTAGCTTTAACCTTTAGTTACAATAAAATACTTATTGGTAGACAATAATGTTTTACAACAACCTGAGAACTATCGGTATGTCTAAGTAGTATTTGTTGTTATGATTGTGTGAAAACTGAAAACTCAAAGTTTTGATTAAGTGTTAACAATCCAAAATCATCAAATTTTAATGATTGTTCACACACCCAATTGAACATAAAATACATGTACCCTAGCATAAAAAAATACCTCATTTATGTTTAATCAAAGACCAGCGCATCTTTAAGAGGAACAAATAGCTCCTAAAGTGTCAACTTCAGACTTTTTGACCACTCACACCTCAAATTGTAATGTTACAATTATAGCAGCTTTTAAATTTTAATACATGTACTGGCCCTATCACTATGCCAACTGGGCTCCCAAACCGCAGTATGGGGTTACGCCATCTCCAGTTACCAAGGTAATAATTACCTAGGCAACACCCTGATGTGAGGTTTTTCCAAGGATCTGGCGCCTCCTATAACAAAATACTTGAAACAACCAAGAACCAACCACAACAAGTATCATGAACAGCTTCAGAAAAGTCTTCTTATATATTTTTGCAGATATTTCCTTTATGCTCTAACGGTAGATTTTGAGAAATGCAGGATCAACGACAATGATTGACAGTCTCTCCTCAATGGTCGACACAGAGTACATATTGTACTTATCTGCTGCTAATGACCCCTCTGTTTCTAACAACTTCTGGAATGTCAAATTCTCCAGAGATGAAGTTTTCTTGTAACTGATCAGCTTTCACAATTCTGTAGCACCAGAAATCAATTGTATCTCAAATGACAAACTTTTCTGGTAATCATCAGGACCAGTAACAATGATTACAAACAGCAATCCACCTTCTCCACAATCAATACATTTTATCTGCTATTTGTCAGTCCACTGTTGACTTCTAGCTGTTGTGACATTCTGCTACTTTTCATCATTAGTAATGATTCAATACGAATGATCATTACTTTCATATTGTCGATGGTGCAAACATATTCAACATCAATCTCTACGATCTGTGATGTTTCACATTTATAAAGTGATTTTTTTCCCACTTATTCGATGGATAGTTTTCTAACTAAACCCTCCTTTTGTTGACAAGTCATCACAGACAGTCAAAATTTGATTCTGTTCCCCTGCCATGCCTTTTACACAGGCTAGTCACCAACAGTCAGATCTTATTTTTTATCAGGTAACTGCTTGGCACAGCTGGCCGATCAATCTCCTGCAGTCAAAGCATAGCTGTATCAGGTTTCATAACAATCACAACCTGTCAATCCTGCTTTATAGCAGCGAGCACTCAACTGTTAAAAACAGTCACTTGATTTACTTTGACTGCTGGGCTGGCCTTGTTGAAATTTCCAACAACAACTCATCAGATTCCTCGAGCAATTACAAATATATGCCCCTACAAATGACAAACATCAACATTTTATGTCATTTTGTACTGGCTTCTATGACCAGTTAAGTTCCAAAACTCTGATTCCAAAGCAATGCTCTCCACAAACCATCACCCTCATCACTGGTCAGTTTATGATCAGTCCATTTTAAATTCAGTGATCAACCTTTTTATCAGTTACCAAGCACTGCTTTTCCACAACTGATCAATTTCTAATCATTGCTCAACGATGATCTTAATCTGTAATTATTGAATAATTAATTTCAACTGCAAGTTTTGAATTAGTGACTGCTCTCTTAACTCACCAATCACATATTAAATTAGTGAAAAACTTCCGTCAGTGAAACAGTCTCAATAAGTGACAACAAGTTTATCCTTTCTCCGTAACTGACTGACATCAGCATCTACGGCCAAGTTCGGGCAAGGACCATTAGTCGACTAGTGGTTGATTTGTGACGTACCTTACGCCTGCGCACTGATAGCAACGTGCGAATGTCTCTAGTCAAACGCTGGTCAAATTGTCATCGCAAAACTTCTGGATCCTGGCTCTCTGCTAGCGTTATGAATGCGCACGGCTATTGGTTACCAGCGATGCAACCAGCCCCAGTAGGCTGGTTCCAAATAGTCGACTAGCGTAGTCAACCACCGTCGACTAGACAGAGTTCGGGCAAACGTTAGTTAACCATTGGTTAACTATAGTCCTTGCGCGAACTTGGCCTACTTTGTCACAAATACTGACTAGCGTCCTCAAAATAGACTTCCAATAGTGGAAGCTTTATCTTACTTCATCAACATCAACTTGCACGATAACTATATTTTTAATGAAATAGAATCTATGACTCAAACACAATACCCTTCTCCATCAGTGGTCAACTGTGCAAATCAGAGACCAACTTTTGTAATCAGTGATTAACTTATGTCGCTGGGGAATTGAGATAAATCAGTTTACAAACTTACTTATGTTTCAAAATAAGTTTTTAGTTTTGTCATCATCAACTTCATAAAACAGTAAGTGTTGCTATAAGTGGCCAAGTATAAACTCATTTATGTTTCAAAACAGGTTTTTAGTTAATCCTTAACCTTATAAAACAGTAGGCGTTGCTATTAGTGGCAAAACAAACATCATGGTACTTTCAAATCAAATGTAACTGGGCTGACAACAATTGTGTGTTTAAGGTAACACCCTAATAACTATCCAGGTAGAAAATAATGTATTTCGTAACTTTTTTTGGATTTTTCTCTCCGTCATTTATACTTAATATGTTTACTTTAAGAAGCCATTAAATGGTTTTATAAACCAATAACATACAAAAAGACTCTCAAAGGAAAGACTTTTTATGTTTAAATACGCCTTATTTTTTGGCAAAATGTGGAAATAAACAGTTTGAAGTTGGCAATTCGGCTGCAAAAAAATTCATCTAAGTTGGGTTACAATAAACACACAATTATATTATTGGCCTGATAGGCCTAACCCATTGCACTTTCTGGTTTTATTTATGGGGTGTTTCTTTATGTTATTTTTAATTGTTTTTATCTAATTAAACCTTTAGATGCATATTGAGGGGAATGATAAAGTCCAGTTCAAATAATGTTTGCATGTGTTCAAAAGTTCTTATAACCACTGAGGTTTGCCAAAAAACCTTTAAATTGAAAGAAAATATAATGTTCTTTCTACATATTCAAAGTGCATGTGTTTACAAACATTTGCATGCAAAGTAATGAAATTATTAGTGGCTATGCCACCAAATTTAGAATTTTTTTGAGATATATACATGTATATGAGTTGGTATTTAAAGTTTCTATCATTACCTCTTAGCATAGTTAGTTTTAGGGACTAGAAAACTTACTTGGACTAATAATTGTCTAATTACACTAGGTTTTTGCTTAGTGATAATTGATGTCTGGAGATTGAGAACTTTTTTGGATCAAAATTTAAAGTTGCATTCCCTGTGCTCTTCAATATAGATTCAATTTATTTCTTAATAAATGTTCAGTTTGCATTTCTTATTCCATCCAACAAACTCCTTCTATTGTGGGGCATCTGCAATCCTCAAAAAAAAAACTAGAACGCGGTCCGAACAATATCAACACTGATCAGGGGCAGAAACCAGCCTACCCAACCAGAATGGAATTAAATTGTACGGCCATAAGTATTTGAAATTCCTAAAGTAATAATTAATCATCACACCAGCCATGGACCAATTTTTCGATTCATTTCTCGTTCAAAAGTTAATAACTTGGATTACTATTAAAAAAATGCTCTCTGGAAAAGTACTCTACATGTGTTTAGGGATAAACTCAAAACAGCACGGGACATGCAACTTTAATGTTCAACAAAATAAAAATGGATAAAAATTATTCTCTCAATTTAACACGGCAAAGAAAAAACAGCAGTTCCACTTAATTCCACAAATGTTAAAAATCGATTGAAGCTGACCGACAAGGAAACAAAATTTCCTAAAGCTGAGTTATTAAAGCATCACTGAACTAAACTAAATTTTGATGCAAGTCCAATCAGTAACTAACTACAAGTTACAACATCAGCAGTCTTCAAAGTTGTGATTAATCCACATTTTTGTGATTCATGCCTATGACAATAAAGCTTGCTTATTCATCAGTACAATAACTTGTAGATTCGTTTACTTTTGCCTCAAATTTCACTTTGGAAACAACTTTTAATCCTCTTGGTGGTTTTGGAGGATTTTTGGAGGATTGAGGATGAATGGTGTTTGAGGATTGTGTAGGATTGAGGATGAATAGTCAGTGTTTGAAAAGAAGGAGGATTTTGGAGGATTGAGAATGAATGGATTGTTTGAGGCGGGACTGTCTGATGAACTTGAAGGATTGAGGCGCTGGGTATCCTTCATTTGAACATTAGTGGAACATTTTGGAGGGTGAGAGTTTCTTTCATCTCCCTAACAGCCTGTCAATTTTAAAACAATGATTGTTTGTTTCATTTAAAGAGTCAGATTGGGAGTGGACACCGCAATCCAATTCATTTATTTGTTCAAAATAGTATGATGCATTCATTTCTTTGGAGGGGAGAACAGGATGAGGAAATAATAGAAAGGACAGTAATTGCAAGGTGTAGAGGGTGGCTTCTGTTTAGTCTAGAAAATGACTAAGAAGAACACCCAAGGCAGAAGAACAAAGAAGAATGTGTATGGAGATGAACATGTATAGCAAATTGTTAACTGCAATAACAGCAAACAGAGACGAATTGTAATAACTGCAATACTTCAATCAGAATATAGAAATAGAAAATCATTTAACTATTGTTCAATAATAATAATCAAAACAATACAAATGAAAAACCTTACAGTTACACACATTGGTAACCAATGCATTTATGTAAGGCATGCCCCTATAAGCTTTGGATTTTAAAAGAATGCCTCCATCTTTATATAGAAACGTATTGTTCTCATGGTTCTTTTACTCTGTTTTAGATGGAAATAAATGTTACTGTTGAATTGAAATAAGATCAGAAAAGAATGGAAGGCAAAGGTATCTAAGAAAGATGGCATAAAGAGATGAATAAAGAATAGATACTGAGGGCAGAGTACCAAAGAAATGGTTGCCCAAAAGGAAGGGAGGGGATGACTCTCAGAGATGGCTAGCAAGCAGCTTACATGACCAGGTCTGTCACAATATGAACGACCACTGATATTCAGTAATAAAGTTATGTGCACAAGACCGACAAACTACGCGAACGCCCCTAGCATTGTACTTGCCATGAGTTAAAGGGACTTTGTAATTAACAGCATGCACCAACTACTAACATTTATTTAAATAACCAAGACTTTTGAGACATGGTGAACCAAAGTGATGACTTTGGCTGTACATCATTTGGTTTTTGGTATTCTTAGCTAAAGAAGATCATTTGTCAAACTTTAAATCGTTCATATTTTGTGATCCACGTGATTGACAATGGGTAGAATCCAAAGGGTAGAATAGCAACACTGTAATATGCAGAGGATTTTAAAAAGTTTTTTTTTTTCAGTTGATGGTTAGGGACTAAAAGGTCTAGCAAACGTGGAGAAAAAAAGGGCAGGAACATGTAAATAGGGTGAGGAATTTTTGAAATTATTTTTGAGTATTTAGAAAAGAAGCCAAAAGTTAGCCATAGATTTAAAAGGAGAGCAACAATTTTTGCAACTATTGTCAGCTACATGTTATCCTGATGTAGCCTGGCACCTACAACATAACAGCATACATCTCAATATTGTTCTAAATCGTTTGCAGAAACAAGAAACATTTTCACTTCATTATGTCAGCAAATGATCATCAATATCAACATTAATAGTTACAATGATTTTTCCCTTTACCAAAATATTCAATCCTCATAAAAACAGGCAGCTCAGAGATTTGAAGTGACTTAACTTTTCCATCAATGATTAAAGAAAGGTAAAAACTTGTAATTTTTGTCGCATATTATGCAGTGACAGAAACTACATTTTACATGCTCAGACAAAAAATGTTCACATATTATGATTTCAGAACCAAATGATATCAGGTAAACAAACTCATGAATTTTTAAAACAAAATGAAATCAGTAGGAAATGAAACAAATCTTTTCTAGCAACCAATGATAGAGTAGGCATATGTGTGTACCATTTGCCACGGAAAACTATATGGCAACAGTTAAAAGCATATATAGGATCATTTGCTGTTTGTGCATTTTCTTTATCCAATAATAACATCACTCAAAATCAAAAGAAGAGTGTTCAAAACCTAATTTGTTGAAGTTTCAGTTCAGTGAATAGTACACTTTGTAAGAAAACAGTGAAAAACCAAGCATGACTTTTTGATTGTGTTTCATCAGCACTTTTTATTCCAAAAAAACATGCAAATAACTGCTTGTTGGAAATCACCTACATTTCTTGATATTTTTGAAATGACAGCATGTCAGACACGATAATTTTATGGGGTGTTTAGTATCATTACTATCGCTAATTAGTCCAAGTAAGTATTTTATGATAACGTGGGAGGCTCATTTGGGGACAAATGCAAATGATCCTATATGCCTTTAAATAGTTTGGAGAAAAATGCTTCAATTCATAGTAACTTTTCCCTTAAATCTCTCATATGAAATGTTAAACCTGCTCCATCAAATTAAGAACATGTGCACCATACTGTAAGAGGTTTGCAACAAAAGAAGCCATAAATTTAATATCAATGTGACAGTTTTATCTGCTTGCAAACCACTATGAAAGTCACTGGACACTTAATGCAAATAATTCAATCTCAATATTGCATTTCTCTTTGACGGTTCACACAAATAAAATTCTGGTTTAATAACATTTATGTATATCAAATCACACAGTAATCATTTAATAAGGGGAACTTGTAATTCCTCTGTGTTTCAGAAATGACTGTCATGATCATTGTTGAGAAATTATTTTCATTTCTCTTTCTTCTTCAAATTACAATGTATCGTCCAGGATGCCGACAGGTTTATGTCAAAGTTCTCCCAGTCGGACTGTTGAGGACAAAACTCCAATTCACAAGAATCAAGTGAGAGAATTATGGTCATTTACAAAGGAGGTTGTTTGGTGCACATTGTGATGAGTTTTGATGGAGCAGGTTGTATTCTTGGTTTGACTCACCCTTAAGGTCATCCCAGTCACCATGGTGATGGTCATCCAGCCTGTCCTGCCTAGTCTAGGCACTGGTCTGGTCCAATCCAGCCTCAGCATGGTTTGCAAAGGTCAGTCTCTTCTGAGATTTAAAACAAACATTCAAACTTCATTAATTTGCTAATCATAATTTTTAATTCAGAGTGTGTCCTCATTTAGATCACCAGGGAAAGTTCGAAAGGGATCAGAGACACCATTTTAATAAGAAAGTCTGGTATCAAAATTTTCTTTTGTGGACATAATTAAACGACAAGACAATGATTCTTCGGTCCAACAAGTTTTCTGATGTTTGTCATATTGATAAATGTTTATTACAAAGAATTCATTGACACACTCACCAGTTCGGAACTCTCAATCGTCCTGAGAGAAGCCAGAGAAGACCTCAGGATGGTGCCTCATCCCTCACAGACATCCTGAACTGCCTGTCTGCACCTTGGTTCCCATGGCAGAAGATCAATAGGTACCATCTATGTAGACAGCATCTGTCCAGATAGAGCCTCCCCCAAAGAAGCTATGGCGTTGTTCACATGAACCGCTTAAGTTTCAAGTTGCACGTTTTATGCACCTCCTGCACTGCTCATGGTCAAGTAGTCTGTCAGCATTACATCAAGTCTTGTGAATTCTACCGAGTACCAGAGAAGAAGTAGAAGTACTGCAGACTGCCACTGTAGAAGTTCAAGCAGCAACCTTTCAAATCGTCTGAACAGTCTAAACTCCAACATGTACAAGGAACATCAACATCATCTTTGCAATTCAAGTTCAAGACAGAGTGAACCGCAAGCAACTCATGGAGCAACTAATAAGTTTGGGTTTTGAAAGTAAAGACCAGTCAAATCTCAGTTCACTGGTTTCCCATGCATGTAAAACTTGAGCGCAGTGAACGTGGTAGTCATGGATGTGCGGTCATGGCGGTTGATTTTCAAAACAGCCGTCTCACTCTCACCAGGTTTGTCATCTTCAAACACTCCACTGTGGTCCTAGCCCGCCATGAATGAGGCCTCTGTCTCTGAAGTCAAAATCCTTACAAGAGATGATTATTTTGCAAGCTTTTTGTAGTGCAAAACAATTTCTTCATGCAGCGCTCGGGCTGGTGGAAAACTCAGTAACACTCACGTGACATGTGTACTGTAATGGATCGGTCTCATAGATAGAGGGCACACGCAAACAGTGTACAGGAGCAAGCTGAATGTTTTTCAAGTGTATTTCAAATTTGGCAACTTTCTCTTGTCTCAATACGAAATTGCATGAGGAAAACATGAAATTATCATCTCGATCTCCATTATAAAGGGATATTAAAGCTGATAATCGTTCAAAATGATCCAGTGTACTAACATCCCCTATTTGACAGCTTTAGTTCAGGAAATTTCCCTTTAGCAGGAAAGCTTCCCTTAACAGGATCACCACCGGGAAGGTAGCTGTCATGATCCCATGTTAGTAAAGAAAGGAAGAAGGGGAGGGGCAGAAATTAGAAGGTGCGTGCGAGAGATGGAAGGGAGGAAAACAGAGGAAAGAGGAAGAGAAAAGGAAGATAGAAATGAAACGGTGCGTGCATGTGACAAAAGGAAAGTGTAGGTGAAGAGAGGAAAGAGAGACAGAAATGGACCAGTGCGTGCAAATGATGATAGAAAGGGGATGGCAGGCAGGATGGAGGGCAGGGTGGAGGGCGGGGAAGGAGGGCGAGGAAGGAGGGTGGAGATATGGGGAGGGAATGTACGGTGATGAGCCAGTCACGAATCACCAAGGGGAGTAAGGGAAAGTCTTGTCTCAACTGTGGCTGCAGTGCAATGACTAGCTCCAGCGTTTCACAGGTGAGAGGCAACTCAACTAAATGCAGGTCCATATACTCAAGCAAATGGTTACTACATAAAAGTCACTGTATGCTTACCAGATAGTCAGTTGGCTTGTGGTATAAATCAAGAGTACACAGTTGAATAGCCATTTTCTCCTACCTTTTGGTGGGTGGGGTTTTCTAATGGAAATGGCAAAATAACACAACAAAAAACTGAGTCATTTATCAAGACCTCTCGCAGTAAGCTAAAAAAAGAATGAAGTTCAAATTACATGAAAACCACAACATTTGAGCAAACTCCCTCTTTTGTGGGCAGGACACTAGTCATAATTTGGGGTTGGAAAAATTACAAATTACAGAGTAATACAATATTAATCCCAACCGATATCATTTTTTTCTGTTTTTGGCCTCAGCAGTAAGCAGTAAATAAAGAAGCACATTTCAATTTTATAAAGGGAAAAGTCCAATTTTTTAGCTTAAAAAAATGGTACAGTTTTGATTTGAAAAAAGTTTTGATATAAACAAGCAATTTTGTCCTTGAAATCCACCTTGTATCAATTAACATGTATTTGAGCAAAGGTTTTTAAGATAATTTTTTTTCAAATAACTCTTGCTTTTACAAATTTTAACTTCAACTCTGTACTTCAAAGTCTTCATATTTTCTTGCATTTTAATTTGGGAAAGGTGTTTTGTCAAAAGTGAAAAGTTTACTTTATAAAAGCTGTTGCAACGATGCATTGGGGCATTTGTTCCAAGGGCTAATGTGAGCACGAAAGTCTTACGGTGACGTTGTGGGTGTGGGGTGACAATTAACACAAATGGAATTTCTTGTTTGTTTATGTTTATGTATATCAAATCACTCAGAAAGGGAAACTATCAATTTCTGTCTTTCAAAAAAAATGACTGTGCTGACCATTGCTCAGAAATTATTTTCATTTCTCTTTCTTCTTCAAATTACAATGAATTGTCCAGGATGCTGTCAGGTAAAAGTATCAAACTTCTTTCAATCAGAATGTCAAGGACAAAACTCCAATTCACAAGAATCAAGTGAGAGAATTATGGTCATTTACAAAGGAGGTTGTTTGGTGCACATTGTGATGAGTTTTGATGGAGCAGGTTGTATTCTTGGTTTGACTCACCCTTAAGGTCATCCCAGTCACCATGGTGATGGTCATCCAGCCTGTCCTGCCGAGTCTAGGCACTGGTCTGGAGGTTTGCAAAGATCAGTCTCTTCCGGCAGACAGACAGGCAGACTTTCAGATGAGATATGCTTCCTTCCACATTCGCTGCAGTCAAAGAAAACATGATTTAGTATTAACAAGTTCTGTAAAAAAAAGGAAATGTATGCAATAAGAATGTACATTTTCAGAGTAGTTGGGGTTTTTTTTGAAAAAAAAACAAGCAAATACTAGTGAATGCATGGCTTAGTGTATAGCATGCCTGCCTCATAGGCAATGCCCCTCAAGTTGGAATTCTTGCACTACCGATGTTTTTGAAACTTTTTTTTGCCTCCAAAAATGAGAATTGTGTTTTTTATTATAAAATTAAATTGAAGGAAAGATTCCCATATCTGGCCATCAGTATTTTTCCCTTAAATGACCTTTCAGCCATCAGAAAGTGATAATGTCGTAAAAAAGTCTAAATTAGAAGGGACACATTTTGAATTTTTACTGAGAAAACACAGAGTTTCAGACCAATCCCATAGGGTTTGTGCACAGGTTGACAAGTGATCGCCAGATTTGGGAATATTTCCAAACTGAATCCAAACATTTGTTTTGATTCATGACCGTATTGGAAAGATTCCCACATCTGGCCATCACTTGTCACCCTGTGCACAATTCATTTTCAAGCGCCAAAAGTTGCATCCTTTATGTTATTCCCTACTCTCACCCTCTCATTTCATTTATTCCTATTTAAGTCCTCAATCCTTGGCCTTAACCGCTTGGCCACGCATGATCACTGTTGCAATGATCAATCTTTGGACGCATTTGAAGTATCCATTGAAATAAACTAATATTCATGAGAAAATAAATATTCATAATGACGTATTGCACTATCATTAGCCGGCTCATGCGTTGTCATGGTTGTCGATGTCATGCGTATAACGTACAGCTGTCTTCCAGACGCTTAAATCAGTTTTGACTGGCTGCTTCAACTTAGTTCTGCAAACATGTGCATCCAAAATATGCTCTAAAAACACATTTTGCCTAATTTTTTTTTTTTGTGCTTTTCTAGAGCTTCCTGGATTCCTCTTGGGTGAAATCACAAGGTGAGGTGAAAATTGATGTGTTTGACGTCAGGTAGCCAGTATGGAATATTTACCGGGAACAATACTGAAAACAATCAGGAACCGGTTCACGGTCAAATATAAAAAAATATATATATTTTGGTAATCCTTACTTTTAGGACCCCGTTCCTACATGTATAGGAAGGGAAAGACTCACCAAAACAGTTGACTAAATGACACTCAAAATTGACATTCTGATACTTCTTGGCATATCTGAACAATTGGCAATGACACCTTCTTGAATATCAGTATGTTTAATTTTGTGGAAAAAGGGCAGGGCTTTGATTTATGAGGGAAATTCAAGGGTAAAAGATGACCATGACAACCAGAAAACAGACTCAAAAACCAAGATGGCAAACGTGAAAGCTCGATGCAATGAAAGCTCGTTGCTGATTGGCTGGTAAAAAAATAAACATCTTATTTTTTTTTTAGCAGCCAATCAGCATCGGGCTTTCATTATGTAGGGCTTTCACTGTGTTGTGAGAACTACAACATGAACGTCCGACTGCGAAAAAAGGTAGGAAAGTCACATTTTCTTTGAAAGTGCTTTCAAAATTACAACTAACATGAGTTTATATGAAGAAAAAAGACTGCTTTAGCCTGCAAAAGTCACTTTGGTACTGGACAGACATCTGCAAAAGTCAGTTTTGAACACAACTCGTAAAAAATAGAGGTGTCCTAATCCTAAAAGTAAGGATTAGGCCAAAAAAAAAAGTCTCCGGTTTCTGGTATGCGCGCGCGTCGCCGTAGCCATGCGCGTCGGCAAAATGAAAAAGTTTTTTTTTCAATGAAAGATGTAGCCCCATAATGTGGCCAGTTTACTGGACTGCCTCCGTAAACATAGGCCACACGTCCGCCATCTTGGAATCTGACTCGCCGAAATTTTGAAAGTGATTTCCACATTGCGACTTTAAACCCAGTTCATTTATGCTTTAAAAATACACTTACCCTCTTAATAACAAAATTAGAACCTGCTGCCAGTGTCAGTTGCCCAGCTGCTGCGTAATTTACGACATTTTCTGGACCATTCTTGGCAACTTGGTCCAACCGTGGAGCTATCTCCATGGTCCAACTGAACAATGCCCTCGCGCAGATCGTTCACCTGTCAATCACGCGTGCAGGACGCACGAGCAGGCCCAGTGGTAGTCCGGTTCCCAGACCAAAAGATTCTGACTATTCCTGATCCTAGGAATATTTTTTTAAAAACTTAGCCCAACATTAAAAAAGTATCACCAAAAAAACCCGAAAAAGTAGGCACCCCTCGTATTGCCACGCCACGCCCCTCCCCCAACCTCAAGCAGGCTTTTCAAGGCGCCTCACGAAGCTGACGTGGCTATTTTTGCATCATAACTTTTTGACAAAGTTAGCATTAAATAAGGTATATTTCTACACTCACCTTGTTGGCGAACCATTAATTCATCAAACTATTGTAATTTGAAGACTTATAAAAGTCATTTACGGTGTAAAAAGGTTTCCAAAATAGGATGACGAAACGTTTCAAATCTCCCAGTCTAGGCGAAAAAAAATAAAATGGCCGATGACGGCCGGTACGTGGTACCTGGCGGATTGCCATAAATTCAACGATAGGTTGATGTATACCAGGGAAACACGTGGTATAGAAATTCAAAGCTTTCGGCGCGCGCAGCAGTGCTGATAGTCTCGATTAAAGCCTTGGCAGGATCACTGCACTGCCTTGCTGTTTGCCCTTCGAGTAAAATCGACCTTGAATGATGTTCCAAACCGACTTGAATAAAGACAACTTATGCAAAACTATGAAGATTCTTTAAAATATCTTTTGTCATTTAAATTTTCTGAGAGGAGCCGCGTGGCCATGAGGTATTTTTCAAACCGTGGTTCTGTTTCCTTCCGGCTGAGGCTTTAGGGGCTTGTTTCATGGTTTTTACCAGTCTCTGACGATCACGAGGAAACTCAAACCAGATCACAGTATCGGACCCCGTTTTCTGCCACTGAATAACTAAAGTAATGAAGCCACAATTTCATTTTTGAATAAATTTAAGCATTCAAAGACTTTAAAATCTTCCAAGCTGAACAGCAAGCAACTACGAGTTTGTCAGAGGGGACCCAACTTATCCACTGTGTTAATATGACAACCTTTAACACGATGGAAATGGTTATCATCATGAAAATACATTGATAAAAATTATTTATAAACTTATTTGACTGAAACATCTGCACTTCAAAAGTATAACGACAAAGCTCCCTTTGATCCGTGGTTTACCAAAAGTCTGAATTGCGCCCTCAACAGTTGTACCATAATCATGATAAAGAAAGCGGCCTGGATTGCAGACCAGTAAATGAACTGCCATAGATCTCTGTGATAATCACCCTCACTTCCAAAAATTATGAAAAAAACCTCTCAACCCGTCCAAAGAGGATCACACCTAAAAGTGGTTCTGAAGCCCATCGCCCTTTTGAAAAAGAACGCCTTCGCTCATTGCAAAATATTAATTTTTGGTCCCAATTTCACCCGAACTTCACAGAAATACGAGCTCGCAGTCCTCTTCACGGTTTCTACTTTCTACCCTCCTTTCCACAAACCATCAAGTTCAAGGCCCACAAAATGCAGAAATACTGGAGAATTTGAGGTCATACAAATCGTTATTTGGCCGGCGTAGGCAATGTTGGGTCTATTTACTGGCTAGTACGTCAGCCTGGTTCTCGTCAGAAAATTTAACTATCTGCCATTTAATACGCGCGCAGCGTAGCAGCAGCACAAAGACATTTAAGTGGCGGTCGTTAGACACGCAATTTCAAATTCATTCAACTAAAGAAAGTCGTGGACAAAGTCGAGTCCCCCCCCCCCTAAAAAAAAATCAATATTTTCAGAGCATGAAAACCAATGTCGAAACGGCTCGATTTGAATGATTCTACTTAAAATGGACTTTTGTCCTTTCAATTAAGGGGTACATCTCACCACATTATGCGCCTATCACCCCCCCCCCCCCGCCCCGCCTTGCCCCAGGTCCGATGTCGGGATTTGGTCGCGTTTTTCATGCCCCAGGGTCGGGATTTTGGGCATTTATGTCGGGGATTGTCACTTAAATTTTGCCCGAGGGTGGGGTTTTTGTCACTTCAAAAGTGACAATCCCCACGTTTTGGGTTGGGAAGCCAGGGGGCCGGGGGGGGGGGGGGGGGTAGGGGAAACAATTGATGGGCGCATTACGCATCTATTTTGGTTGGAATTTTACGGGTTACTATAAAATCAGTCGATAGTCCGCTGACATTGAAACTAGCTTACATTTGATGAACAAATAATTCACCTCACTTCAGGAAGTAATTCCACAGAGCTGTGCTGCTCAGAATTTTAATGTGCAAATAGGTGGGAAAGAGACAAGGGTATAAAAGTTGTAGGAAAAAAGTAATTAGAGGATTGATCGTCAAAATGGGCAATTTATTTAAATGCAAAAATAAAAAAGTAAAGTGGTCTCTAAAACTGTAATGGAAAAAGGATATCGACTGGTACTGGTAACGACTTTAAATTGTTTTTTAATCTAAACGATTTGTTTCTAATTTCATCAATATAATTTGGTGCTTATTAAAGTATAATGATTTATGAGTACAGAAAGGGATAAAAGACAGGGAGTTGCTCTTTGTTTCGCTGAGCATAGAAACCTTAGATACAAAGACCTTTGACGACGCAGAAAGACAACGTGCAAATAGTGGTAAGTACATGTACGTGTACACGTGTGTAATGACTATGATATTAGCTGAACACGGGAAGTAAATTCAGGCAAGTCTACAAATGGACGATTTTTGGGGTAGTTCTACATGATGATTATATATGGGACCAAAGAAAAAGTCCTTTAGGTCTTGACGGTATTAAATCGATCAAGATATCATTGTTTTGACATTAGACATTCAAGCTTTTGCTACTTTTGCCCAAACACAACAGATGCCGGGCTAAGTCAAATGTGACCGAAATGAATTTGTGCCAGTTCAGTTTTTCTGAGCACTATTTCCCCTTCTGAAATGAAAACACTACTTTTGGAGGTGTTAGGTTACTTTATTTGCATCTATCAATTTCGTTTCTTTCAATTTACATGTGATTCATGCACAGGCAGAAACGTCATGACTGCTTCCAAGTCTTATCCACGATCAACTGTCACCATGGTACCTACTTGGTGGGTTTTATGAAGTTAGATTTTTGTTTAACATTAATGGCCGTGCTTATGGGCTTTACTAAGACTGCATTGGTCAAATTAATTCAGAAACAAAATTGCTGTTTAGAAAGAAGGACTTTATTCAAAGTATTTAAAAACAATCTGTCACTATTCATAATCTACAGTCAAGTACACCAGGTTAATGTTTGTAAACTTTGCTTCTGATTTTATGTTGGGCAAATAATTTTCCAGCCTCTCTGCAGCTTCACACCGCGCACGCATATAACAAAAAGTTCAAGTTAAAGTATTACGACCTTTATAAGTGATTTTAGTGATAGGGCCTACCATATTATTCTCATGATTTTCACCCTTTTGCTTTGTATTTAATTGACAGTTTGAAGCGTGCGATGGTTTTGTTGGTTGCCTTCGGGATGATGGCACACTGCCAAAGAATGGAGGAGGATCTGGTTGCCGAGGAAACTGATATTCTGGAGGCCCAAGCCTTAGATAGTCCTGCTGTCGCTGCTTACTGGACCACCGTTGGCGGGACTTATATTATTCGCATGTCGGTTGGTCGTTGTGGTGTTTGGGTAGTTAATATATATTATTCTGTATTCTATCGCAGCAATACCTACGATTCACCGAAAAGCTTGGGAGATGCATGGCTCGGGGTGCCGAACGACAAATTGTTAAAAATCAGGCAAGTTAGCGTGGGTTACAGTACAGTCTGGGCGATCAATCAATACTACGGTGTGTATTATCGAGAAGGTATCACTGCCTCTAAGCCTCGGGGCGATAAGTGGGTGAAATTGTCTGATAATACAAAGATAAAATGGATCACTGTTACTCAGAAGGGTCATGTGTGGGGTCTGTCTTCATCTCAGAAGGTAATGTACCGTGAAGGGGCAAGTAACACCAATATTGCTGGGACTGAGTGGAAGACAGTGAGTGGGGTGCTATTAGATACAATAACAGCGGGTAAATCGGGTGTGTGGGGTTTAAATTATGGCTTGACTAGGAAAGTTTGGTATCGTGAGGGTACATATGGCGACCCAGAAACTAACACAGTGGGGTCAAAGTGGACGGATGTCCAAGGGGTATTTAACTACATTTGCGCAGGAGATGATAAGGTCTATGGTGCCAATTACACCAGTGAAATATTCTATCGTAATGGGATGACGGCTGCAAGTCCAGTGGGGAGTAATTGGGGACAAACTGAAACAGGTGTCAACGGCTTGTATCATGTGGCTTACGTGAAAGACGTGTTGTGGGCTATCGACTACTCTTACACTGTTCGTGCCAAGGTTTTTTAGGAGTCACAGAATGTAACTCAAATAGAGCCCATGACTGGCTATATAATATTATAGTGGTTTAGTGGTAAAGATGATATTCGATCTTATTTTTTAATTAAAGGACTTTGGTAAATTGGAAGCAAACAGCTTTGTTTGAGGCCTTCCCAGTCCTCCCCAGTCTCACACTCATACCGGTACCTACATATTACTTGGATGTTGGCAAAGAGTTATTTATTAGTATAGGTGATAGGGTTTTTGCTTGTTAAAGTTTAATACATGACAAAGAGCTAAAGATCATTGTGATATATTGCAGAAAAGTCAACATCACAAGCCTCCCGTAGAAAATCAAATAAGCATGTATGTAAGTAAAGATACCAATTAAAGGTAATATCGGTAAACTAAGATATATCACCCAGACGCAAATTCCATCTTATGAATAACACATTGTGGACTTTCGTGAATGCTTCATATCACTATTTCACTATTAGCATAATCAGGTACTTTTCAGTTTTAAAATTCAAGATACAAGAGAATAACAGATCGTTACCTTGCTAAATAGCCTCAGACTGAAGGTGGTTAATTATTCTACATTATACATGAATGGTTTATTACAGCCCATATGCTTTTGGATTGTACTGCCGTAGTCCAGACATTTTGCATTTATTACTTGGTTGCATAGCATTCCTATAATATAGTGTTAGATTAAAAAAAAAGAAAAAAAGAAGTGAAATAGATTCAATCACTATTCGAATAAGGGTGATTTTCATTATTTCTTCAAGTAATTTGAGTCTTGAGTAGATAATATTAATAAATGATATATAAGCACATATTTTCTTCTTGATGTTGTTTCATAAGTGATCTGGTGCTTGTAATCCTAATGCTGATTGGAAAACATGCAGCAGGTCGTCGCAGTTGTTTTCTACACGAAAATCTTTGTAGCTTTTTTTTTAAACCCTAGGAGGAGTCTAAGCCTCATGTTTCAATACCGGGCAAGCCCGTAAAATCCAACGTACGTCCGGCCGGCGGCCGACCACTTGTCAGGACCTTGCCTAGGCCATAGCTTAATACATACAAGATGAGTGGTTTTTGTACCTTAGTTTGGTATTTTTGTTTTCTAGGAAAGAGTTCCATAACTGGACATTACTTGACTCCCTGTGCACAAGCCACAAACCCAGTCATGAGACTGGTCTGAAAAATGTGTTTGGAAAACCAAATGCTTCAATATTTTCCCTGCTAAATATGACTTTTTAGGACATGTTACTGCTTACTGATGGGTGCTAGGTCACTGCACGGAAAATAAGTAATGTCCATGTGTGGAATTCTTCCAGGGTCGGGCGTGTAGACCTACGTCTGAATTTACGCAACTGTCCTAAAAGTATTCAAGTTACATCAATGCATTACGCATACGAACTCGCTTGTCCGGAAATCGGGCCATATATTTTTCGACGCCAACACCTAGTCACTAAGAAAAATAGCTTCAAAAACAGCCACAGTTATTTCTAAAAGGTGTATCTATTGTAATTACCTGTAGCTTCCGGAATGAAAAACCACCACTTCAGGCCAAAACCAGAAATCATGTTAGTAAAAAGCGAATCGAATTTGCCGCAACCTCACTTACGCAAAGGGTGTTAGTTCGTGAAATTTACATGCATGCATGATGTACGTACTTTTCTTACCTCCAATTATTGTCGATACGCCCTCTATTGAAAGTTAGATCAGTGTTTTTTTTTTTGGGGGGGGGGGCGGGGGAGGGGGAGAAGGATGGTGCATTGACTATACTGAAATAAATGAGAAGGTGAGTATTTTTCAAACATATCCGGCTCCGAGTGATACTCATGAGAAATTAAAGAAAAGAGCTGCTAGACAAAGTTCGGAATGATTCCAATTTTATTCAGAATGCCTATCAGATTCTGTTGATTTGAGCATCATCTTTAGACCTAGGCCTACCCTTCACTTAAATGTTCAAAACTCCTGTTCCACATTGCATTCAATCAAGACGATAAATGATTAAAATCATATCCAAAAATGGAGTTCAAATTTTAATATAAAAAATAGGATACATAAGAACTTGAATTCGTATAGCCCCCGTCCAACAGTTTTCAGTAGTTGTAAAAATGCCCATTGATACAAAGTAATGAAAATTATATATAAAAGTCTCATAAGCGAGACCACCTCCTCCATTGTCGTTGTTAATATAATCAACAATCATACATGTATATATATATATATATATGACCCCTTTTCGCGCTGGACTTATGGAATACTTTATTCCTTTACAAAAAATGGGTAGCTAAAAACTTTAACGGATGTCGAATTTGGGATTGGTTCATCAACCTCCCCCCCCCGTTCCCACCCCACCCCCTCTGGCTATACGAGCTGACGGAAGTGGCGTGTTAGCTCCGGTGCCTTTTTGCACACTGTGTTTTTGTTTTCGTAATTAAAGTATTCTTCTAATGCATTGTATAACTCTGGAAACATGCACTTCGTGGTATCGTAAGTTTTTGTGTGATAACTAAAGCGCTGTTTTTGGTCATTATTTTAAATGACAGAAAAGTGAAGATAATAGAACCCTCAATCATTAACACAGCTACAATCTATAGAAAAAAAATGTTAATAGAAAACAGTCATCGTTGCATGCTGGCTGCAAGTGGGACTGTTTTCTATAGTCAAATCTAACTAGTGTATTTACAGTGTATAGTTCCAACAAAATTCCTCTATTTTATTTCATAACATGATCCATCTTCTAAAGAAACATAATACTGTCTGTGCTCTTCAGCTCTGTGTTTTGTTCTTTTAAATTTTGTTAAACTGCCTTGTTCTATTTGGCAACTGCAACCCAAAAGAGGCTCACATCATTAAATTATGTGCATATGTACCACACTCAGAACTCAATTATTCGCGGGCCACAAATAAATGTAGACTTGTAAAGTATTACTGATATTCAAATTCTAAATATGGACAGATATTTTTTTCATTCTATTCAAAAGCAAATAACTAGAAATTATAGGAAAATAAAAGGATACAAAAAATACCCACAGAAAAATGGGGGTAAAAAGCACAAAAATGTAAAAATCTCAAAATACTAATTATAATGCTACATGTATTTACAGCAAGTTCAACCAACCACAGGAGGTCTAAATAATGTTTGATAACTTGCTCTAAGATAGCAAACATAACTTTGCCATCGCCAAAAAAGCAATTATCGTCATTTCCTCAGAATCTTTTTTGTTAGTCTAAGTTTGCGTTTCCACGTGTACAGTCTCAGGACCGGTCACCTCTGTGTAAGACGGTGGCTTCACGTCTTGATCCCCAACAAACACGCTGTTGGTATGGCCCACATCCAGGCCCATGATGTCCCCCTCCCCAGGTCTTGAGCGCTTGGGCATGGGTGGATATCCCACCTCCGCTCGGTCCTTATCTTGGGCTGGGCCCCACTCAGGGCTTGACCTGATGGCGAGCTTTACTCTCTGTTGTAAACAAAGGCAACAAAAATGATGATTGTAGTATTATAGTCACTAGTCAGTTTTTACACACATATGATTTCCTGTTGAAAAGAACCCCAGAGGTTAGGAACAATGTGTACTCTAAACCGCTCTCCATTTGAAATTCCAAAAAGATGATGTGGTTTCAAAATTATAAAAAATATAGAGTGATCAGTACTAAAATTACATAAAGCGGTCAAACGAAATCAGTGACACAAGAAATTTCTAAGGAAAACCAGGCGAGACAAGAAACATGAGAGACAAGAAACACGAGGGACATAAAGACAGTAAGAGGAATGAGACAGGGACAAGATAACAAAATATTGGAAAAATGAGGGCCAAGTGACGGGACAGGGTCCAGTTTTTACCTCCAGTAATGTGCCTTCAACCTTGAAGATGAGGTAGTATATAGCATAGATGATAATGCACATCAGTGATGAGCAGGTCATAGTCCAGCCGATTGCCTCTGCCCAGCCTGGGAAGATGTAACCAGCATAGGATGCAGGGGTGTACTCCACAAAGCCATACACTGTGGGGAACTGTACAGGTGCAAAATCAATCAAGAAAACAGACGTATTAACGAGAAAGAAATAAGCACCAAAATGTTGAAACTTAAACCCAGATACTGGCCTCAGAACTACTAAACACATATGCAGTAAATACACAAAGTTTTATAACAAGTTGCAAGAGTCCAACATTTGGACTTGGTATGAAGCATGGAAACAAAACTATTTCTCCCAAATTCTGAGACATTGTTAAATTAACTTACAATTATCAAGACTGGAGTGATTAAATACCACATGATCTTCCAGAAGACTTTCCAGATCTCATTATTGATGCCAATCATAAAACCAATCTCCCGAAGAAACCTCTCTTGTCCTAAAAGAAAAGAAAAAAATTAAGAAATGATAGCCAAAGCATGATCATTCTTGGGAAAAAATACAAAAAGTGCTAAAAGCTAACTTGTGGTGTTTGTCAAGATTTTAAAGCATAATTATATGAGCGAGGGAAGGTTGATATTCATACAGAGAAAGTAAAGATCACTCAATCCTCACCGTAAATGAAGTTAAAGACACACAGTTCTGTCAGTGCTAGGAGCATTGGGCTGTAGCCGGCAGAGTACCAGTCAAACAGCGTCATCAGGTAGATACCTCCCTGGAAATATGAACGTGAAAACTGTGGTTACCAATTATCAAAACATAGAGCAAGTTTAATTTAGCTATAACTTACTCGATTCCCATTCCACCCATCCCTTCTCAGAATTGTAATTTTCTCAAGAGAGAGGGGGATCCAGCTTGTTGACTGTGCCCCCTTGCGCCCCCTACTCAAAAGTTGGGGATTAACAGAGCTTTTGAAACTGTGACCTAACTCATCGAGTGCCCAACTTTAGACAATATGGGACAACAAGTTCCCCTTCCCAGTGAGATGACATTAAACAATATCAAAGTTCAAACTTTTATGAACTGCTTTTTAAATTGTAAAGATAAGTTTCTGACCATGATCGGCACAAGATTTGTTTGATTGTTTCTTACATTCATTGTGAAAGGCAATCCGATGAGAAACATGAGGAAACACACAGTGAATATGATCCATGTCTTCTTCTTGCGGATGTTGGGGAGGAAGTCGGATGCTTCATCCATGACGGCAGTGATGATGGTTTCCACGGTAACAAACTAGAATCAAAGACAGTGGAACAATTAATGAGCATTATATAATTATTTCACCTTTTATTCTGTTTGTTTCAAAATGCTGTAATAACAATAAAATGAATCTTCATCAAATCAGTTATAATGTCCATTTAAAATATTGTGTAATTTATTTTGGGGAAAAACAATAACAAGTTCTTATATGGATACTTTCTCGGATAGTTTACAAGACAACTGGTTAACCCCAGGTGCAGAGTAGTTGGGGAAATTTGTTAAAGCAAAAAAGAAGGATGAGGGTTTAGATAATTACAAACTTGAGGAAAAGTGACAAAGAGTAGCAGATGCCATAAAAATCAGCTCGATGGGTTGAGACAAAGGCCTATTCACAAATTCAGTTCAAATTTCAGTGAATCATTAAAATCATATTTGCTGATGTCATTCACTCTGATATTATGCATGTGCCAAACAAAATTCGAATTGAGTTTTAAATTTTTTTTTTTTAACAAATAAATGTTGCAGTAAATTTGCACAAGGTGTATTATACCCATGGAGAGTAGAACCATGAAAATAGAGTGCTACATTTAGTACCTGACTGTCCAATCCAAGTGTGATAAGCATGAAGAAGAATATGAAGGACCAGAGCTGAGGTACTACAGGTATCCGTGAGACAGCCTCAGGGTAAGCCACGAATGCTAATCCAGGTCCTAATGGAAAACATCAACACCAGAAACTCAATATTTTCATATATATGCCGATCTTGTAGTATCATGCTAATATAGTTGTCTAAGAACAGTGCTTCTTTTCTCTGAAAAAAAAAGTAAACGTGGATTAATAAATGAATAAAATAAAAAGAAAAAAACTATTCACTTTCAGTTCATCAAAATACAATTTTAATATCAAACAGTCATATTCCCAAGTCAAAATAGAATAAATATAATTGATTAAACAAATTGAAAGTGCATTTCTCACGTTTTTTTAATAGGTGACTGATAATGAAAACAGATGCCAATATTATAACAATACACCGATTCAATGACAGAATTAAAGTTTAGCGGCAACTGTTTATTTTACATCGGGGACCATGCACTCTATGATTACAGGAGCTTGAGCTTGTTCTAGTGCTTTGTACCTGCATCAATAGCGTTTTCAATAGGCACTTTTGCATCACATGCCATGAAGCCAATGATGGAGAACACAACAAATCCAGCTAAGATGCTGGTCAAGGCACCTCCCAGTACAATGGCAATGACATCTCTGCAATAAACCAGCAAACACAAGACTGATCAATGCTTTGTTTATGTTGTTCAGTTGGGCTCATTTGATTTGATTTCAACTGACTTTACCTCAAAAGTTCCATTCAAATACAGGATAAATGGCATTGTAATTAAACATCACTTGTTGCTTACGTAATGAAAACAAATTACAATTTATCAAACCTATGCAAAAGACCAATCAAATATCAATTATATTGATGCAAAATATCCACATATTTAAAAGTACATTTCCTGATAAAAGAAGAGCACCTTAAAAAAATTAACATAACAAAAAAAAAGAAGACGTTTAGAACACAAAAAATTGTTTTGCATGAATTGATATCAACACTGAGTACCTGAGCGTATTGTTGTGGAACTTGTTGTAGCTTGCCAACGTCTGTAAACCTCCCCATCCCGCGCCAAACGAAAACACAACCTGATTGGCTGCCGCCTTCCAAACCTATGACGTCATAAGTGGTACATATTTTAGCCAAAATGGAGGTATCAAGCATGATTTGAAACAACACCGACACCAAATGCCGGCACCCACTGCATGAAACGTAGGGAGTGACGACTAATTGGTGTCAGTGACCAATTCATATTGTGCATACATAGACGTGACCAAGATGATCAAAATCGGACGATCGTGTGTGCGATATACGGCTTTCTGAAAAATTAGCATGACAACAACTGAAATAGATTCGATCCAACAAACAAACAGTTGAAATTTTGAAGATTTCATACTGCTTGCAAGACCTTGAAACCAAAATTTGCCTTTTCGCATAATCATGTTCTCTCCAGGATTCAATATATGGGCTTACTTTGGTTTAATACTCATAACTTTTTTTTTTAAATGGGAAGATGAAGTTCACACATAATTTTAATAGCTTTGATTTTGATGCACGCTGGTCACGTTTTGAAAACATTGATGCAGATATCATTAAACTGGTTCCCGGAGTAATGACCGTGAAGTTCTAAACAGAGTGTTAACTGCCTGAATGGCTGGGCAAGTATTTCACCACAAATCAGGAATTAAAAATTTACACGTGCTATTTTCTGTGTCGGCTTAGTCCAGATCTTGTTGGGCAGGGTACCAGTTTATAATCAATCTTGCACCAATAGTACTAACATGTGCCTTGACCATTGCAAACAAGAACAAGCACAACGATATTGACATCTCAAATTGACCTTTTTCAGTTTTATCAAAGGCAAATATTGCCATTACACTGTTTCAAAAACTCGTGTGCCTGAGCTTTGTTTGCAAAGGTCAACAACTTGAACTAATAAACAGTAAATCTTCAAGTTTGTCCTGTAGTGTATACCGTATACTGGTCGAGTAGTCTGTTGATGACGCATTTAGAGTCGCTGGTTCAGCTCCATTTGGACTATTGAAAAACACATGCAAAGTTAAAGAATTCGTGTTCTTACGAGGGATGGGTTTTTACACCGCCACTTTTGATTGAAATATTTGGATAGATTCATTTCCATCATAATTTAAAAAACCACAAAAACTAAAGCACATTCAATGTCCGACCTTCTGCTTTGTCCCCCAATCAGTCAACCTAGGCCTGAACGGTTTTGCGTATGCAAAATATGTCGCAGTGTCGGCTGCCTGTTTAACAGCTGTTGCCAAAAATGATTTTCATTGTTTTCCTCTTTCTTTATAAAATGTTGCTTTGTTTTAAATATTTTGCCTTTACTTGTAGACGGCCACGTTTGGCAAACATTGAGGGGCGACCTAAATATGATCAACATGACGAGAGGCGCTTATGGAAAAGACAAAACTGAAGTGTGCGCATAAAAACCCATCCGTCTTTCTAAAATGAGTCAAAATAAAATAGTCATTTTGCACTTTCAATATTTCAACAACGACCTTATCAATCCTGATTAAATTTATTTATCATTTCTCCCAACAATCTGACAGATTTTCGTGCAGATTAAATTTTAAATATTTATTAGTGACAAGGTCGGATGAACAAAGCTGTATGCTTTATACGGACAGTTCCATCTATATATAATAATATTGTTCAATTTGAAATTTCGCGTTGTTAACATTCAAAGTTTCTTTCTTTGATTTTGACTCATTTTATGTGTATTGTGTTGTGTTGTGTGTGCTGTGACGTTTGAAGCATTTATTTTGAGGTCGTGAGAAGGGAGTGCTGTTTACTCTCTGCAGAGCGAAGATGCTGAAATTAAAACAAAAGAAGATAGGAGTTTATAGGCAATGATTGCATCTCAATGGTGTGCATATAAAATGAAAATATAAACAAAGAATGGAAGGTTTGCGGTAACACCATGTGCATATTGTCTCTTTTGAGTTGTGTGGTTCTGATAAACAACAGTTGTTTTAACTCGATGTTTCGAGCAGTGTGCTCCGTTTGTTATCAGGAGTTAAAACAACTGGTTCTTCTCTGAACCACACAACTCAAAAGAGATATCATTCACATGGTGTTACAGCAAACCTCCCATTCTGTGTTCATGTCCACCATGCAAACCTTTAAGACTCATTTATTAAAGGGGCCATGCAATGCAATTTTTTAAAATGCGATCCTTGAAAATGCACCTTTTTGTCAAATTTAACCTCATTTTCAATTTTCGTTTTGCTATTATCAAGAGTATTTCGGTGCCTTTTTGGTTTTTATGCTTATTCCATTTTCCATATTCATGATCAAAACCTGTGATGACATTCCGGGCAGAAACCCCAATGTTACAGCTATTTCAGCACAAAACTGAGATAATGCTGAGAATTTTGGATATTTTGCAGTCTTCAAGTTTCTTTTCTTTGGTGATTCATTGTTGTGTAAGTAAATGGCATATGAAGTCAATAAGCAACCCTGTCTCACAAATGTTTTCAAGAACCAAATTTTGGGTTCACAATTTGAACAAAAAATCTTTGAACTGAACAGTGTCTTCCTGAAATGACATCACAGTAACAACGCCCTCATCTGTCTTGAAAAAAATGTCAAAGAGTTTTCATACATTAAAGAGGAGAAGACAGTTGCAAAAAAATGTGTTCCTAATGAAAATTCATCGCATGACCCCTTTAAGAATGATAACAAACAAGGAAAAGTGAAAAGCAGATGAGAAAATGTTAGGTATGTACGCCCATAATTAATGAAGTTAGTTTTCCACATAACCACAAAGCGAATGTCAGGTCTATGGGGAAATTACACGACGAACAGTATGCAAACTTTTAATGAATCGGAAAAACGGAACACCTCACAAAAAAGGGTTTGTCAAAATTTCGTATACTCAATTCTTTTTAAGGTTTTCAAGAAACGTGTTGCCGCAGTAACTACGTTGTGCGAATTGTGCGAACTTTTTGGTATAAGAAAAAAAATTTCAACTCCATCTCCAATTGGCTTTCTAACTTCTATCGTGTGCAAAATGTTAACATGACAAGTTTAACCCCCCCCCAAAAAAAAATGTATAAGTAATCAGATATTGATAAATCGTATTATAAAACCCTGCAATTACGCTTTTAAACAACCCCCCTTTGAATAAAAATAATATCCAAAACTGAGTTATCAAGCCCCACATCATGAGGACTTTTATTAATATTTCAACACTGAAAAATTGCCATTGTTTAATTTGATCTTGTATGACCACAAGTTTGGGTTAAATATAACAGAAATTCTAACCCACACAATTGGGTAAAGGACAACCCAAATTTGGGTAGTTGCAGTTTTCACCCATCCTTGGGTAAAATTAACCCAGGCAGTTTTTTAGTTAACCTTATTTCCGCATAAGATCCCACTTGCAGAACTCTCCGTGTTTTTCTCTTAAAGGTAGAGTACATCATTTTGTCATCTGTGCATTTTATTGTTTGAAGCAACAAAAGTGCTTACAATCTAAAGACGGGTGCTTAACAACTAACCTGATGAACTGTTTGCTCCGTGAATGCTGTCAATTCTGAGAAAACAATATTATAGAATCCCGACTTCAATTCAAAAGTTGCCGAGTCATGTTCTGAATTGCGCCCGAAATCAGCATCCGGGACACGTTCTCATTCAGCCGATTGCAGCTACGCGATGAAACTATAATGGACGAATTATAGCTACCGCCCGCGTGTGTGCGTCGTGCAATGGCGTCGTGTCAATGCTTGCGCGCACCCATTCACGGGTTCACTTGACGCATCTTTGGAAATGGCCTACTTACATTGTTTTCTTCATAAATGACAGCATGCCACAAAAAAAACCCCAAAAACAATTTCACAGGGAGTTTAGTGCCACCTGTAAAGCAAGAAAGCTTTTCAACAATAATTTGGTTGGTTACTTTTTTGATAGCTGCACATGACCTACTCTACCTTTAACGAGGTATTCTAAAACATTTTTTTTTAAATGTTAACGGTCTTTTTTTCTGTTTACCTGTACATCTTTGAGTTTATCAAACTGTGGAGTGATGAAGTACAGTATCCCATTGATTGCACCGGGCTGAAGAGCGCCAATGATGAGTAGGGCTATCAAAGCCACATACGGGAAAGTTGCAGTGAAGTACACAACCTATTGGAAGGAATAGGAATAATATGGTTACTATGGTGGGCAAGGTGACTGGGGAATGAAATGAGGTATTCCTTTAGTTTGCTTACACGGTGCCCAACGTCTCAGCCCATGAAGGCACTTACAGATGCCGTAACAAGGTTGCTTTAGTTTTGAAGCGAAGGTGGTACGTTTCAGGAATTGTTTTCCCTACGGCCAGAAAGTCTACAATAATTGAATTCCACTTTGCCCGAAACAAGACCATTTGGAGGCTCTTTTGTTGAACATTAGAGGTAGACAATAAAATATGATTGAGCCTAAAACGATATAAGACTGAAACTTTTTTTTTTAGAGTGAAATGTTTATGAGAGAAAACTCCTTCAAGACCTAACAATGTCGCCATTTTGTTACCTTCCCTGACGTCTTGATACCTCTACTAATACAGATAAAGGTAAGTAGCCAGGCGAAGATGAAGCAGAGGAGAATTTCCCATTGAATGGTTCCCATGTCACCTAAAGAGTCAGTCATCTTCAAGACGCGATGCCTACAAAAAAATTCCATCAACCAATTCACGAGAATATATTACTCTTTTTTTTACCATCATCATCATCACTGTCAACATAATTTTCATTATCATAACCCACATCCTCGTTGACCAAAACCTATCATCATTTGTCTTCATTGTATTGATCATGGAACAACTTTTGCATTTTATACCATTCATAATCCTCAAGTAACAATCAAAACTCTGTTACCACTATTTCCAACAAAGTTTACAGACAAACTTACTTGAAATACTCCTCGCTGGCAAAGATAGGCCTCGTGTTGTTGGCCGTGTAGTTGACAAGTTCGAAAGGACATTCCTTCAAATCGTCTCCCTGAGATGCAGCAAAACATGCCTCCGTATTGAAGTCTGTGTGGTTGCACCCTACCCATGGTAACGGGTTCAAGACAGAGGCGAACATGTAGTAAGTGGAGTAGGCTATGATGATATTGTAGTATAGACAGAAGTAAGCGGACATCAGAACCATGCCGAAACCGATACCTACGGAAAGAAACATGGTTTACGATTATTTAAAAACGATATACGTTAGAAAGTCGATTTAGAATTGCAAATAATTCAAGTTACGTAATATTTAAACCTGGGCCTATTTGTAAATCTATACCATCTGAGCTTTTTTTTTTACCATACCGATACAAATATAACCGAAAAACGCCAATGATATCAAAAGGTAAACATTTCTTCACAATATTTTGATCAGAGACGATTAAAAATACATTCATGTTTAACTTAGATACTAGGCTTGAAAACCAAATGCAAATATTTATCAAAACCACGGGGCCACTTATGGCAACCCAGTTCTTCGATTTTAAGAGGTACATACCGGACCCTGGGGCCATTAAGAGCACTTGAACCTGTCTTTGTTGTTGAGAACAACCAAATATTGACACAGACTTGATCGTAACTGATACTCAGACAATGCAACTTCAGCCTTGATGCTCGCGCGATTTAAAGGATTAAGGGGCAAAAATTAACACGTCAAAATGGAGTAGTAAATAAAGACGATCAATTGAAGATGATCGAAACGTCTGTTTTTAAACCAATAAACAATGCTTCAAATGGTAAAGCCAACTCTTTCTTATTATGTGCAAGTGCAGTATAGTCTTGAGTTGAGTTATGAAATATAATTTGGCGGGAAAATATAAGATTGAAAGGTTACCTTTGAAGAGCGGGCTGATCCGCCACACTGAGATGCAGCCAAGACTACCGAACTGACCGAATGATATCTCCAGGAACAACATCGGGAAACCAATCAAGAGCAGCATGATTAGATACGGGAAGAGAAAAGCCCCTGTAAAGAAAACAGGACAAAGTCTTGGACTTACTCAGTTATGTTGTTAAAAAAAAAAAAAAAAAAATTCCAAGGACAAGGGGTAAACATTTGAAACAAGCGGATAATGGATACATTATGTACATTTGAATTGAAGACCGAGAGTGATGTTTTACCCCATTTTCTATGAGTAATTCTGGCACAGTATTGTATATCAACGCTACAGCGCAAAGTTCATCGTGCATTACACGAATTGATCACCTGCGGCGCGAAGCGCCTGCGAAACAGGCATTTGCGACTCGTCCGCGTATAATATAAATAGCGGGCCACGGGCGACAGGTCATAGGTCCAAGGGGTAAATGCCGGAACATTTCATTGGGGGGGGGGGGGGGGGGGGGGGGGGCGTCATGTAGATCAATGATAATTGTTTTAGAAACTCAAAATCTCAGTGGGGGGGGGGGGGGCGACTGGGGGGGGGGCGACAAGGTTTCATGGGGGGGGGCTGTCCGCCACTGCAGGTCATACCGTTTAAGTTTATGTAAACTTGTATGAAAAGTCAAAGAAAAGTAACTCCCATGATCTATTTCACACCAAGTTTGTGTTAACTTGCCGGTAACGCCCTAACTTGAAATTATCCAGACAAATATGTTTATTTTGTAACATCTTATGTTCGTCTGTCGGTTTTCTATGCTGTTATGTCTACTTTTAGGTACCTTCAATGGTACTATGTTTCATTAACCTGTTCATTTGTTTAATTAAACTAATAACGCACATATAGTTGCCAAATATGGCAATAACAAGTTTGAGGTCGGCAATTTGGTCTTTAAAAAATCTGGGTACGTCGGGTTACCGTGCACACAATTGTCCTGGAGACAACAGTACCACAAGAGCTCCCCAGCAAGTATCGCTGACGCCATTATGATTCCAAAATTTCTCACTGTGTCACACAGTGAAATAACTAAACAGCGTCATTGTATTGTGAACACATAAAACATTCAAGTCGCGTTCTTGCACACTTTCTGCAGGTCGACATAGATATCCTTGAACCACTGCCCCTGCATGCTTTGCATAACAAGTGCACATGAATGAACGATTCGACTTTTATTCAAAGAAATTTCTATGTACAGTCACCAGACTCTATTCAGTAAAGTCCCCGTCGAAACGAAAGTAAATAATCCACGTTCATAACGCACGGCTACACCATCGTACAGTGTGGCAGGGACACCAACAAGTAACACTGAAAACAACTAATTTTTTTTTAAATTGATAAATATTCTGATTGAATTTCGTTAAAAGATACTTGTTGGTGAGGTATCACATATTCTAGCGAATTGATAAAAATGTACAATATTAAAATATGCAATTTTGAGGGAAATGGGCAAAATACTACATAAATAATTTCACTTGATCATATTCATAATACACAAACCGACAAACTTCATTTTCAGACCCACAACGAGAGAAATATTGTTAACACTGGGCTTATTGTGAGGATTTAGGCTGGGAATACATGAAGATGTTATTTTCAACATAATTTCTAAACAATTTAATGGGACATTCCTGTGAAATGAGCCTTCCAGATGAAAAGTTTATGTGTGGGAAAGTATGACACGGATATGTAAAATTAAAAAAAACAATTGTCATCAGACGATTATCTAAACCCCTGCCAATAAAACAGATTTAAAATTCCATTCATAAAAATTAAAGTTCTATTGAAAAGTAAATTGTACAAATCATACGAAACCACACGAGACGAGACATGACGAGACATGACGAGACGAGACAAGACGGGGAGATGAGACAAGACTCAGCAAAAAAAAATCATAGAGTGAAACATTAGTCAAACCAGACAGGTACAACAATATAAAAACGAACTAATAAATAAATACTCTTAAAACCCAACAAACAAAGAAACAAACAAACAACCAGACTCAATAACGGGAATGAATGACAAACGGGCTAAAAAGATTGATACAAACAAAACAAAACAAAACCGAGAAACAAAAGCAATCCCATTCCCCAGAGAGAAAAATGCAAACCATAAAAACAAACAACCTAGTTGACATACATAGGTCTACACTCACATTAAATACACACACTAAAGAAACAACAAGAAAATACCCGGGAACGAAATGAAATAAGACACAATTTTACATTGACGATAAAATAAATATGACTTCAATAATTCCTCCCTCAGTTTTGAGAGAAGAGATTCACAACCTTCTATAGTTAAAACTTTTTCTAATTTTAACACGGTGACTTCGGAGAACATCAATGAGGCAATCGAACAGTTCTCGTATCTTGTAATCCATGTGTCTATCAGTTCTAAGTTTCAAGTGGTGACACGTTAAAGGCTGTGCGACGGAGCTGCCCTGCAATTCATTCCTGAAATTATTGTTGCATTCCCTATTAGTTCATTAACTTTATATTAGAATCAACATTATTATCTATGATAACGAATTTGGCGGGAAACACAGCTTTCACACAGTGATTTTACTGGTTTATTTAACTTTGTGGGGATTCCTCCAACGTCAAGCTTTTCCTTAGTTTCAACACCGGTGCTGGAGTCTCACAACACTTAACTGGGGGAACCAAGTAAGCCAAAGATTCTCTGAACCGAGTGGGCACGGTACGAGCTATCGCTTCGCAGAGACGGCCGGACTGAAGCGGGAGCGGACCGCTACAGTGACGGGGAAGCAACAGCTGGACGGGGCCAGCGAGTGTACCGGATCACACTACAGTTCGAGCCATGGTGTGCATGGTCAACCGGGCCAGTGGCGTAGCCAGAAATTTTTCAGGGGGGGGGGGGGCGCTGGGGGGCTGGAACGTTTCATGGGGGGCGTCATGTAGATCAATGATAATTTTTTTAGAAACTCAAAATCTCAGTGGGGGGGGGGGGGGGGGGCGACTGGGGGGTGACAAGGTTTCATGGGGGCTGTCGCCCCCACGCCCCCCCCCCCGGCTACGCCACTGCCAATGTAGTTGAATGACCAGATTCTACTTGATTTTCCCCTCAATTATCATGATATGTTGGAGCGTTACATATACAAAAGGATATAATTATACTCAGTACGTTGCTGCGTTTCTAACATTACACGAAACTGTTATGACTTATTTGCTCAAACACTCAAGGCTATAAACGTCTCTATAAAACATCTGTAGTGGTCATTGCAAACTCTACACCTATTAAGTTATCAAATGCCACCCAACTCAAACAAAAATATCAACGAGCCTTTTTTACACAGCACGAAATGATTGACCTTACCCTTGGCAACTAATTGCGTTGCATGATACAATCACGAAAGAATAATGATTAGGTTAAGTATTGTGAATTTCGGTATCGGCTGAATGACACTGTATAGTCCCATACTGACTGCACCTCCTCAGTGCACCAGTCCCAACAAATTCTTGCAAATATTCAGGCCTTGGGAAATTGTAAGATTAGGATAGTAATAATTGACCAAACAGTTTGAATGAACGTATCTCATACCTCCTCCGTTGCTGTAGCAGAGATAGGGAAATCTCCAGACATTGCCTAACCCAATGGCGTATCCCATACTGGACAATATGAAGTCCAGTTTGCCTGTCCATTTACCACGACTTGCCGAGTCACTGCCAGTGGCATCCATGTCTCCCTTAATCCCTTTGTCCGTCTCCATGTCTGGCTCGTGTGTACCTTCAATTCCTTGCTCTATGGTCCCATCATACGACTTGCCACTCTTCTCCTCACAATGACCAATGGGAATAGCTTCCATCTTGAAGATTTGATTCGAATTAAACTACTAACCAAAATGACAACAGACTAGGCACGTCCGCTAGAGCTGGTCCACGTCTAAGTCAGTGAAATAGGTACAGAGATAGCACCTTGTTAGCACTCTGGGGTCGGCAAATACTCGGTATGAAACTGTCCGTGACAACACGCACTTCCCGCATGCACGCAAACCACGTGACCGCGTCGAATCAATCACATCAAACTTCACTTATACTGATGTGTTCTTTGATAACGATCGCTGTTTGCTCGGTTACCTTTGAGCTTTTTGGGTCATTCAACAAATAAAACTTTTTATTTCTGTTTGTTTTGTACTGAGCAAGCATAGAGATTAGGTTCACTATTTGCCAGATCGTAAAAGTGTAAAGTTACTGAATAGAGGGCGAATTCCCTCCAAGTGGGGCGGTAGGCCTATCGTATGACTTGAATATTAAGTAGTGTGCAGTCACTATGCATGAGATCTATTTCAAACAGGAAAATAGGGCCTATGGAAATGAGAAGTTTTAGAATAGAGCGCAATCAAATGTTCGCGATAAACTCCACCCAAATAAAAAATGTAATCCTGGGCAGAAGGATTTTTTGGGGGTCATGGGGGTGCACGCGAACATTAATCGAATCTTCCTTTAATTCGCATGACATCAGAATTGCAACAAATGTTCTATTTGAAGAAAATGACGAAACGGTCAAAGAAAGTTGCTCCGAAGTTAATGAAATTAAGAGAAGAACGTGTTTACGTGATGCTTGATTTAGTAAGTGCTCAATCATTACAGAAAGCAAAATTTGAGATGTCATCATATTGATCAAATGAAAATAAGATCTACTCATAGTTTCTCACCATTTTAAAGCATTTTTAACATGGGATTTTAGTTAAAATATCCACGAGGGTGATGTCTAGTCTTGTATCAAGACTCATACATAACATCTGTTAGAGATTGTGGTGTGTTACATGAGGCCAATCAGCGTGAATGGAGACTATCCCGCCAAGGTGCGTCGTAGGGGCGCGTCTCCATCCGTGCTGGTCTCCTTTCAAGATACCGCTATTAAAATATTGTATGCTTGCATGATACTTGAATCACTATGGGAGATGACCCTTGGTAGACCCTGTCTAAGGTTTGTGTGGACAAAGGTCTTGCTTAGTAATCTGCCCTTCATATGCACCCTAAATCAACCAGCAATACAACAGGATTATTTCAGCAAATAGGCATAAGTAAGTAAATAGCTGTGCACATTCCAATATCGCGGCGTGATGCATGATTTTCTGCTCAGCTCCATGCAGATAAAAGGTTTAGGTTTTTTCTTTATCCTTTTTAGAAAGGTTTCCATCACATACATATTTTTTTTCGAATTTTAACGGAGAGGTCAGATTTATTTCGCACCTCTTTACCCCACCGTTGTCTGAAATGGGGAGTGCAACTTTTGACATTTAGTTTTTGATTTTATTCTCTCTAAGGTGTTTTGCTACCAGCATGCATGTTAATACATTATCATTCAATCATTCGTCTATAATTAGACGAATGATTGAATTTGTTTTTTTAATAATAGCTCAAATCGACAGCAATTTGCAAGCTCCTTTTCGAGATCAAACTGTGTGAGAGCGCCCCCATGCGGACGAACATAAACAGGAGCAGTTACTACTGCTGGTGATGTAAAACACGGTGGTATATATACATGACATTATGAGAATCTATCAGCGACTGAGCTGATGACTGATCATGTAAACACACGCAGAGTGCTTGCCGGCCAGCAATATATTCTTTAATTTTATGAACGCAACATTTTTTTTGGGGGGGGGGGGGGGGGGGACTCCGCCTCTTTAAGTTTTATGTATTATAACAATCACGTGTTAGTCAGTCATCAGCTTTTCATTTGGCCAGTTTCGTTTTGTTTAATACTTTTAGAGATTGTAAAGATATTTTATTTGGGCGGCGAAACTGTAACGGATTAAATCTGTGTGCACGATTCAAGTCACGTTTTGAGGTTATGTTGAAGGTAATTAAATAATAATTTTCTAATGAAAAGTAGCCGTGATGTTGTTTGCATAATTTTTATCATTATTTGTTAAACACAATTTTAACAAGAAACAGATTGGCTAGTTTTAGGAATGGTGCATGTGATATCTGTGTTTGCACAGTAATTGTATAATGTATTCAAAATGTTTTCGTTACATTAGTCGGAACAGAACACGCCCCTTGAAATGATTGATAGTACGGAGGGAACAAGGATCAATGATTGAAATAAATGAAGCATATAAGACTAAACCGAGTTGGCATTAACCTATTGACGTCAATGACTCATAATCCAAACCGTACAAGTCCTACAAGACTATTGATGGATTGTAATTATGAACAATTTACTTGCCATTTTGCTTTCTTTTGGTATTTTTTCGGCTAGATTGTTTTTGACATTAAATGTTTGCAGTATTTTCAAGCAAGGTACCATTTTTTTCGTCAAGCAAAATCAATCAAAACAAACCCCAAAACGAAGATTCGAATTTTATAGTTCATATTTAGTTTATTTCCCCGATTTTCCTCAAATAAAAAGATGCAATAAACTGCATGCTTAACCGTCAATACATTGTAAGAGTTACCATACCTTTTGAAAAGATGTTGAAATAATCTCTATATTATGCCTTCGAGTTCACATTTTAATTTTCTTCCAGTTCATAAAATATATCGTCTTGTACTGAGTAAAATGATGCTGATAGTCTACCCTATGATGCATATATTGACCAAGCCTCCATAACCACCGAGTTGCTACGAATCAAGCAAAACACATGCAACTCCCCACTGCCGACGTCTGACATACCCTTGTGTCTATCCTCCGGGGAATACTTTTTTAATAACCGTTCCTTCAGTCGTAGATTTTTTAATCTTCGGTGAGCGTTGGAGTGTTTTTACCCTTCAATTAACAATCGGACCATGGAGGTAGTATTGTCTTAAGGGACTTTCATCATTGGTTTCAGCCTTGCTAATAAGAACTCGACTTGTGAGTCAACAAAATCCGTCCATTTGCCATTAGCTTCAGCCTTGACCGTCCACTTAACAAGCCCATTCAACCGATAAACCCATTACTACCGTCAAAGTCACTCCTTATTCAATTAAGACGTGATACCTTGAAACGTACAACCTTTAAATTACCTTATAATCAAAGGGGGAAAAAAAATCTGTTTTAAGGTTACAGCGTTTTGTGATAGTGAATGCGTGAATTGTTTTGTTGCCCGAACCAGTTTCGTTATGGGGCCATCATCCTGTAAATCATCAACAAACTGTGTAAACTTGTTGAACATTGCAACCGCTCATTCTGTTAGAATGCTTCCTTGCAAAGTCAACAAATCATGCCTTTAAATTGTGCCCTGGTATTTGTATACACTCTGGAGACAAAGTGTAATTGAGTCTAACTTTTCATACGACTACTCTGATGGATGAATGCTTAAACGGAGAACGGACCCCTTTCATTTTCATTCACTTAGTGCATGTAGGCTATATATCCAGCCCAAATAAATGCATGTTTTTTAGTTCATTTACGAAAAACCTGCAAGAGGATTTTTAGACGGCGGCATATTCTTTACTCTGTTTTCACACTTTTCTCTATCTTTACCTTATATCAATGGCCATTCACGTTGACGATCCCGAATAACTGTTAGTTGGTTTCGGTTTTTTTTATCGTCATGCCCTCAGATGTGTCCATACTTCTATATAGACATAAATGCACGGTCTGGTGGAAGCATATTACTGTTCCCAGGTAGGTCGGTATATTAATAATCAGGGAATACTATTGTAGCTGTCAACTTCACGATCTCCCGATGGTTGATTTCAATTATGATAGCTGCAACCCATTACAGGTGTTTGCTGGCTCCCACATTATCTCTACATATCCCATGGTAGCCTGGTAGGTTATTATGTTAATAACGATGTTCGACGTGATGGGCCGTAATTAAAAGGTGGAGTCGCTGGCTCAGGCTGTGAAGCCTATATCGAGCCGTGCTTCACACGCAACACATTTTCGCTTAAGGTAGACCTACTGCCAAAATTTAAATGAAGTTTCGGAAAAAAACCGCCTCTAGTGTTATTTTACTTACATCAGAATTTACATTCTTAGACAGCAAATATTCTGTTATGTGTTTTGAAAGGTAAACTCTAATACAATTCAAACTGACGTTTAAGATATTTTCCCCTGGGTACGATAATTTTAAGTATATACCAAACTGTAGCGTGTTGCGTGCTCCTGAGAGAGATACTGAATTACTGATACCTATTAACTGAATTGTTACCATTCCGAGCACTGACGCCCTGGCTTCATTATCCATTACGTGTATTAATTGCCATAACAACGGCTTAATGCGTTTCCATTTTTAATACAATATTCACTCTGTTGCAACAAGTTGAGGTCGAGGGTGTTTTTAGCTGCGGGATAGCAGCTCAACAAATCATCATGTCTCTCCGTTAGTTAGTTATAGTTATAGTAACAAACAATGACATTGTCTATTGCTCATATTTTGACCGATTTCAACTAATCTTTGTCAAAAGTATCAATAGCTCAGCCCCAACATGTCACATGACCAAACTGGGGTCAGAGTTCATCTGGGGTCAATAGGGTCAAACAACTGACTTTCTTTTACTCAAAACACTATACTCCTTCCAGAAATTACATGGCACAATCACGTGACTCATGCATGAACACGAATTCGTTGGCCCGCAGCTTCCGAGATATTTCCAATCGGGCTTTTTTTTTCTCTCGATAATTTCAAGATAACCGAAACACCATCTCAAACGTGACTGATTTCATTACGTCTTGGTACTGTAATTGAAAACGATTCAAAGTATCTTGTCCTTGTAGACAAGACGACTATTCAGAAAAAAAGCTGACATTAATCGAATGTTCCTTTAATTCGCATGACATCAAAATTGAAACAAATGTTCAATTTGAAGAAAATTACGAAACGGTCAATGACAGTTGCTGTGAAGTTGATTAAATTTAAGAAAGAAACTGTTGACGTGATGTTTGATTTAGTAAGTACTCCATCATTACAGAAAGCACCATTCAAGATGTCGTCAAATTGATGTGTTACAAATCAGAGCTTGCAAAGTCCCCTTAACATTCTGAACATTATCTCAATATAAATGGATTTGGTTACTGTAGTCCAAAGGTAGAGCATGCAACATCACCGCATGTGTGGAAGCAACGTGCATGCTCCGATGAAATTACGTGTAGGCCTAATCGACTTGCTTGATAACGCATAAACAACGACACAGAAGATTAAAAGCTTTGCATGATAGAAAGTGTACTGAGCAAAATGTCACACGGTGTTTTAAGATCACGTGAGAATCGGAAAGCACTGCCATTCTTGATGCGGCATTTGTCGAAGATCACTGCCTCGATAACAACCTGCACCGCTTAGAGGTTCATTGAGATATGTAATCAGCAAAGCGTCTGAAGAAGATCAATATACATAAACAAGACGATATTTCACACTTACGTTCTTATGGACGCAGCTTAGAGACGCAATGGTGTTTTAATGGAGAATGAACGTGTTGAGAATTTATTGACGCCATGAGCTCCACGATGTGCATCTGAAGCAATCCGAGGAGGGATAAATGCAAGGGAGACAGAGTGGCCCTTGAACGGGTAGCTACCTCAGGAGAAGACCCAAATGAATCATTTACCATCGGCAAGTTTGATGTATTACACGTCTTTATTAACGGCCGGTATCATGTGACACAACGTCTTTTGTTGAGAAAAAAACTCTGCAGGATCGAGGATAGTGAATAGCAAACTATGTCAGACAAGCAGACACAGAGAAACATGGAGCAGGTTACGAGACAAGGTACCGGCCTAGCTATTATCACTGAATCCCCATCAGAGATGGCTGGATCAGGACGGAAGACACCGAGAACTGAACAGGAGACAGAGGAGAGAGAATGCACCTCACTCAAGGAACATATCGCTAAGTTTGGAGATGGTACAACCTTTCATGGGGTTCGTTTCGTCACAGACTATAAACTCCATTTTCTTAGAAGGTAACTTCAATAATATTAGTTACATTAATAACGGTGTTCTTATCAAACCTTTTCTATGTATTACAGGGAAGATACAACATTTGCAAACATCACAAAACGAAATCATCAGATTATCACAAAAAACCTCACTGGATTGTTATGGAATGACAGTATAAAGCATCCTGTAAAAGCTCATGGTGTGCTGACATTTTCAAGAAAATTGTATTTTTCCAACGCTGGTCGGCCGACCAGCGTTGGAGAAAACTGGCTTTTTTCAAAAACTGCTTGCAAACTCTTTGCTGCAAAAACTGCAAGAAGTCTTTGCAATCGATTACACACCTGTGAAGGAGTACAAGCCTGCTCTTCTGATTCTCTGTCCTTACAATTCCCCAAAGTCTATAACTTTTCCGTTTCATCTTAAGTGGGGTAAGGGAACCAGACTACAAGAGCGTGAATGGTTTTCTTGGTTTTTTTCCCCAGCATATACAAGCCCAAAATGTGAAGCAAGTCAGTTTAACAATATTTGCTATAACATGCTAATCCTTCAAATCCATTTATTTCTGAAAATTGAAGCAAAAGCAAGTGTTGTACATTCCCTTTAATGCTACGCGTTTATTCGAACCTCAATGAGGGCAGTCTTGCATTAGCAAGTACTCTACCTCCCTGTATTATCACTTCCATGTTTAATACTCAATCTTTTTGGGGGTTGCTTGCATTCGTTGGTTCGTTGCACGCTTGTTTGATTAATGGCTTCTTTGGCTGTTAATTTTTTTTATAAAAGGCATAATAAATATGAATTGTGTTTACCGATCAGCAGCTGGATGCCTATAGAAACACCTCTTCAATAAAAAGCCACTCACGAAAGCTCAGTTCTTCCCTCACGGAAGACATCAGTATGAACGACAACGATATTGCTGATAAGAACTTTCAAACCAGTACACACCCTTCAATTGACAAAGAGTATGAATGAAATACATTTGTCAATTGAGGTACAATATCAGAGAAGATTCTGATACTTTTCAATACCCATTTTTTTTCCTATTGATGATCATGTTCATTACGAACAATGTCGTGTTGAAGCAATTAAGATTTGCAAAACTCGACATGCCGGTACCTGATTAAAGCGAGCTGCCGTTTTGCAATAACGTGGACGCAATACATATTCGCACGACATTCTTTACACGGATGCCCTGACAATATAGTGTTAATATTGTTTCGTTTACAGGTTAGTATGGGTCTGTATTGTCGGTGGTATGACAGGATATCTCTTGTATGGAATCTCCATCAGTATCATGACCTATTACCAGCGACCAGTGTCGAGTGTGGTCAAAATCAACTACGTTCGTGAGATTCCATTTCCTGCTGTGACATTCTGCAACTACAACCAATGGAAGAAATCTCAAGTCCCACCCGACTTCTTAGATGCTGTACGCTCCTTGAATCCAGCCAACAAATCACCTGTGGATGTGGAGTACTTAAAGTCACACAATGTTATGAATCTGAGGGATCGACTCATTAATGATACACATCAGATTGAAGACATGCTGCTGGAGTGCACCTTTAAGGCAGCCAATTGCTCCGCTGATAACTTCACTCGAATCTTCACTGATTTCGGCTTGTGTTACTCGTTCAACGACGATCCTGAAGACGTGTATTACATTCATCAATCAGGGAGCCATAATGCGCTGTTTATGAAGATCAACGTGGAACAACAGGAATACATCTTTGGAGAGAATAATGCTGCAGGAATTAAGGTACGGTATACACACGAATAAATGCTGTACTTTGATTGGTCATTACGGATAAATGAGGGATTCTGATTAGTTAGAGATGCTCACGTGGCAAATTTTAAAAGCAATATGGTAAAGGAGTTAATCAAAAACTTAAAAAAAAAATCAATGCCGAAGAAATAAGTCAACTTAATAAAATGAATGATTCAAATTTTTCAATTTGACAATTTGAGATGCTCACGTACACATTTTTGAACCTGATATGATTAAGGAATGAATAAAGATCTTTTCAAATCCAAACCGCGGATACTATTAACGAACATAACTAATTTCCGAATCGGTAAACTGGGTTACTTTTAACCCATTCTGATAATGGTTGTTGGTCTATGCACTAAATAAAAACATTTCGCATAAAGGATTAAATCAGAACGGAACCTTAATTGAAAATATATTACTTAATCAACTCAACCACACGCCCTCGATCAGAGGACCTGCAAACATTTGAACAATCTCACAGCAGAACGCTTGGTAATTTATCAAGGCGTAATGACCCAGCGCTTTCATCGGCAAACGTAACTAAGCAGTAGTTAACGCGGCAATAGTATAGAGTCGTTTGGTGTGGTCTTTATAATTTATTTACAGGTAGAAATTACAAGAAAAATGTGGTCGACATTTAGGGTAAATCAGTTGTTCAAATATTAACTATTGTCCTTAATAACTTATTATCTACGGCACGTGACGAGCATGTTTTTAATTAAGGCAATACATGCCAGGAAGTCTAGAATGCACACCCCCATCTGTTTATGTCACGATAATGTTTCCTGTTAATGTTTTGAGGTTTCGTTTATGTTTAATGTAGTTGCTGGTTCACCCTCAAGGACAGCGCCCTCTTGTGAAAGAATTAGGTATCGCCGTCTCGCCGGGCTATGAAACACTAGTTGGAGTTCAAATAAAACAGGTACGTCGTCATGACAAGTTCGTTTTCCATCCTTATTTTCCCCAAATGAACAATTAGGATAAGTGCTAAACTGGACAGTGTAATCATTTCATTTGGAAATTAACACATTTATCTCCAAATAGGTGTATACAGTAGGCGCAGTAAAGCTTTGATTCAGTTTTATTAAAGTTTATTGATTATTTTCTTGGTGTATTATTGCACCATGAAAGGTTTTTATTTCAACGTCGACGACTTAAGAGACCTATAGAACAGTTACACTCAATAAACTTAATGTAACAAGTACAACCGATGGTTTTTAGACAAGACTTTGAAAGCCAGGCTGCAGATTGAATTGAATTTGAATGTTGTGTTTCTAGGTTTTGAATTTGAAGGAACCCTACGAATCTAACTGCACTGATGGTGATCTGAGGTTTTCTAACAATTACACAGTTCCACTTTGTCAGTACGAACACAGGATTAAGAACATCCAGGAAAGATGCAGCTGCAGAGACATGAGACACCCAGGTACGGAAGAAAACTCTGTACAGTTGTTCTGATGTAAAGGAAGAAACGCTTGTTCAATTCTGAACAATTTACCGAGATAAACAAAAACAATTGTCAATTTAACCAATCAAGATATTGAAAAGCTAGCTGTTGTTAAAAACGAACCACAAGAATGTGGTTTAAAATTGTGTCTGCTTATTATTTCCATACATTCTGTACGCATTTTGGAAGACTGTAGAGCCTGTCTAAAAAAAAAATGGTACAATCAGAATTTTTTTTGTTAAATATGAAATTTCAAAATAAGTCATTCTTACTTGGCATAATATTAAAGAACAAAGACTGGGCTTTCCAATATTGTTTGTTTGATCTTATTTGCTTTTGTCAATTCAGGGATATAATTAATTTAGTGCGATACATCAAAATCGATTTTGTGCCACTTTCATGCATGAGCAGAGTTGTTTCGAGTACTATGGCACAAACTTGATTTTTGTGTTCCGCAGTAAACTGGAGTTATCTCTGGATTGACAAAAGCAAATGAGATGAAACAAAAAGTATTGGAAAGCCTGGTCTTTTTCCTTTAATGTGATGCTCAAAACGACTAACTTATGTTGAGATTTAAAATTGAAAAAAAAAAATCCTTTTCGATTGTACCATTTTTTTTGAGACAGGCTGTATCCGGTTCGTTAGTAAAAACGTCATTCACGCGCGTCCACCATTGATTATTAGCGCCCATTGGCTACAAACGCTCTAGCTGCGTTAACTTCCGGTTCCAATCTTGCAGAAAGTGCTGGAGGTGACGTCACACTAACGAACCGGATAATAAAAAAAATATTAGCTGGGGTATAAGTCTCACCATAAACAGTGGGTCCTATCTAATACATTTTACAATATATTTTCCTACTTTCAGGAGATAAAGACGAAGACGAGTGTCCCTTGTCTAAATATTACACCTGTTTACTGCCAGCTGAGGGTAAAAATAACCTTTTCAAATTACATTAGTAAATTCTGTGCGTTCTACATTCTGTGTTTTACATGAAGATTCTGTTAGGATTTAAATGTCACGCACTTTAAGTTTTACGGTTTGTATATTGCAGGCCTGCCCATGAAAAGAATCGGTATCTTTTATTTGTCCTGTTCGACTCTGATAAATACTGGATTGGTTTTGTCAGTTGTGCGAAATGAAATTTAGAAACTATATTCAGCGAACATAAAGTAGGAAATTGACTTAAGGAGTTAAATATGTGGGTTTTTTTTTGTTTTTTTTTGTTTAAGTTTCTCCCTTGTATGAGCCCGCCTCTGCTGCCAAATCGTCCACAGGCTAATAATAGTAATACCTCTGTGATGAAATCAACAAACTACATTTACCTTTTTAGATAAATTGAACATTTTCATTCTTTTCAAGTATAACTCACCTGCTTTTTAACGACCATGGCGTATGAACACCTGCGATGACGACACGATTTCCTTGGCAACCACGGCCTATAATAAAAGTTAAAACCAGGCATATCATTACTTCTTCTTGCAGCCAACTTCGCCGCCAAAGACAAGTCTTATGACTGCCAAGTTCCCTGCAATCTCACCATCTATGACACTCGTGTATCCTTCGCCTATTATCCCGGTCAACATCACTTAGACGAACTTACACGGATGACCAACCGCACTGAGAGTGACATCAGGTGAGACAATAATAGAATGGTTTCCTGACGCTTTCTTTGACGTTAACGCGATTTAGGTGACTGGACGCCAGCCAGTCTTTTGACTGACGTACGTAGAAGATGCATGGGTGCCCCGATTGCAACTATTTATTCTCCAAAATGTTTTCTTCGTGCGGTGACATGTCCACAGCTACACTAAATGATTGTAAGTCCAGTTGCTGTCCACTATGCATAAAAGAAAGCTCGTTTCAGGAGAACGTGAATTCCGTCGTGGCATTGCGAATCGAATTCGAGTCCCGCGACGCACGGGTTAAGTTCACGAGATGTCATCATTTGAATTGCGCCCTCTGCCGTCTGCACTATACAGATTCGGTTGCGATTTAAAACATTTAAAGCAGGAGTTCTGATATTTTGTTATATGTTGATACAATTCATTTTTTTTTAAAAGTGTGTTTGTTGCAAAGTTCAAGTGACCCCGAGACTGGCGATTAATTTGGTTTTAAATTTATACATGTGATTTAATATTTGGGTTTTTATTATATATGAAACATTTACTGATGGGGGGGGGGGGGGGGTTAATACTCGTTTAAATAACTTTATCTCTGGTCGTCTTTGTAACACAGGAAAAACGTGTTGGATGTTAGAATCTACTTCGAAGAACTCAGCTTCCAGAAGATACAAGAAATCCCTTCCTACGAATTCACAAGTTTACAAAGTGAGTGCATGAACGACTTTTTATATCTGTACTAATTTATCTCCAAATCTATTACTTCTTTCTGAAATAAAACATTATACTTGTGTTCATTATGGCTATTAATAGTTTTAATCTATAGCTAGCTGCCACTATGCTGCAGCTACACCTACGTACGGTGTCACGTGAGTATGTAGTGATCACGTGTTCAGGCCTCTCTCTCAACAAGCAAACATGTCTGGTTCCTTCTACAGGTAGTATTGGCGGCTATATGGGCCTCCTCATAGGCGCCAGTCTAATCACGATGTTCGAGTTTTTGGACTTCATCTTGGTTACCACGGCAACCTATCTAATGAAGAATCGAGAGGTCAAACGACTGAAGGGAAACCGAGTGAGGGGAAAAGAGGATCGACACGAAGGGTCTACTACAAACACAGAGGAAAGGCCTTACTTCATTCAAAAGTAAAGTATACTGGATGGAGCGCCCTCTCCTCTCGTGAACTCTGCCAAAAACTGGCAGCTACAATTCACTGAGAGCAGTTTTTTAGAGCAGTCCGGACGCCTCACCTCACCCAGACTGTCCAAGCACATTCCAGATAAAATCGCTCGCCGTCATTTGACAATTTGCAACATTTGTTGTAGTTTCTCATCGCTTATAAAAAGACTCGAAATATTACAAAAACAACAACAAATTTTATGGCTTGTAAACATCATTAGGTATGTAAAAAAAAAGAATCAAGACACAAAAATATATAAAATGTATAATAAAAAACACATAATAATTACGATCACATAATAATTAAGATGTTTGTCCGTCTTAATATTTTCTAATTCAATTCTTTTGCACTATTTTATTCAATTGAGCGATAAGACACGTGTATGAGTTACTAAGTGTATCAAGACAGGTTTCACAGTTAAGTAAATATACGTTTTGTTAATTTTAGGGCGAAATATATTATTCCGAGAGTTGGTGCAGCATGGCTCATTACTTGAACACTCAACACCAAATTCTCCTTTCGTTTTGTATTAACTGCCAACACCTTCCTCTGTGTTTCAACAAACACGTTTAAAATATTAATTATTTAAACTAGAGATGGCAAATGAACGCATTATGAGTAAAGATGCTGGTATTTAGTTCCAATGATCATTCAATGCTTTGTCTAAACATCTCCCATCATTAATGTTGGTAAGACCCATAATTCGTTTTCACTGACACTTATATATTTTTTTTATATATAAGTATATTTTCCCGATAGTATGAAAAAGAGCGCCGTGAAAGCGTATAAATAAATTTTGTTCAAAAGAAATGCTTTCATTCGTTTTAAGTCGTTTCCATTTTTATATAAAATATTCTGCTGTGTTTTATTGACGTCAAATGTGTTTTGTCCTCTCAATAGTTTTAAGATATACTGTAGTATATATCTGAAACGTGACCGGTTTTATCACGTAAATTTATAATGATTCAAGGCATCTCGTCCCTGTAAAAAAATCGATCGGTTCGTTTAATTCGCATGACACCAGGTTGCAACAAATGTCCTATTTGAAGAAAATTACGAAACAATCAAAGAAAGTTTGCTCAGAAGTTGATGAAATATAAGAGAAAAAATTGTTTACGTAATTTTGATTTAGTTAGTACTCCATCATTACAGAAAGCAAGGTACGTCGTCTGGCACATTGATCGTGTTTCAAAGCAGAGTTTGGAAAGACAATTTTACAGTCTGAACATGATATTTAAAATAAAACAAATTGGTTTTGGTTACTGCAGTCCAGACGTCAGCATGCAACAATACCGCATAACGACCCGAGCCGAACATCCAGACTCCAAACCGCGACCTGTATTAATTCAAACATAGTCAGCCTCGACTCCAGGGGCGCGTGCTCGTTCCTTACACTAACCCCTGGCTGTGATGATGACGTAAATGACGCTGAATGGATATTCACAGCGTACTGCGCGGGCATTTCGAAGATTGCACGCCGGGCGCGCCCATAATGCGCTCGCGCTCGCGTGCTTAGCTTTGCACGTAACGTCACGTACGAAAAAAATAATTATGATTCAAAAGTCGCGATGCCTGTACGATATGGATTATGTCAGCCGCGTTTTTCGCTAAAAAACCCCTGTATCTGTGGTTGTAAAGGCACGAAAGGGGTACGTACATTTAATACAATTAATTAACACAACGTCCAAACGTTGTGTTTGAAAGGATTGATTCTTCAAAATCACAACTTTTAACACTTTAAAGATGGCGTCGGCACGTAAAACGGATAAACTGCAGCCCTAATTATAATGTACCGTATTTTGGTATATTTAAATTACACAATTCCAGGGGTTACGATCGCGCAAGGCATGATGGGAAACAACATGGCGCTGCAAGATCGTACCCACGGGGCACGAGGTTGAAACATAGTGTTTAAAAACGCTCAAACGCCAAAGAGTTCCATAATAGCTCTATGCAACGCATTTATTTATTGCCTTAACACGACACCACGAATATCATGGCACGCGCGCGTATTTAACAGAATTACGTTACACAGAAAAAAAAAATATTCTTAAGCTATGAAAAATTACAAATACATGTATACATTTTTTTTATAAGCCAACAAACGTGTACGGATGGATTAAATTCGTGTCAACTCTTTCAAAAGCGATTTTCTCAGCAACATGCTTGCGCATCATCTGCAGTTCGTCAAAGCGAACAATTAATTGTTCGATGACGCTTAATTCAGTGTCCGATGTGCGCGCGCACACCCGGGTGTCAGTTCGTGAATCCAAAATTGTTAATTACGCGGTTTTCACGAACTGACACCCACTTACTTGCGTGCGAGTGTCAGTGGTGATATTCGGCAAAACGATGTCAAGTTTGATGAATTACAAGGCAAGATTGATGAGCTAGTATGAGGTGACACAAAGTCCTGTGGAAAAACAAACCTGCAGGATCGAGGATGGAATAGCAGACCGTGTCAGACAAGCAGACGCAAGAGCGAGAGAGCAGAGAGAGCAGGTTACGAGACAAGGTACCGGCCAAGCTATGATAGCTGAATCCCCATCAGAGATGGCTGGATCAGGACGGAAGACACCGAGAACTGAACAGGAGACAGAGGAGAGAGAATGCACCTCACTCAAGGAACATATCGCTAAGTTTGGAGATGGTACAACCTTCCATGGGGTTCGTTTCGTCACGGACTATAAAGTTCATTTTCTTAGGAGGTAACTACATTCAACTTTCCACAAAACAAATGACGGTTTTCTTAAAAATATATATTTTACCAATATTATGCGATTATTTTAAACCTGTATCTTTATGGCGAATTTGAATTAACATGCTGTCTCGCTCTTCATTATCGCATGAATCATTTAGGAATTTTTTTTTCGGTTTTTAATTGGTTTGTTGGATCGTTGCATACTTGTTTGTTAAGTCATTTCTGTGATTGTTACAAAAAATGTAATAACAAAAAAAATAATATTAGTTGAACAGGCCTATATACCATCGGCGATATGCTACAATCGTGTTCAGACTAAACATAATTACGCAAGCCCATCGCGAAAACCTACCCGTAGCTCTTAAAACCTATCGACGTAGGTGGTATGAATCTTTGCAATGTTTTTATGTTTGTTGATGTGTTTATTCGGGCCCAAAGTAGGCCCACTACGCCACAGTATTTTGACGAAGCAAGGCGAGCAAAACTTGACAAGTTCATGTCATATTGCAATGGAGAGGTTCCCTTTAGGAGCCATTGGACAATCTATACTCCGAGACAAAATACATTAATTGAGATTTAAGCCAGTGCTAATTGTGCTTCGTTTACAGGTTAGTATGGGTCTGTATTGTCGGTGGTATGACAGGATATCTCTTGTATGGAATCTCCATCAGTATCATGACCTATTACCAGCGACCAGTGTCGAGTGTGGTCAGAATCAACTACGTTCGTGAGATTCCATTTCCTGCTGTGACATTCTGCAACTACAACCAATGGAAGAAATCTCAAGTCCCACCCGACTTCTTAGATGCTGTACGCTCCTTGAATCCAGCCAACAAATCACCGGTGGATGTGGAGTACTTAAAGTCACACGATGGTATAAATATGACAGATCGACTCATTAATAGTACACATCAGATTGAAGACATGCTGCTGGAGTGCACCTTTAAGGCAGCCAATTGCTCCGCTGATAACTTCACTCGAATCTTCACTGATTTCGGCTTGTGTTACTCGTTCAACGACGATCCTGAAGACGTGTATTACATCCATCAATCCGGGAGCCATAATGCGCTGTTTATGAAGATCAACGTGGAACAACAGGAATATATCTTTGGAGAGAATAATGCTGCAGGAATTAAGGTACGGTATACACACGAACAAATGCTGTATTTTTATTGGTCCTTACGGATAGAATTATGAGGGATTCGTTGCAATTTTTAAAACCAATAATGGTAAAGGAGTTAACTTATCAAGAATTTAAAAAAAATCAATGCCGCAGAAATAAGTCTAAAAAAAAATTGCAGGGTTCCGATATGTCAATTTGAGATGCTCACATGTTTTTTGAACCTGGTATGGTAAAGAAATAAATGATATTAAAAAGATATTTTTAAAATGCTGGTAGCAGAAAATCTATTAATGCACAATTTTCGAAATGTTAACCCGGTGAACTTTTAACCCATCATGATTATCGTTGTATGCACTTATAAAAAGAAAAAACGTTTCGCGTAGGATTAAATCATAAGAACGGAACCTTAATTGAAAATATATTACTTAATCAACTCAAACTATACCAATATACGCTGACGCTAAAAGCCCTCGATCAAAGGAACTGCAAACATTTGAACAATCTCGCAGCAGAACGCTTGGCAATTCATCAAGGCCTAATATTGACCTGACACTTTTTTGGCGGCGTAACCATGGCGTAACCAGGCAACAGTTTATAATTTGTTGATGGGTAGAAATTAAACCAGGAAATGTGGTCGAAATTAAGGGTAAATCCATTAGGGTATATATATTATTGATCATTACCTTTACTGTATTTAATAATTACCGCACGTGATACGCATGTTCTTAATTAAGGCAATACATGCCAGAAAGTCTAGAATGCACACCCCATCTGTTTATGTCATGACGTTAAAGTTTTAAGGTTTCGTGTATTTTTAATGTAGTTGCTGGTTCACCCTCAAGGACAGCGCCCTCTTGTGAAAGAATTGGGAATCGCCGTCTCGCCGGGCTATGAAACACTAGTTGGAGTTGAAATAAAACAGGTACGTCGGCATGACAAGTTCGTTTTCCATTCTACTTTTGACAAAATGAACATATTAATATCATTTGGAAATGAATAAATTTATCTCAACATTGGTGTAAACCGTAAAGACGGTAAAGTTTTGATTCAGTTATATTTGAGCTCATTGATAACTTTCTAGTGTTATAACAGGTTTTTATTTCACTTTTGATGACTTAAGAGATCTCTAAAACAGTCACAGTCAAGTACGCTTCATATTGAATGTAACAAGTACAACCGATGGTTTTTAGACAAGACTTTGAAAGTCAGGCTGCAGATTGAATTGAATTGAATGTTGTGTTTCTAGGTTTTGAATTTGAAGGAACCCTACGAATCTAACTGCACTGATGGTGATCTGAGGTTTTCTAACAATTACACAGTTCCGATGTGTCAGTATGAACACAGGATTGAGAACATCCAGGAAAAATGCGGCTGTAGAGACATGAGACACCCAGGTACGGAAGAAAACTCTGTACATTTATTCTGATGTAAAGGAAAAAACGCTTGTTAAATTCTGAAACAATTTACCGAGATAAATACAGATAAAATTGTCAAATTAACCAATCAAGATATTGAAACGATAGGCTGTTGTAAAGCACGAAGAAAGAAACCTCAAGAATGTGGTTTAAAATCGTCTCTGCTTTTTATGTCCATAAATTCTGCACGCATTCTGGGAGACTGTATAATAGAAAGTTATTGGCTAGTGTATAGGTCTCACCATAACCAGTAGGTCCCATCTAATAAGCGTTCACAATTTATTTTCTTATTTCAGAAGATGAAGACGAAGACGAGTGTCCCTTGTCAAAATATTACACCTGTTTACTGCCAGCTGAGGGTAAAAATAACATGTTTTTATCACTTTCATCAATTTTTGCTTTCGTTAGTCATTTTGCCTGAAGATTCTGCCGGGATTTAAATGTCAGGCCCTTTTAAGTTTTACGGTTTGTATATTGCAGGCCTGTCCAAAAGAATCGGTATAGTTTTATTTCTCCTGTTCGACTCTGATAAACACTGGATTGGTTATTTCAGTTGTGTGAAATGAAGTTTAGCCTCTATATTTAGCGAGCATAAAGTGGAAAGTGGACTTTGGGAGGTGAGAATGGGTTTTTTTTTTCTGGTAGTAATTTCATTTTGCTGCCCCGTGCCCGCCTCTGCTGCCAAATCGTCTGTAGGCTTTGCATCTGTGATGAAATCACCAAACTTCATTTACCTTTTAAGATAAAATGAACATGTTCATTCAAGTATAACTCACCATTGCGTGTGAAGACCCGTGGTGATGACGCGATCTCCTTGGCAACTACATCCCAATAAAACCAGGCATATCATTCCTTCTTCTTGCAGCCAACTTCGCCGCCAAAGACAAGTCTTATGACTGCCAAGTTCCATGTAATCTCACCATCTATGACACTCGTGTATCCTTCGCCTATTATCCCGGTCAACATCACTTAGACGAACTTACACGGATGACCAACCGCACTGAGAGTGACATCAGGTGAGACAATAATAGAATGGTTTCCTGACGCTTTCTTCGACGTTAACGCAATATAGGTAACGAGACGCCAGTCTTTTGACTGACGTAGAAGATGCATGAAACTTTGAAAGCGCCACGGATGAAACTACATGTATTTTATTCTCCAAAATGTCCCCATAGCTAAATGTCCAAGTAAAATGTCCATAGCTACTTTAAATGGTTGCTGTCCACTGTGCATACTCCAAAGAAAGCTCGTTTCAGAGCGTGAATTCTGTCCGGGCATTGCGAATCGTTTCGCGCGCAGTACATGACAAGTTCATGAGCTATCAATCAGCATTTGATAGCGCCCTCTGCTGTCTGCACTATACACACACGGTTGCGGTTTAAAACTGTTTAAAAACATTTAAAGCAGGTTTCCTAACATAAATTTTTTTGATACAATTTATTCTTTAACAATTTTTTTTGTTAATTTTGTCGTCAAAGTTCAAGTCACTCTGAGACTGGCGAGTAATTTGTTTTCAATTTTACCGTGATGTGATGTAATATATATGATATGAAACGTTTACTGCACCCCCCCCCCCCCTTAAAGTGGGTACTTGGGGTCCTACTGGTTAAAATAAGTTCATCTCTGGTCATCTTGGAAACACAGGAAAAACGTGTTGGATGTTAGAATCTACTTCGAAGAACTCAGCTTCCAGAAGATACAAGAAATCCCTTCCTACGAATTCACAAATTTACAAAGTGAGTGCATTCACGGCTTTTTTATCTGTACTAATTTATCTCGAAATGTATTATTTCTTTCTAAAATAGAAAATGTATACTTGTAAACATGTCTGGTTCCTTTTACAGGTAGCATTGGCGGTTATATGGGACTCCTCATAGGCGCCAGTTTAATCACAATGTTCGAGTTTTTGGACTTTATCTTGGTTACCACGGCAACCTATCTAATGAAGAATCGAGAGGTCAAACGACTGAAGAGAAACCGAGTAAGGGGAGTAGAGGATGTACACTAGGGACCCTCTAATAACACGGAGGATGGGAAACGCCGGCCGTACTTCATTCAGAAATAAAGTATTTCCGGATGAAGGGCCCTCTCTTGAACTCTGCCAAAAACTGGCAGGTAAAATTTAACGAGAGCAGTTTTCAGAGCAGTGAATTATATCAACGCGTTTACTCTATTGCTAAGGCAGGTACTCGGATACTGTTTACCAATCAGACAGCATATGGCGACGAAGAAGAAATCAATAAAGTGATGCGTACAAAGTACCCAGGATCATTTTCCTGTAAATATTTAGCACATGCAAATACACACAGGTTCAACAGATAGAACATTCGTGTTTTCCATACCCAATAGTCAAAAATAAGTAACTGCATACATCGATTCATACTTTGATTCATATTTTCATCATTTTCTCACAATTTCCATTGCATATCTTTTTCCTTAATATGGATGTAATATGTAAGAGCTTTATTTAGGATTTTTAGTGAGGGAGCTCAATAAGACCTTTGGTTGTATTACAAAAACACGAAGAGGAGGCCATTATAATATGTCTACGTACGAATTTAGATTCAAAGCACTTGCGACATATGCTGTTAATGCAATACCAGCAACAATACAATAATTTATAATAACCATCGCTAATGTAATGATCCAATTTTTGTGTAGCACACAAAGTAATTATTGTTGTGTCTGTTAATACCATCAGTGCAACAGGTGCTGCGCCTATGGCCATGAATGATGATACAATATTGAACGGTGATTCCACAATATTTTCAGAAACTGTGCAGTATTTTGTTGAATAACTGACGAGACGACACTACTGATTGGCTATCGGTGCGCCGTGCAATTTTGGTCCGTGCAATTTCGATCATTACATGTTCATACAGCGAACTCTTCGATCTGATCAAACGGATCCCTGCCAAAGCAGTGCCAGTTTGAACATTAAGATTGAGAGACTGGTTGGCTTGCCATGTTGCAGGCGACAGAAATCAAAGTTGTAGCCATTTTCATCCTTCTGGGCGCAGCTTTGCTCTTTGGGCTTGCCCCAGTATGTCTGTTCTCCAAGTCCTCCATGACAGACCCCAAGCACCGAGCACGACTGAGACGCGTCGTGGGCTGGCTCAACGCGTTTGCCGGTGGGGTCTTCATGGGAATCGCGCTGATTCACCTCCTCCCGGAGGCTCGTAGACTCTTGATAGATGCATTCAAGATGCAAAACATGATGTATCATTTCAACTGGGCCGAGTTGATTGCAGCATGTGGGTTCTTCTTGATCGTCTTCGTTGAGCAGATTGTTTACCTGTGTCAGGAAAGACTAGGTAACAATGATGAAGCATCAGAAGAAGTTGCCTTCGCCGACAAGGATCGCAGTCCCAGTGATAAAACATACACCAATGAAACATCTCCAAAATCGAAGTCTGACGTTAAGTCAGCAGCAGCGGAGCCTGACATCGATGATGCGGGGGACAAGACGGCGTTAACCCCGGCTAGCTCCACCGAGGATGATCCGATGAACCTCCCCGTACGCCTCACCACACTCCGGGCTGTCATTCTCCTCATATCCCTCTCTCTTCACTCCATCTTCGAAGGCCTTGCCATCGGACTACAACTCACTCGTAAAGATGTCATTGATATCTTCATCGCTATTGCTCTACACAAAGGCATAGAGGCATTTACCATCTCAATCAGCTTTGCTCAGACCTACGCTAGCCACACGGCCAAGACCGTCTACTGCGTCGCCTTCGCCTTGATGTCACCACTAGGCGTAGCCATCGGAATACCCATAGCCATGTCCACTCGTAACCAACAGAAAGCTGTGCCTGGATCAAGCCTCATGATCAATGCCATTCTACAGGCTTTGGCTACCGGTACTTTCATGTTTGTCACTTTCATTGAGATTCTACCCCATGAACTGAACTCCAAGAAAGACGGCTTGCTCAAATTTGTCTCAATCGTGGCTGGTTTTGCCGCCATTTCGGCACTCAATGCTATCGAACATGACATGTAAAGGCGAAAATTCAACTTCACAATTGACTTCGTTATTTTTGGCATCCATTCCTGAACCGATGAGCATTCCTGAATTTACAACTAATTGTTTTCATTTCAGAAAATAGAAAAATCCAAGAAAATTTCATCTAAAGCCGCTCGCCGTCATTTAACAATTTTCAACATGTGTTATACATATTTCCTCATCACTTATAAAAAAAAGGCACCGAATACTGTACAAAATAAATAAATTTATGACCTTAAAATGTTGTAAATATCATTAGGTATGTAGCAAAAGCTTCCAACCAAAGAAAGTATATACAACATGTACCATAAGTAGCGTTATAAATTTTGCCAATCTCATAACAAATAAAGATATTTTTCCGGCTTTCATATTTAATTCAATTCTTTTGCGTTCTTTTATTCAATTGAGCCATAAGACAGCGTAGTAGTTATTAACTATATTAAAATAGGCTTTACTGTTCTAAATTAACGAAATTTTGTTCAGTTTGTTTTTCGAGATGACTCCGATACTTGGTACAGCATGGCTAATTACTTGAACACTCAACACCAAATTCTCATTTCGTTTTGTATTAACTGCACACACTTTTCCTCTGTTTTTCAACAAACACGTTTAAAATGATTTGAAGTTGAACTGACATTAAACTAAAGGAACGCATTGTGAGTAAAGATGCTGGTATTAGTTCCAATGATGATTCAATGCTTTGTCAAAACATATCCCATCATTGAATGTTGGTAAGACAGATAATTCGTTTTCACTGACAATGCTATAGGCCCTCTTACGCCCATTTTTTTCAATGCAAGGTCAACTTGTATTAAGTACATTTTCACCGATATAATAAAAAAAACCACAGTGGGGTAAAAGCGTATAAATAATGACGTATTTTAAGGGAAATTCTGTGTAAAAGAAATTCCTTTCGGCGATATATAATTTTCATTTCATTCGACATTTAAGCAAAAAGTCGATAAAAAAGTGGTGCCGATACCAGAATGCCCTAGAGACTAAACATATTAAATACGGATTCGTAATATGTAAGATAATAATGATACTTAATGTTAGCAAATTATTAGAGTAATTCCAATGCTTATGGGTTTAAAGGTAAAATAATGACTTGTAGTATCAAAGCCTACATTTTGAAGAAAAAAAAATCTTGCATAGTAAGGCATGTCGTTTTGTACTGTGTAGATTATATTTACCAGATGTTACTCCTCTATCTTATTATGCTTACATACCAACAAGGCCTATTAAATAACATAATGTCCCGACTTAAAAATGCCATTTTCTCTTACCTCCCACACAAAAATTAAACGCTATCAAACTCTCCCTTATGGTTACAAACATGCCCTGTTTATTAATCCTACAGAGTACCTTGTAATCCATACCATTGCCTTCCAGATAACAAAATGACATACGCTAGCAAAGACGAAAAATCAATAAATATCGATCACTGCTAAAGAAACCCGCAAAAAAACATTATTTTTCGACTCATCAATAAAGAATAAAATATTTTACCAAATAAAAGTACTAGGACTATAATTACCTGTCACTGTGCAACTCAGGATTTAGGATTCTATATTCTGTGTAGCCATAAATACATGTTGATAAAAAAAAACATGTTTGACTTAAAAATGACACAAAGATTTGGACATACAAATGTAGGGCATCTCAACAAATTATATGCATCGTTAATAACATACAGAACTCAATGGTATCATTCCAACTTCTTCCAAAAATAGGCTATATAACTTACTTGTCGAAAGGGTACATAATAGTCATGAAGATCAAAGTCATAATTAAGTAAAGAAGCAGTTTTCTTGAAATCAAAACCTTGCATATCAAAATGACAAGAAAAAGAAAAACTAACCCCCATTGGAAAATCTACGACCGTTTTCAGTTTTATTAAAATCGTTTCAGAAGTCTCAGAAACTTCAAGAACTTAACAAAAAGAAATGGCAAGTTTATTTATTCTCAGCGTGAGATTGCAATTAATAAAACAACCTTGACTAATATCAACTGCACTTACTAACTAGAAGTGTTTAACAGCCTAATGTTCTATTTTTGCTAAGTACCCAAACGCTATGTTCTGAGTAGTTTTGTATGTAAAGCAACCATGCAGACGAAGGTTCTTGAGTCAACAATCATCAATTACAAAACCAAGAAATTAAGTACTAAAAGGAAGTTGTCACTTAGTTTCTTGCAAATAATATCAATTGAAAATTTAGAAAAAAGAAAAAAAGTCCCATAAGAAATCACTGCATTAGGTATTCTGAATGAATTCTTGTCTGTTAGAGTTAGGTTCTTTATACCTTAATTAATAAAATCAGAGTTTAGGTGCCTCAAAGCCCACATTATCAACTGCATAACAGTGACCTACTTTGAGACATTATTTGGCCCACCGTCTCTAAATACTTGCATTTTTCAGGTTCCTTCAAATGAATAAACACTTTTGATTGATGAAACAGAACTGATTTAAGTTCTGATAAAGGAAAAAATGAGAACTTGCTGCTCCCAAAATTTCCTAAAGAATATTCATAAAGTTATTAAAACATATTACCAATATCAATCATTCAGGTACCATACATCTGTAAAGTCTATCAAGATATCAGTTTAACTGGAAATATCTACACCACTTCATGTAAATATCAATGTACACAAAGGGAAAGGTATGTATAAATCTGCATCATATCAGGAAGTCTGCATACATTACTGTTGTTGTATGATCCATCTTCCGAGTTAAATAAGGGGAAAAAATACATTCTACAAATATAAAACCAACAAACTTCCACAGGCAGAATTTACAGATTTCAGAAGAACTGCATTAAAACTAAAACTGTTAGAATTACAAACCATTATATCCCTCCTTTACATTTTGAAACTATTTGAAAATAATTATAAATCATAATTTTTAGTATTCATACGCAAAATGTAATGATCCAATTTGCATCAACGAAATAAAACTAAACCTTTGTTTTTTAAGAATGATTTTTACCTTGATATACTTCAAGCTTGATGTCTAAACAAAAACAACCGAAAAGTGATTGGCTTTGAATATGCAAGGCAGCAGAAATACTATTTACATATGTTTTGCATAAATTTAACTTGGAGCAAAAATTGCAAACCTTACATCAGAGGTCTTAGCATGGACTTGCCATCAGTCCATATGTCAAGATGGCTTGAAGGCCTATCACAGACTCTCGTGATGAAACACAAAGGATTATAGGTAATCCAAGTTGACAGCAGTAACAAGTTCAGAGTGGCATTAAGATCTTGCATATTTACATTGCATTGAGCTTGACAGCCAATCACAGTGCTATGATCCGCCCAAGCCTAGGATTATTGTCCAATGAGAGTACTTTATAATTAGCTTGTACCAGAACATGAGTTAAGGTAATGAGTTGTAGTGGTATCTCCACTCTGCCTGTGCAAGGACATGTAGATGGTGCCCCGTCTGTAAACTGGTGCCCAGGTGTTCAAGCACCTGCAGTACACTAATATGGACATGCATAGTCTGCGTCATAGTAGATCCGTGTCTTACCAGCTAGACATGGGTACCAGTCACTCCAAAGAATAAAACGCTCATGTCTGCAAGCCAGGGTGAGTTCCAGCCTCTATAACCGCTGGGCTTCCCTTTAGTTTCAAATGTCATGATTCTTACAAAAACTATCCTGATTAAACAGAAATCAAGCAGGCCGTAAAACAGATCATGACTAGGAACGATCCATTGGTACACCTTGTCTTAAGTAATAAAATATCAGTAGCATAAGCTTATATTAAATTATTTACATATTTACATATTTAAAGAGGCACTCACTGCAAAGGATAAACCTGTCATCAGGCTTGGGTTGGTCTGCTCCTTTAACCGTCATCCGTGGAAGGGGCTCGAGATTTCCTCCAGAAGCTCATCTTGCTTGTAATGTTGCTCATAGGAAAGTTGCGTGAGGCACGAGAAAATGCACCCTCGTGTTCCTAAACATCAAGAGCAAAGAACATCTAATGAATTACAATTCTTTTGCAAAGCCAATATTAAAAAATGCATTAATGAAATAAAATGCCCTATTTGATTGTGATCATTTTCAGTTTCAGATCTCACATCTGAAGCAATCAGTAGAATACTAATCAACCTACTATTCAACATAACAAACAAAATTAAGGTACATCTGTAACCGTGTATTTTTGCTTAACAATATTCAAATTCAAATTGTGATAATGAACTTTAAATAAACAGGATTCTACACTGTGGTAAGAATGTGAAATTAAACAAATAAAGTTGAAATCAATGCTGAACATCTTTCACTACTGCTGCAAATACTTTATAGACTTTTTCCTCCAAGGTAGGCATGTACTTTTAGCACAGGCAAATTTGTAATTGCAACAGTTTATGCAAATCAAAACTTTCGCCATAGAGAAAGCATTGCGAATATTAATGAAATGTGCTTTAGAATCCATGCAACATAGTGATTATGCAAACCCATGTCTATCAGATCCCATGCAATAGAGGATGATAGTATGCCGCTTGCAGTGATAAGTGTCAGGCAATGCACAGACAAATTAATTTTATATTATTAAAAAAATATGAAAACATAAAAATGGAAGTTATAGTAACAAGTACATCCAATATTAAGTGTTTAAAAATGAATACGATCCAATTACAAATCAACGTGTACTTTATATGGTTACATACTGGTGTACATCAACTCAATACGCATGTTAGGTTTGTTCTCAATACAATATTTGTCCACACTTGTTTTCATAACATACTTACAGACTTGAAGGAGAGGGCATGAGGTGAGTATGTCAGTGATGAGGGGTCAACCACCTGTCATATCCAGGAGTCCGAGGGAGGAGGGGGGCGGGGTGGGGAAGGGAAGAAATGCAAGACTGATTTACAGGGTCTGTGCTTCCAAGTCACAAGTGAATGAAAAGACGTCGACCAAAGGACAAGAGCACAACATAAAAGTCTGTGCTTTGTGTCCAGCCATCATGGATGATCAAAGATCGCATTTGATTGGTTTGAGACCATCCAACGATATGCCAATCACATGCCTAGAGTCTGAAGTGGAAGACCATCACAAGTCTCATCACAAGACGAATCACAAGTCATTCACAAGTACGGTCACAAGTGAATGAGATTGTCATACATGTAGTGCTCACATGAACTTCTTGCAATCCTACGGCACCCTAGGAAGAAACTGTTGTTTTAATTCCAAAGGAAACATAACAATGTATTTGAAGTGAGGGTGACACTTTATTTAAACAGACTGTAAACTACAGGGTCAAACTTATTATAAAAGGAACATGCATACATGCTCATGAGCAAGCTAGAGATCAAATAGTTTCGACATCAGTCTAAAGTTGCTTAAAGCTTAAAGCAACACACAGCATGAGAAAACTGAGGTCTTATAAACTCACAGTTGAAGCAATTACTTGCAGTTGAAATTGACAGTTGAAATTCCTCAATGAATTGAGCAGATGATACTTAGTGACCCCGTTTGGAATAGAACCCAGGTCAAATGAGGTGGAGGTCAAGGACAGAATCACTGTACCAAACAACAAGCACAGACCACTTTACAGATAGCTCCCAGAAAAGAAATGTGCTGTGTAGTAATGTTACGCTGCGTGCTGGGACACTTTGCAGTGCCCAAAATACCTGTTCGTCGCGCAAACTATCCAAAGATGCAACGCGCAGTTTACCTTCACTGCACACGCTCTATCTATCCGTAAAAGGGTCCATGCTTTGTGAGTGACACAACTAAGTTAAAAATGAGAGAATGAAGGAAAGATACGTACAGAGTTGGTTGACAAGTTGCGAGTACCTTCTCTCTAAGATCATCAGTGCAGAAGGACAAAACGGTGAAGAAAAAAATGAAGATGAAGGTGGACAAATGTTAGGAAATAGTAGCCATAAGGAAATAGTACAGGAAAAGGATTCAGAGGACAGGTGAAAGTGATCAGGAGAGATCTAGAAAACATTGGCAGGGAATGAGCATTTGAGAGTAAACAAGGAGTGCAACCAATGGTAGATGCAGCATACTTTCAGCTAAGCATTTGAGTTTCAGCTTACAAAACCACTGTCCAATGTATGATGATCATATAAGCAGTCAGCATAGCATACAGGATGTTAACTTAGGTGGTCGAATGTGCATAACCTAGTGAAGCAGCACTGCAAAATGTCAATGAACAAAGAAGCATTACTACATATATACACCGTGAAATATGCATCGGGGAAGAAAAAACAATTAGCTGCAGTAGCCGGCCAAATTTTCTGCAAGAGCTCAAGGAACCTGAACAGCAAAGTGGGATTTAAAGCTCACTTGAATCTTTTCACTCCTATCAATAATATGCCACAGTCCTGGTCTTGGCTCCCGATTTCTTGGTTTTTGAATACAATTTCTTTTCAGAAAAGAAACATAAACCATGTAGCCCCTTTTAATATAGCAAAATTAGCAAATTTCAGGCCTATAAATGAACTGGTGAAATGAGAGCATATCAATAATCTGACATCAATTAACTGTGTAATAATATAAACTGAAGTCACAATATGTATAAAGATATCAAAGCTTTATTTCTGGGGAAGACTATCAGATTTCGGCTGTTAGTGAAATCACTTCCTTTGTATCGAGCAGTAATTAAACAGTACAATTTCAGTGTTTTCTGTCAACATGCAATGTGAATTGTTCAAATTAAGACAGTGAAGCATATGGAGTTTAGTACAGCAAACCTGCCTTGCAGTGCATGTTAATATGTGATATGATAACTAGTGTATTATACAGACATGGTAGCTCCATTTAGTGTGCAAAATACAAATATTTCTACAAAGCTTCAGGAATTTCTAATCAATCCATTTTTGTGATTTCGCTTATATCAAGGTCATGGAAAAAAATATTGTTCATGTCATCTCAAAACATTTGTGGGGTCTCCTTTTGTCCAACATTTTGGGAGATGTTGGCTGATTTAGAACATTTTTCATTATTATTTATTTGTTCATGTGTCTTTTTAATTACTAAAAGCAAAATGAGTCGATCAAGACAGGCACATTCTCGTTGACTTTCAATGTTGCAATTTAACTATGAAGAAATTCTGACAAATTTGGCAAACTTCTGAAAAATTTCTGAAAACTTGACAAACCCAGGATATGGTAAATGTCTAACAACGTATTCAGAGGTTAAGCTTTGATTTGTGGAAATTAATCAGAATTAGGAACTAGAAAAACAAAGGTCAAAGTTACAAAAAAACCATACCTTAGATTTGAGCAGACCAGCTAACCAGAAGTGATATGAGGGTTCGTCATTAAGACACATTGCTCTGTTAAAATAAAGAGCATAAATAGGTTGACTGCTGCTGTTGACCACCATCATATAGATATGATTCAACCTTTATTTTGAAGGGGGGGGGGGGGGAGGTACATGCATTATTACTTGAGAAGCATGTGAATCAACCCTTCAGAAAACTTGCTCATTTCAAAAGTTTCTTATGATGTTGTTGCATTCTATTTCCAAAGATCTATTTCAAACAAAAGCTTGGTAATATTTCTAATTAAAAGTTGAGCATTTGAAAAGGATTTTATTTGAATTGGACATTATGTTTTCAACAAGGCTGCAGACTGTAGGCTTTCTTGTATTCTGACTAGTACAAACTGAACAAAGACGATGAAGTCTGGCACATGGACAATACATGTAACAACAGCTGGCTATGTTGGTACAGCATCGCAGTGATATTATGGAGGTCAGAGGTTCGAATCCCGATTCAATCCATTTTCATTGATAACGGACTTCAGGATAAGTTTAAATGAATAATCTCAATGATGCCATTGATACTTACCTAATGCCTTCTTCGTTGTTCAGATTGAATGAGATACCCCATCTAATGAGGAAATAACAAAAGGTTTGATTCGAGAAAATGACACAGAAAACAGTGATTTTTACAAAAGGATGGCTTTACACACGCATGTTATTCTCTTAGTAACAACAACCTTGTAGCACTGCTGTGTAGCTCTTAGACCAGAAACCAATATAAATCTTTTCATACCACAAAAAAATAAATTGCCCAGTGTCCACTGGAGACAAAGAGGACATATACCGGTATCAACTCAATTTGTAATTCTTCGTTTCTAATGCCACCTCCTCTTCTTGTTTTTCGTAACAGAAAACAGGAATTTTTGGGGTCAGTTTAAGAAATAAAACATCTTTATAACATGACCAAAACTTCACAACTCAAGACACTTTGCCATGTTTATTCTGCCCTCTAATACAAAAACTCCCTAGCTGAAAAAAACCCAGTTACAATGATTTGAGGTTTGAAAGTTAAAAAACTGTCTTCGGCTTACTTTGTTGGCGGTGATCGTTTCTTCTCAACTCCCACATAAATCTTCATGTCAGCAACCCTCCAAGTATTGGCTGCACTTGTATTCTGTATAACAGATGGACATGAGAATTGTTTTTGCTTAAACTGTGAAATACTGACACGGAAAGGCACACCCTGGATCTGCACAATTACAAACAATAAATATTTTTCAAGTGATGAAATGTTTTCTTGGAAAGGTTTTATCATCTTCATCCAAAGTTAACTGCAAATATGAATGTTGCTGCACTACTGAGAAATGATGAAAAACCATTACATTGTTTCAGTTCGTGCTAATTAGCCTACAAATCATAAGAGTATTAAACCGGAAATTTGAGAAAAGACAGACAGATAAACTTGAGGGAATTCTGTGCAAGTTTCACCTTTTCCTTGTAGCATGTGACCATGTTGTTCATCAGCTCAAACGTGTACTTCTTAAATGACTTCTTGCTTTCACTGTATTTAACCGTGTCCGTCAAAGTGGCTTGCTCCATAAACTGCACACAGATTAAAAAGATGAAAAGAGACTAAAAACCTGCCATGTTTTCAATCAAAGAATCCAAACAGTATCTTTGTGGTTACAACGTTGAAATATCCAGCAGCATACAACATGAATTACTTGAAACTATAAACTATGTCACAGACTGTGTTGTTTTCTTAAATTCTGCATGTTATTTACAAGAGTTGAATAGTAAACATAATGGTGGCAGGAGCGGCCACTATTATCAACGTTTTTGGAAAAATCTGGCAATTGTTTAATTACCGGTTCTATCTTGAGTATGAGATCATTGTGTTTGAGACAGATGTAATTATCTGGAGCCATATCTTTGCTCCATTGTAGGACCTGGGGCAGGACGGTCTCGTATCCATGAATCCAACGTTCTGTAACAAGGCAACGAAAAACAAAAACATAATGGCAAGATTCTACTCATGAAGTTTCTATCAGCATTTCTTTTATCAACATGTGTGGTTATTGTAATCTTTATTTCGTAATATCTTCTTTAGCCTAATGAAGAGAAACAAATCAAACAACAGGCCGAGTAAGAAAGCAAGTCCAACAATTTTCCAATCACAAGCAATTGATCTCATTTCTTTGTGTGACAGCTTTGTTACTGCATCATTAATCACATAGGCATCAAGGTTTTAGTACAATGAGATATTTTTGTAAATTGTTGAATTTAAACAGGGCATATTTTGGGTAGATACATACCAAGTTCTCCTTTAGCGATGATTTCAAACAGCCCCCATGAACCATCGTTAATCTTCCTCTGTTGCTCTAGAGCCATGCGGATGACTTGATCGGCAGTGTGCTCCAAGGAGATCTATCAAAGACAATGAGGATGAGTGTTACAATACAGACTCTTAGTAAACCTTCAATGGTGCTAAAGACAGATATGACACATACTTGACTGCAGTTTCTGTTGTATGCACATCAACCAAGCATAAATGCGTTTGTGTTCCTCTAGAAAAGACTATATTGTGTGTACCCCATGCAGTATACATGGGCAATTGCAGGGCTTTGCAACGTCCGTGACAGAGTTTTTATGAGCTCAGTTGATTATCTGAAAATGTGTTTTCACGTCATGGTCAAGGAGATTACAGACTAGAAGTTTTTGATCATTTTTTTGCATCATTATTTAGATGAGACGTATAGGTTTGCATGACGGGCATGAAGTATGGAAGGTTTGTGGTAACACCTTGTGAATTTTATCTATCTTGAGTTTTGTGGTTCTGAAAAGAGCCAGTTGTTGAACTCGATGTTTTGAACAGTGCGCTCTGTTCGAAATGTCAGGTTAAAACAACTGGTTCTGAGACTCAAGCGAGATAAAATTCACATGGTGTTACCACAAACCTTCCATACTTTACTTCATTCATTAGATATCACGGTCAACTGGCTCTGTCACGAACATTCACTTCCTTTCATAACGTTGGAATGGTTTTTGGTGAATAGAGTTCTGGGGAGGATGACAAACAGCACCCTCTATAGTTTACGCATAGAGTCCATTAGCTCCCTACACACCGTTGCCTTGTAATGTCAAACTGAGAGACATTGAGTTTGAGTTGTATAACTTGCCTTGATGTTGATACTGTTGCCCTGATCTTTCTTGCCCATGTAGATCTCCATCATTATCAACTCCTCAGAGAATGTCTGTCAAAAATAATCAAACCATATCAAGAAAATGAAATTCTTTTCCTTCAAATGTTTCCAATAGTCAGAAATTCGAATATTGTGTTTAATTTGAAGACGGCAGACAGCATTTTAAGTTGTTTCTTGAATGAAAGATGCAGAATTTTACTATGAAACAAGCAATTGTAGTAAAATGTCCTCCTCAAGGACATGAACTCTACACTGATTGCACAGTTGCTGACCTCTGATGCCCTGGCTGCTTTAATCTTGGCAACGCCTTCTTGATATTTCTGTTCCTTCTCTCTTTCTTTGGCCATTTCTTCTTCCGACACCTGGTAGAGCCAGTTGTAGTAGGTCAGGAGGTCCGCTATGACTGCTATCTCACGTTCGGCATGGACGTAGGATGACTGATAAGATCAACAACAAACACAGCAAACGATGATTGCAAAGTCTGCGTCGTGGATACGACTATAACCATTTGGTTCTAGCTGTAATTGTGTTTTTTATGTCGTTTTGAAGCAAATTGGATAATATGGTCTAGTTCAGTAACTACAATCAGAAGGTACTACTGATATGGTGCCCCGATCATGTACATTTCACACATTTTTAAATTTGCTATGGGTATATGCTATTTGGCAAGTTAGTGTGGCAACTATTAGTTGCTACACTGATCAAACCAATGACTAACAGTTATTGGTTGAAGGAGTGTCTAATGCATGTGAATGACCTGTTGTGAGTATTGAGCTACCAACTCAGTCTAACAGTTTTTATGGTGACAACTGGCCTTGGTATAGATTTCTATATTAATGAAGTGATGCTATATCCTCATCCTCAATCTATGGCATTTTCAAAAGGCAATCCTAAACAGTTAACACATCTGGTAAATGATTCAACCATGTCAATGCCTCTGTCTACTTACATCACAAGATGCTGCCATCAATGTTGGTCCAAATACTGCAGCGAGATTACGGATGTACATCTTGTTGAAATCGCTGTGCTCTGAAACACTGGTAGTTTGAGAAAAAGATAAGTTATTTGAAATGAAAGAGAAGGTCAAGTCTTTTGCAATAGTGTTGTTTTCCTGTATTGTTGAAGATTTGTTTCTACTTCTCCTGCATGGTATAAACCCATGTGAATGTTTGTAAATTCTGTCAATGAAGGACAAAGCTCGACATTGACATGGTGAGGTGCAAACCCTAACATTAACCCTAACCCCCTTGAGTGATTTACTATATACTATATGCAAATTCCAACACCACATGGTAACTCTACACCCAAATTGTTAGACTCTGATTATGGTGGTATGCCTGACCCCATGTAAAGCATAATCAGTTTACTAGTGCAGTACTCACTCCAACAGATTCCAACAAAATATTTAGAAGGGTTGGTAGTTAGGGTTACAGTTTACATCTCTCCAATGCAAACTTCCATCACGCAACACAGACAATCTTATCATTATAAATGTTTTGAAGTCTTACTTCTTGAGATGGCCTATCAGCATCTTGAGTGTGTGGAAGTTGACTAACGGCAGTTCACTTAGAAGATGCTGATACCACTGAAGACGTATGGAATGATCTTGATAGGCTGAGGAAAGACAACACCGGAGAAATCAAAGAAAATAAATTATAAGTTATATAAACAGACAGACAGACAACATAACTTGCAACTCAAAACCAGTACAAAGATGAGCAAACAGGCTGAGAATTGGATAATCAAACAGCTCGCTAAGGTGCACTCACAAGCAACTTCTGTCCACTTCTGATACAACTTGGATGTCAGCAGAGGATCCGGCAGCTCACGGAAGAACTTCTTGAGTGCTCCGGTCACATCATGGACCGAGTATTCTTCCTTGAGACGGGCTGTGCGTGAATCCTCCATGAAGGAGGTGACTATCTTACGGATGACGCTGCTTGTACCACTCAGACGATAGATTCCTTCTGTCATGACACCTGCACATTGAACAAACAAGGAACAAAAGAAGAACTCAAGTCAATTCCTGGTCTTCGAGATTTAACCTTTATTCTCATACACTGATACTGATAGAAAAAAGTTTTCATGTACGTCATTACCTACGCTGCAAACTGATACTCTCTACGTAATAGAGTTCTAATCTTTTCCAAGTTTGATACAAATATTGTGATACAAGGTGATGTAGCAGAAGTTGAGGCTACGGGTAGGGAATGTTGGTTCTTACCTTCATGGGTTGCAACGAAGTCAATGCACTGACTGACAATGATCGGTACATTATCAGCAGTCAATGGTTGATCTTCCAATGCCATGCCACCTTGCTGCAATGTCAGGAAAAATACACAAAATCTAAAATTATCCTAAGAACCTAAACCATCATCTCAATCATAAAACTAGAAATTACCAAACTGTGAGTTTGAGTTCATGACTCAGGTTACATGAGAACCCACTACCAGTCATTATCCGGTGCAGTCAAGAAGTGAAACTTTCCTCACCTTCCACCTCTTGTAACGCAGGTGAGAATCACCACCAGGGTGACATGTCAACTGGGTTTTCAGTCCCTTCATGATACTCTGGGTTTTAGCCTGAAATATCACGCCAGGGTTTCCCCCAAACCTCTATAGTTTCTGTTGTCTTCTTCCTACGTTACTTCAGACTTCTCAGCTGCAATGCCTTTGCATTTAGAGGATATGTGATGCGATCAAGCTAAATGAGTCATTTGTTGGGAATTTTTATGTAGAGATACAGGCCAAAATAGGGCCACTTCATCACATCACTTCATCACATCTCTTGGTGTTTCGACTTCCATAATTTTTGATCTAAAGATGGTATCAGCATGCGTATTTCACAGCAGCAATGCCGAGATTGTGCTCTTTTGAAATCTGTAATAAAATATTTTTTTGACCAGGGTTGACAAACGACTCATGTAGCTTGATCGCATCACATATCTTGGTTTCATTATCAGAAAGACTAAAGTTCAAATCTTACCGATGCTACTTTGTTGATGGCTTCATACCAGCAGTCAGCTGCCTGCTTAGTCTCTGCACGTAAGTAAATATTCCTGAAGGAAAGCAAAAAGTAAGATTGCATGAGTTTCCTTTCTTGTTTCCTTTCAATTTCAAGTTGAACCTGAGAGAGAAAAGTACCGAGGCATAGAACAGGATACAAATAACCAACCTCTACCTCTGTCCAACTATTCTTTCCAATACCACATATTCCCTTTGCTCAATTATTATTAATACTTTAAATTTTCATACATTGCCAGTTATGCATTTTCAGTCAACTTACTTTCCAGGGAGGACTATGGAGAGTGTGTGGTTATGGTCTGTTGCACTAGCAATGTCAGAATCTTGACGACCTGGGATGAGAATGAGATAATAATCAGATTAGCGATTTCTTAAAACGAACGTGATTTATACATGTCAAAGCAAAGCAAATATCTCGGAACTGATAACAAATTTTCCAATAAATGTGTGAAATCCTGTTGATCATGTGCTGATTTCAGAAGACCTCTTCAGTTTGACTTACTGAAATTGATGGATAAATGAAAAAAAAATTGTGCCCAGTGCTTTAATAGATATTTTTTTTTTTACCAATGAGGGCTGTTACATGTAAAACCCAATAGGAAAAGCATGCTAAATTACATTCATCAGGTAAGAAAATCTTAGCACAGACAATACTTGAACCACACACTGCATCCTTGACTATTATTTGTATTATGCTCTCAGTGGTAAAAAATAAATCAGCGTGTTGTCCGCTTTCGTACAAAGTACCCGGATGACTGCAATGTTATGTCAATAAAGTACCCCGATGACTGCAATACTATGTCAATAAAGTACCCCGATGAGGACAATATTATTTTTAAATTGTCCTCATGCGGGCACATTAACACATTTCACTGGTTCCCACACAATCAACAGCATATCACAGTTGTCAACCAGTCAACAGAGCGTAGTGCGCAGTATCCTCGCACGTGGACGCAGTGTGCAGCAGGGTGTATGCGCACTGTTGTCAACGGCAGCTTCAGCGAGCAAAGAATATTCAACGAAATTAAGAAATAAAGACGGTGTTCTGAAATTTATTTCCTGCGGGTCAAGTCAGCCTGATATAAATAATAGTAATATTGGATGGCTTGTTTTCAGGATGCAAGAATGATTGTTATAACTCCTGCAATATATTCTTGTACCCCAAAAAGCCATGCACTATATGAGTCAGTGTTTATTATCAGAGTGAGTTGAGACTTACTGAGTGAGATGAGTTTTCTCAGATCAATTTCCTCCAATTCATCATTGGTACTCGAGTAGGATACCAGTGATTTTCCCTTCAGTATGAACCATAACCGCTGCCAGTTGGTCTGCAAAAGACAAAACAATTCTTCATCAGTAGAGAGGGAATCAAAATCTACTCAGTGCATTTATGTTTCCTCACATTCTACTTCTGTGGCACAGGTTGGAATCTCATCCACGCCAATATGTGGTTTTGGGTTTCATTCAATTACATTGATTTTTCCTAGAATATCTTTCAGGTTCCCCTGCAAAATCTAAAATGAGTACTTCATCTTTAAGCTTCCAAGCATCAGGTTCTGCCTGTGCACCTTTGAGAAATGCTAGGTGCCAGAAAGAATTAACATAAACAAATGAATATACAAGTTTTGTGTTGACCTAATAATAAAGAATATTGGGAGAATTAAGAATGAAGCAAAACCTACTGCTGCAGCTCCTTCTTTCTTGTGCAGGAATCCAGCTTGCTCAAAATCCTGCCAATTAAACAAAAATGCAAGCAGTTTAAGAAAAGTGCTGTATCAAGCATTATAAAGCCTGCAAAACAAGAAAAACAAAACAAAACACAAAACAGAACAATTCTGCACCGTCAAGATAAAAAAGAACCAGGTGTGGCCAAATTCTCAGGGAAGCTTGGGCACGTAGTTTGAGCTGTGAAAACGAATTATATATAAATTTTTAGTTAAAAATTTGACAATCACAATTTTAATTTAGTTGGATTATGATGAAGTGTAAACAAGTTATCTCCATACATCGTGTAAAACAACCTTACCTCAAGAGACTCCCACATGCATTCCAGTGAGTGAATCTAAATTGTGAGAGAAATTAAGGAAAGATTACAAGAATTAGTTTTAGTGCAGACGACAGAATAAACACAGTGCATATACTTTTAGGCAGAGTCATTCTCAAGCACTCTTGTCATTTCCAATTTCAAATAAATGTACATGTACACTTAAAATCTAAAATGCTGTAGCCAGTGGGGTGTAAGGTACGGTATTTACCCCCCCCCCCAATATTTAGTAACGAGTGCCCTTTTTTTCACATGTGCCCCTTTCTGCACGAGTGCCTTTTTTCAACGAGTGCCCTTTTTTGGAATGTAGCATGAGCATGAACGTGGGCAATGGCGTTGCCATGATAGTGCTCATGATTGTCCACTTAAACAGCCCCCCCCCATAAAAATGACCCTGCTATGCCATTGATGCATCAGATCATCCCATCACCCCATTCAGCATATACGCTGAAATTAGTAATGATTTATCGTTATGACAACCAAATATCAATTCTTCATAAAAAAAGACTTTTGTGGACAAATTGAATTTATTAAAGCTTAAGATATAACTCAGGGAATGTCTGGTAATGTTTAAAGCTGCATTAATCAAATGTTGGAAGCAGTTTCAGTGGAATGAAAGTTGTTGTTTTTTTTTTCCCGATATTGCTGAATGAATTCACATGATCACCTTGGCTAGCGCTTTCATCCACTGTTTTCTCTCTTCTTCTGTTTCTGCTGACATGAGATAGGTCCGACCTACGGAAGTGTAGATCTCAAAACAGTACTTGTGTCTGCAAACACAGACACACAAATTGATACAATTTTTAGTTAAGTGATAACATGGGCTCTGTGCACATGTACATCCTCAATGAACACAGCGTGAGAGTTTGGCACAATTCTTGAATGCATTACAGTCATGCGCCTGGCATTCACAACACACAAAAGCTATGTGCACTTAGAGATGTACAGCGCATTCTTTGCACTAAACGTGAGCAACAGCGTGTCCTGCACACAGATGACTACTCAAGAGTCTTCATAAACACCATTTTCTATTCATTTACCGAGTCCCATCAATCTTAGGATAGCCAATGTGACAATTGGAAGTAGTCAGTAACCATAGTTCTCACCCTTGTCTTGGCTCGGTTAAAGCAACCAGTACCATGTCGATTCCCTCTATTGTGTTTTTGGCTGGTTGGTTCTGTCAAGCAAACATAGATAAGTTAAAAACACAAATTCACAACAATCAAAAACAATTCCTAAATTCTGACTTTTTATATGAGAAAGTCAGCCAAAGTTACCTCCAACTCCCCCCCCCCCAAAAAAAAAACCCTAAAAAATACAAAAATAAGCGCAAATGCAAGATTTGACTGTAATTCCCATTTTAAACATCAAACGTTTAATAATGATGTTGGTTTCTTATTGTATGTGTATTTGAGTATGTGTATGTGTATGTATCAATTGATTTTAGGCATCACTTACAAGTAACTGTCAAGAAAGAGGGATACAACTTTCAACAATTAGCTAAAATTCATTTCTGAATATAAAAGTTATCAAAATAAAGACAAAGAACAAACCTTGTCTTCAAAATAACTGAAGATGCCATGCTCCAAGGTACAATATCGCTTCAGGAATTCTGTTAAAAAAAACATCATCACACTAAAATGATCAAACAGAACTTTGTCTCGAGATCAAATAATCCCCAGGCAATCAAGATGATATAAAGATTCTTCACAATTTACGATACTTGCCTTTCTTGTTATTGCCCGTCTTATGCAAGTAGCCAGAGCACTGTATGTTTTCTTGCTTGCTCTCATGAGCTGAGTGTCTCACAATGGAGGCGGTCTTCTGAGTCTGAGCAGATACTTTGGATGCAGCGTCGTTCCTCGCAGATGACGATTCTACAAGGAAACCATGGAAACAGTGATCAAATATTGATATCATCTAAGTTCAAACACCAAAGCTGACTGACACTTGATCCCGCAACTATAGTTCAAATCCCACTGCTGAACAGTTTTTATGCAACCACAAATTATTAGCTTTAGATGAAAATAAATTGATTTATACAATGCCTAAATAAATCTCCGTCATTTGATTGGTGGGTGGTTGATCATATGTCATTGAATTATTCATCCCAACCCATTGCCCAGCCGTACTGCAAAAGTAGAAGTTCTATTCCACAGTAAATAGAAATTCCATTGCATGGTCGCACTATTGGTGGATGTGACCAATCAGATGACGAGGATTTATTCAGGTGTTGTATAAAATAAATAAGAATGTATGTTTCACATTCGTGCAATGGAAAGAATAGTTTCATTCAGTGACAGATGGACTATTCCATTCTGCTCGGCTTCACCTTGTGGAATGGAACATTCCATCTGTCACCTCATGAAATTATTCTTACCATTGCACTCATAAACATTCATTATTTGTATATTAATACATGTAAATTGGAGATGTTGTAAAAACTGACAATAATACTCACGTATGTTAATGTTCTGGTTCAGGAATTCCTGTAAAACAAACAACAAAATTGAAACTGTAGTAGACTAATAATTAAAAAAACCTAATGAAAGTGTTGAAGCTTTTGTTGTGAAACCTCTGTCTGTTTTTTAAAGGTAATATACAACATTTGCTTTTGCTGTAATTTTTTAGAATGGATGGATTTTGGGATTAGTATTTTTTAGCAAATATTGTTACACTGAGTTGTTTGAAGTTTTGTGTTCATATTGTGTTTTGCTACTAACTTTCCCTCTGAAATATACATTGGTGAAGTTAAAATTTCTGCAGAATGATTAATTGAACAGTTAATGAAAGAAATATGACAAAGTAATGAACATGTCACTTACTGCAACAGTAGGGAAGTTGCATGCTTTTGCCACATCAAGCGCTGTTGAAAAGAAATTGAGCCAGTCAGTTAATCATTTCCTACTTGATAACATGTTGATAAAACTGTGAAACATTCTAATGCATAAGGCAAGCAAAAGTACATGCAAGTTCATTTTTTGAAAAAAAAATTGATTAACTGTTCAGAATTTTCTTGAAGTGTCCTTTCTGTTCTACAAAACATGATTGGTGTGTCTCTTGTGTAACTGGGTTGATGATGTCAATTAGTGTACTCAGATGTACAAGAAACGCTCCTTTGGCTTAACAGACATTGCCTGTCATGTAACAATTTAAAGCAAAAGCAGAGGATTATCTTACCAGTCTTTCCATCCTCCCGTTTATGAGAAACCTGCAGGACAATGGGACGCATACTGATTTAATCTTGCCACAAACAATCATAAAATGAAACCTACTTGTCAAAGTCTTAAACTCGTGTGCCTACAATCATCAATTTGAGACAACAACACTTGAACTTCTCAACTTCCTCATAAGTGAGTGATAAGACAGTCATGGAAAGGACATTATGTCATTGTGGTCAGTTAAGATTTGACCTTAGTGAATGATTTACATACCAAGGACCGATGACTAAAGACAATTATACCATTGCCCTCCAAAACCACACTGGTATAGTTCAATGTAAAGTCACACCAGTAAATGAAATAGAAATACACGCTAACCCTCATTGCAGTACTACCTGTCTCGTCTTTCAATTATAGCGAACCGTGTTAACATTCCACCTGTTCACTTTACCAATTAGAGATATCAGCACCTACTTGATTGCATAGGCTTTCCTCCAAATGAACCCTCTTGTGTTTTCGTCCCAAATTTAAAACAGTTATTGCTTTCATTGTTAGATTCTCAGTTAGCTTTTTGTAGGAAATGCTGGTGAAATTCATTCTTTTATGAGTTCTACTTATGACCAGAAATTTATGATTAAACTAATTCTTCCTGATAAAGCAAAGCAAACTTTATATACTAACATGGGTGGTATGAATACTAAAATAGCTCAATAAGGGAATATGAATATGACATAATTATGCAACGACAAAAACTATTATATTTCCCCTCTCTTTCAGTTTAATTTCACTTGATATGCCCGCATGGACCACGTAATTAGCATCAACCATAAACATGGAATATGACTCATTATTAAAAAACAAAAATGCATGTGTCTATCCCTCCGCCAAATTTGGCATTATGCCAAAAAAAACAACAGGAAATCTACTTCCTGTAGTAGTCTGTTTCTAAAAGAAAAGTGTGTCTATAGACATAACTGACAGAGGAAACGTCCCCATAAATAACAGCACGGTTGGTTAACTGAAGTGAAAATCCTGTCAGTGTCTCATATGGCAATTCCTCTTAATAGAAACCACAACCAAAGGAACTTCAATATGGAAACCTCAATCAATGACCATTTTGGATTTCCAACGTCTGCGCGAGATAATGTCGCTCACTTCTTAAAGATGCTGTTGCTCATGATCATTAGTATTTATTCATAGCTGACGTCAATTAACCCTAACACAAAACCCCTAAAACATCCAACACCTGGTTTAGATTGATTTTGATAAAGTTTGAATTGTTGAGCCCTAATGTACGCTCGGGGGAGGGGACTACGTAAGCTATATAGCCTTTACTTGTATAAGTTATATAGCCTATCTTCAAGAAGCTAACGTTCAATAACTAATAGCGGAGCTATGTACGAACTGTTCCTCCAGGATTTCTTGAAAACAACATTTTTTGAAAGTACTCTTTCAGAGGAGGGAGATGGTCTGACAAAAAGAGTATGTTGTGTACGCTTTTGAAACTGTCGATCATCATGAATGACCCATTAATAGAACGTACAAAGACTATGCTGGATTTATTATGGCTCCTAGAATTAATTTTCTTGAAAAACATGAATATTACTTACATTTGCACCAGAGAAGACAAGCTGTACACATTCAATGAGATTTCCAAGGGAGGCCGCTTTGAACAGAGTCTGCAGGAATTAAAGTAGGAATGACAAATCATTCGATAAATTTGGGGTCCACTTTTTTCCTGTCCCTGTTACATCTGACATCTATGATTGTATAATTCTGATACTCTCCGTAATGCAGTCACCCTCCAAGAGTGATTATGATTAGCAAACTACCTACCCAACAAATAAAAAATGGTTTGAAGTCATTCTTAATGATACTTGAATGGCAAATTACAAAGTACCAAGGTAACAGGGACAGGAAAAATGCCACACTTTGGACCCTAAATTTATAGAATGACCAAGATACAAAATTGAATTCAGAAACTGGAAATGATTTACTCACAAAAATGATAGTAAAAGGTAGGACACAGGTATGACCTCAGTGCAAACAAAACACGAGTTATAAAATCAAAATGACCCTCACTTACCTTATCCATGTTGTTGTCCGTTGACAGCCGTGATTGGCAGTATTTTTTCTTGCTGTACTTGTTCACAATATACATTTTCCTTCTGTCTCTGTAATGCAAATAAAATTGATTTCTTTTTGAGTATGTGAATAGGTCCAAATTGCTTCAAATAAAAACTCCACTTGCTTATCATAAACTGGCAAATTACAATTTAGACACTATTATTTCATTTCTTGTTAGAACAATTCATAAATAATCAGTGTGCAATAAGAAGAAATAGTTCCTTTTAGAGGTGACAGGAATACCCAATTTCTGTTACATAGGAACCCTTAAAATCACGTTCAGACTGAAGTCTTCATCCAGCAGTATCTATCATGCCAGTTGGAACAGGAAACCATGAAATAACATCAGTGTTTTTTAAAACTGAAAAAAGTTTTCCAAAGTTGAACAAAGAAATTGACTGGAGTGGGGTTTGGACCTGGACCTCCGGATTGGCATTCCAGTGCTCTACCAACTGAGCTATCCAGCCCTATGTTGGTGGTGCCCCAATTTGTCAGTATCCTAGTTCAAGGGGCACTAGTCAGAAGTTATAAGCCCGTATATACCATGTAACTGGGGAACAGGCCAAAATTCACGATGCTATAGCAACATTAACAATGCTGCAAACTCAGGAAATAGCAAATGGGGATCACACAAAGACGATACGGCTGTAAAATGTAAAACCTCAACTGCAAAATGTCCAAACTTCACTTGACCTCAATCATTTTTCCATTAACTTTGCATTATTTCCTACGCGGACAAAACTTACAATGTATCGTCGGGCATAGCTTTCTCATCCTCATTCAGGTTGGCTTCCCAGAATGCATTGGAATTCTTGTTGCCGAGCTTTAGCATGACTTGAACCAACGCCGGTGTCCATACTTTGGTGTCCATTTTCAATGAGCGGACCTTGGACACATGCACACCAAGATTCCTGTGCAGGCCTGGTTGGGGGAAAAAGAATGAAGTTAGTTTTCTTTCAGATCAAACCTCGATGAAAAGGATTGAGCATTATAATCATTTTAATGTCTCATCACAGGCTTTTTTATGTATCTGCTGTAAATTGCATTTGTCTTCCATGCCACGGTGATAATAATATACCACAGATTTTAGAAAAGGGAAGCGGTTTTTCAAAATTAATTGATTTATACATTTCCTTGTTTGTTTGCTTGTTTTGGACAATGGTATTTTGAAATATATCCAGCTGAAAATCATTTACTTAAAAGTCTTTCGCGAAGTCAACGAAGACAATGTCCGTTTAAAGTGAAGGATAAAAATGTCAGAACAAAGTTTCTGGGGAAAATGCACACACTCCAGTCATTGCCAGTAAGGGCCTGACAGAACAAACAAACATTGTGTACCAAGTAGGAAACGAACAGGGGTCAGAGGAAATACCAACATGCCAGCCTGACACCAGACCCTTTTGTGGACGTGGACCTCACTTACCGGAGCAGTTTTTGCAGACACAAATACCCAAGTTGATAGACGCCCAATCTGGATCTGTCAAAAGAAGAATAAAGAGAAATGTGAATAAAATTCAGGATTATAATAAAAGATTTATGATCTGATTTCGCATATTCCCATGATAAACTAGCAAAAAGTAGCATTTAACAAACGCACATGAAACACCTAAAATGTTTTATAGACATAAACTGGTGATAGAGTTCATTAAACTGACATTTTGTTGAGTAAATGTTGACAAAGAAACTACTAAGAAAAATCAGCTGAGAAGCATTTAGTCATTTACATCCATGGATAGTTGGGCTAGTAACCAATGACAGTAATCTAAATCTAAAAAAGATCAATCTATTCGAATCTACCTTTCATTCTGCATTCTGCACAGTACGTATTGGAAGAGTTCTGGTACACCTTATCCAAGATCTGCAATGACACACAATCAGTAATAAAAATGTGATGCACATATATGTGACGTGGTATAAAATGTCTGTAGCTGTAGGTTACATGCAGGAACATGGATGTGTTACTCTAGGGGCTCACTGCCATAGTACTAAAGGCACTGTCAACCATTAATAACATCCGAAGTGACATATGTCCAAAACTAAGCCACAGATTACATACTTTTGAGAAAAAAAAAATTCCGAAGCAAAATGATTTCTTGAGGCATACTTCAAAGCTTATTAAAACTAACCTTCCCAAATCCTCAAAAGTTCTCTTTGCAAAATGGAGGATTTTACAGGCTATGTGGCAAAATTCTGCTGCTGATTTTGGAGGATGCACTGTATCAAGGTCTTGGGTTGGACCTTGTGTTGTTTATGCTCAGCCATACATAAATGTAGGCCTAGATTATACTTGAAATCCTCTGCACTGCTCCAGGATGTCACTGGCTCTGCCTCAACATATCGACAGTGACTGCTGGATGATTTTGCAGGATTGAGGCAGTGGTCACCCCTCCAGGGACCAAATTCAAGAAATAAGGCACAATTTTGGAGGATTTAGGCTGTACGTAATTTTTAAAAGGAGGCAGTTGGAAGATTTTGCAGGATTGAGTTTGTATCCTAGCAAAAATGCCTAGGGAGTTGGGGTTTATGATACTTACTGAATGATCAGAGAGTCCTTCCAGTATGGCCTCCTTCATAGCTTCAATCCATTCCTTGACCTCCTGGGGATTCTCAATAGTCATTCTGTCAGGTCAAAGGTCAAAGGTCGTAAAAACATGCTAAGCAATGTTTCATATCAAATCTATATGTATCAGCTGGTTACATTATAAGAACGATATTCTGCAAGTGACAAATTCAAACGCAATTTCAATCAATATTCTTTTATAACCTGAAACACCTTGACCTTGTCTGTACAGTTAGCCCGGTGCTCATTTATGTGCTGATCCTTGTTAATGATGCAGCCTGAGCTACTTACATGTATATCTTGCCAGGAGTAGCTAGCTGGATCTTGTTCTTGGGAAGCTCCTTGACTGATGCCAGCTTCATCTCAATGTCCAAAATGGCCACAGCAGACTCAAAGTCCTAAAACAAAGCACGGGAATAAGTAAATATACATAACAAAAAACTATGGCAAGTCTTCTGACAGGCCAAACAACTTCTCAAGAATATGGTAAACCTTCAATACACAAATATGATAAGTAAACATAAATGTGTGAAATACATTGACATTATTCTACAAGCCAAATTGAGGATTACAAGTTTAAACTGATGTATTTATATCTGTTAATGTTTCTTACCATTTCAGTGTTGTATATGAACAACTTCTCGCCTTTAATTGCAAGAAACCTATTATGAAATAAGACAAACAAGATTAATTATTTATTCCGAATTACATTTTGGCAGTTATCATAACTTATGTGGACAGTTTCAGGCAATGTTGTATTGTATGTGTCCATATTCATATTACATGTACATGTCCATGAGTTGAATCCAGTGAGCAAAAGTTAGAATGGGTTTCAGATGTTAGAAGTTTGCTACTTGTCATTCCTTGCTCTTTTTCAATCTTTTGAACAATATTCTGGCTCTGTTTTATATGTCAACGACTAAGTTTCCTGAAACGCTGATGATAAAGACCATTTCTATTTTACATCAAGCCAAATCAAAACCTGTAATTATGTTACATAATATATCATTATGTGTATCAGTACAGTATTTCATTTTCGATTTGTTAATTTAAAACCATTTTGTTTGACACCGTACCTTTTTTGGAAGTACCCCTCAATTTTCACATAGCCCTGCAGGATGATAATTGCATCAAAATTTTATTGAAATTTACAAGGACCTTTCTTTGAACAGAAGTAAATAAACGTCACGGTGGCACCACTTTAGTTCAGTCTCTAAAAATAAATACACAATATGCTGAGAAATTTCCCTGCAGGCAACAAAAAAGAGAGAATGAAAGTCCCCCAGTACTGTTCCACATGAGAAGATTTGAATGAGTAGGCCTATTTCCTGGTTTTCCAGAGGTCATCTGGGATATTGTGACAGACCATTATTCAATTAGGTAGCTAGCATCATGAAAAAAAACACGTGTTTGAAACCAATAAAAACTTCATTTGTAAGAATGACTTGCAACGAAGGCAGCTTTTTTACATTTTCAAAGAGCCAAATATACAAAAATGCAGCTGTCTAACAGTCAGGGTCAGCTTATGTTGAATGTGACAATACTTTCATCCAATGGACACATTTAAAACTTAATTTCTTCCATGTTTCTTGTATCTCAAATTCAACAATCCTGTTATTTTTTACCACCTACGTTACATAAATTACCACCCACCACTTTGTCATATACACCTGTATATACACAATTTTGAATTTAGTTGCAACCCCTTGATCAAAACCATATTCGGATTTAGTTTCTTGGAACTCTTTTGTTTTTAACCACAAATGTGATCCAATCTACCACCCACCTTTTTGTCAGGACAACTCATATCTCCTCCCACAGGAAATCCACCAGGGGGAGGCTGTGTAAGACATGTTGAGATATCGATTATGGAATATCAATAAAGCTATATAGGCACACAATCAAAGTTGAAAAAGTTATTATCTTCATCATGTTGTTGGATTCTAGTGAACACAGTAGTGTTTCCTACTCTCTTGGCACAAACTGCTTCTTTTTTGGTGAATAAGGAAAAACCTTGTTTAAAAAAAAGTTAAAACACCACTGTAACATGTGTTTTTGGATTCAATTGAATTTCTATCTGACCCATTTCCTTGATCTCAACCACAGAACTCAGGAATGGAAATTCCATGAAAGTGTACGGATATTCATTATCCCGGGAACTTGTTTTTACGCACATTCAAGATTCTCACCTTATATGACAGAATAGCCTGCATCAATATGTTGGCCCATAATGTACCCTCATCTGTGTAAATAGGAAATAACATATGACTTAAATGAGTTCCCAGTTGGCAAAAGGGCAAATTTTTATGGGGAAAATGTTGCAATCTAACACCACTTTTTCTTCAAAAATAACATCTCAATGAAGGACAGTTATTGCAAAAATGATCAAAAGACATAAATCTGGGACTGAGAAACATTTCCAATTTTGTTAGGAAATACTATAGAATTTGTACACAATCGCAGATGTGGCGTCAAGTTGCAACTTTTTTTTTCAAATTTGGAAATATTTATGTAAATTGTTTTTGGAATTAACTGTCCTTTAAAAATTGGAAACTGCATGACTTGAGACATTGTTTCACCTGTGCATTACTTTTTAAAAGGTTGAAAGCAGGGGTCAATATAAATGTAAGATGGTTTGGAAAATTGTGTTCTTACAGGATAGACTAAATGTTCTTAGTCTGTTGCTGTTCATAAAAGTTCATGTTGAACTCCATAATTGTAATGTGGCAACCAACTGCAATGGCAGATCTTTTTTGCAAGGGATAATAAATGGTATTAATTGATAAATCAACCTTTTTTTGAAGAAGAGAGGAACAAAGTTACACATTTGTAGAGAATGAGAAATAATTACCAAGAGTTTCTGCTGCAAAGTGGAAGGACCGTCCAGTTGTTTCTAGTGTAATGCGGTACTGTTTTGTGTCGCCAAACTGAAAGAGAATTCAATACAAATCAAGGTAAGTAAAATGATAAATTATTTCAAGAAAAAAACTTTGGTAATAATTGAAAAGAGAAACTGGGAACTATTTTTACACAAATTGTTAAAACCATAAACCTCCATCTTTGATATTCCTTGATCGTTTGTTTCGGTTGTACAATGTTAGCTCTTTACTCACACTGAGGTAATATATCAGCTCTTAATGGTGCCCACTGACAAAGATGAGTCAATATATTGCTAGAATGACGTTGCGCATCGTTATAATTCCACCTGAAGTATGTGGGCAAAGACACCTGAACCTTTTAACCACTACATGTTTCAGCCACGCGCGTCCATGCGTGTTAGGCTTTCGCGCACGCACATCAGATGCTGATCACACTTGTGATTTGGTCAAGACACCAAGGAGAGGCTTAGAACTTTAAACCCAAACATATTCAATATAGTCAGGATATCCCAAGGAGGACAGGAACGTTGGGGGAGGATTCCTATTCCAGGAGTGAACTCACCGATGGTCTGGATGTTCCACACAGATTCTTGACATCTCTCATTGTGCCCACGGGAATAATGCCCTTACACTCTGACATCTAGAAATGCAGACAAATGGTTACACATGATCACATTAGTTTACTTATGCAAACTTAATATTTTTTTCATCATTGAATAAAAAATTTGAAAGGGATGCCTTAATTACGACATTCCCTGGCAGACTCCATCTCATGGTAGTAAGACATCGCCACTAGTGAGCACTGAGGAGGCTGTGGATTTGAGTCACACCAGAGAAAACAGAAGTCCACAATTTTTAATGAGCCAACTTTTTTTTTTAATGAATGAAGTACCAGTATTGTAGCGAAGCCCATTACAAGTCAACCAGTCCCAAGTCATGTCACATGCATTCCTGATTTGCTTTTGTTATCCAACTTGTAAATTGATCGACCGGTTGACAGTACTTGCCTTTTTCTCATTTTCATAGTACCTCATCTCCACTCCATCAAAGTCCATCCAGCGTTTCCTGAACCCCTTGTTGTTCTGCTGTCTGTTATCAACCAGAACAAGAACGAATTTTGATGATAAATCAGGGCATGTAAGTCGTACGAGATAATCACACACACATTGTTTGTTACGAACGCACAAGTCGCTTTTTCTAAAATGTGAGGATATTTAAAGTAGACACTCCAGAAATGCTTCTTCTGTTTACTCAACGTTAAACAAACATACTAATAATTGGTTTTACTCACCCTCCTTGTTTCCAGAGATATCCTTTCTTCTTCAGAACAGTTACCTTAGCAGGAATCTAAGACACAACATATGGTCAGTAGGCCTACATGAAGTAATCTTTCCATTTCAAGTTTGGAGAACTTTAACAAATCATCTTCAGCATGCATCACAGTTCCAAGCACAATCATACTCATGGCACATTTTCCATAATTCAAAAAGACATTTTCTATGCATATCATTCAAGCTTACAAGACTATGAAAATGAAAGTAAATGCATATGGCTGATTTCCCAAAATTTGAGGCATTTCTACTAGAAATGGTATTATCAGAGGAAGTAAAAGTGTCCAGAAGCTATTTTCACTTGGTTCTTATGTTAGCCAAGGTTATGCATATACTTGACGCAAATTGAAGAGTTAGGCATACAGTATTTGTTATCAAGCAGTCAACGTCACAATGAAATTGCGATGACGTCATTAGATTTGCTTCGCTTTTACTTTTGGGTCATTCAGTGCCAAGTCGCTAGAGGTTTTACTGAGGCCCACTAAAGTTATGTGTTCACAGATGTAAGATCCATAGTTAAATTGACAACCCAACAGTTTAAAAAAAAATAAAATTGGGCTAGTTTGGCAGAGCATTTTGGCATTTAATTAATACCAGCTGTCCCTTTATGACTAGCTGCCAAGACCCAAGTTTCAAACTGCTTCCTGACACTTCTACTCCTGATCACCACCAATAGTATCATTGCTGCTTACCTCAGCTGTGCTGTGGCTATCTTGCAGAGATTGTGAGAGTTTATTGGAAAGTCTTCTTCTAGTGTTTTCCTGATGTTGGCATGCCATAAAAAAAAAATGTAGGATTAGTATACCATGCAAGAACCCAGCTCAACCAGTGATTACATTATCATGTTCACTTTTCGGTTTGCTTTGCAAGACTATAATTCATATGTATCTAATTATGAGAGCAATTTTTTGAAAGATTTATTTAAGAAAGATTTATTTTGAAATTGGCAAGTTAAGCTACAAAAAACTTGTGTCTTAATAAATTTCAGCCCCAAATTGTATTAAAAATGGTTCTTGTAGAAAAGTGACCTTGTTCTCAGTTCCCACAAAAAAATGACCAAGTTTCAAAAAAAGTATTTTCTATCTTCAAAGTCAAAGGACTTTGTGTTTAACTTGTAGCATTTGCAAGGACGAAAAAAATAAAATTCCAAGACTGCGCACTGCAATGAGCCAAACAATTCACAAACAAGAAAAAACGGGCAAGAGGACAATGAATATTTCGCACTGAGAATTACATGTACGAGTCTGATAGTTATAAAACTGGCCAATCTAAAAGTGAATTTCATTCAATGAGCTCGTATATTTGCACTGCTGATGTATATGTCTCTTACGAACCTAATTTTTGCAAACCAATGCATGTAATCAAAACTAAATTGTTAATTTGATACTACATGCTACATTGCATCAACTAATGCCAGTGCCAGTGCAGACCATTCAATCAATTTATTTTCCTCATCACCTCTACACATTCCAAACAATGTTATTACATGGCAATTGTCATTTGTCTCTGGTAATAAGGTGCCATCTATTGAATCTGATCAGACGGTGGCAGGTTCTCCAACTTGAGATAACCAAAGCCAAAACATATACATGTAGATACCATAATACCTTCATGTAGCCATGTTTAGGTATGGGGTTTACATGTACATGGCACAAGGGCGAGTTGACAATGCTTGCAATTAGTAACTGCTCGCCACTGTCCAATCCAAAACAATAGAGGGCGCTTAAACTGTATACAAATGTCATCATCTACATGTTGTGAGCTACTTACATCAACTGAACGGCTATGTGTTCTGGCTAGAGGCCTGTGAGGTACTTCTGGGCGATATGCCTGACCCATGCGTAAAACATGACCGAGGTCAATCTTACTGCGTCTGTCTGCCAGGCTGACTTTCAAGTTTAAATCTTGCACCTGAAAAAAGAAGAAGTTGGTCTGTAGTGGAAGGGCTAAAAAGGAATATATTTGATGTTTTAAGAAGAGACGTGTACATGTAGTTCATTTGGATTGAGTCCTTGTGTTTTGACAATCATATATAAATCAAATGGAAGTGTGTATCCATCAAAGTGATTACACTGTATGCCTTCATTTCAAATACAAACAGTTTTTTATTTTGGCATAGGAGACGCTTGAACTTAAGAAGCAACAAATATGTCCCATGATGAACATGCGACCTGGAAATATAAAGCATCCATGAAAATCATAAGTACCTGTTTAGCAGTTGCTTTGCTGTAATCCAAGCTGTCCATGTCAAAGCCAGAATCATCATCATCTCCGCTCTCCTCACTCTGAGCAAGCTCCTTGAAGGCGATTCCCTCTGGACTGTCTAACGACTCATCCCTCAGGGGACTCGTGGAGACCATTCTGCTTGCATCCAAGAGGTCATATTCACCCTCTTTCTGATTCGGTGGCGGCTGTGGGATGAACTCTTTCACTGCAGGGACTGGTCTTGCTGGTAGTTTAGGTATATGGGCTGAGGACCTGTCACGTGGTTTTGCAACTGGTGGAGGAGGTGCTGGTCTGGCTGGTTTCTGGGGCTCTCCAGACTCATCTTCCATTTGAAGAGAGTCTTTTTCACTAGGCTTATCCAGTGTGCTTGAGCTGACAGGAGGTATAGGAGGCAGAGATCGATGCTCATGAGGCCATATCTTCTCATCTGAAGTATCGTGAGTGCCACTGGAAGACTCACTCAGTAAGATGTACGAGTGTCTGTCAGAACCCTCACTGAGTGCTGAGGGGGAGACAGGGACTTGTAAACTTGACCAGGAGGTCACTCCTTTCTCCTCAAAACCGGAATGACTGAAGACATCATCTTGGGCCGTAGATCCTATTGGAGATGGCCTCTCAGGTGCTGCAAAGGTAGGCGAAGCTTCTCCTTGTGGCTCTAGTCTTGGAGGAATCCGAGGTGGCCTGACTGGGATTTGGGGAATATTTGACGGTTTGTCTTTTGTGTCAACCATAAGCTGTTGTGTTTTCTGAGGTACGCGATGTACTTTAGAGTACTGATCCTCGATGTCATGTTGATCGAGAGCAGGTAAGGATGGACTAGGAGTACTTTGAGTTGCCTCATGAATTGAGTCAGTATCAAGCAAGAAGTTCTCCTTGTTTTCATCTGGGACATTTTTGAATTGGATCATGCCAGTATCATGAAGTGACAGGTCAATTAAGTTTGATGTCTTGTGGGGGAGACCAGCCGGCATGGATGGATCAGCCCCAGTTGTGTCTGGTCTTGTTAATATGTCACCGGTGCCTTGTTGTTCCGAGCCAGCAGGTATTCTGGCTGGCAGTGCTGGAGTCTTCCTCAAGCCACTTTGAGACACTTGCCCTGGTTGCGGGGATAAAATCTCATCAATCCCACTGAGTTCTGGTAAGGCTTGAGACTGATTCTCTGAATGAGTATAGTCCTGGCGGACAGGTGGTATCGGCGGAATAACATCAGATGCTGCGGTTGATGGCTTGCTGTCAGGTTTCGCTCCTGGAGGCAAAGGAACTGGTCTGGATGCTAATGACAGATCGGGAGCAGGTCTTGATGGAAGTAAAGGAACTGGATGTTCACTTACGGAAGGCAAAGCCGCTGTGAGTTGGGGTAGGTTGGTTTGTGGAGCAGGATATCTGAGTAGATCTTCAGGTGTGAGAAAGAGTGATGGAGGCCGGAGTGGGGCATCCACAGAGAATGTACCTACTGTGTCATCTGCATGTGCAAATGGATCAAACTCAAATGGGTCAAAGTTTTGCTTTGCAGAGTCAAAGATATTAACAGTGTCTGTCTTGATGGGCTGGGTTACATCTGGATGTCCTTGCATCTCTTCCAGTGTTGGTGGAGGTGGTGGCAAATTAGAGGGAAACTGATCTGGTGCTGATAATGGAGGTGGACGTGGAGGAATCACAGGAATTGATGAAATGTTAGAGACAGTTTCAGAGTCTTTTTTGAAAGCCGAAGTGGCATCAAGATGTCTTGATGTCTCTTTCTGTGTTGGTAGGGATGGTGACAAATCAGAAGGTATCTGACCTGAAGCAGATGGTGGGCATGGACGTGGAGGAATAACAGGCAATAACGCTGGAGAGAATGGCATAATGATTTCCTCTGTGCCAACCAGCTGAACTGCACGAAGATGTCCAGATGTATCCTTTGGTGGCAGCAGAGGAGGGGGTATGTCAGAAACAGGTGGCTCCGCTAACGATGGGGGCCGGGGAGGAATCCTCGGTGTTGGTGCAACCGAAGGAGGAGGTGGAGGAGGGAGGCTGGGCATGTTGTCTTCTTCAATTTCTCTCGGAGTCACAGACTGAAAAGGAAGTACTGGTGGTGGAGACAGAAAAGAAGGTTGTAGAGGACCATCCCCGGGCATCTGCAGTGCTGATAAACTAGGACCTACATTATCTGTCAGGCAAGGTGGTTGCGATGGTGGTGGGTCTGAGCACGGGGGATCTGGAACAGTGTGATGGTTGGGATGTGGAACAGGTGGTAGGCTTCTTTTCGCAGGTGCTGGGGACGTTGAGCCAGGAATCCTTTTAGGAGGCGGGGGAGGAGGCAAGTCAGGAAAGTGTTCATCGATTTCATCTTGTGCAGAAAACTGAGAGACAGGATTGGGAAGGATAGGTGGAGGGAACAGCGATTTGGATGCCTCTGGTTCGGGTGGCTCAACACATTGACAGGGGTCATCATCATAAATGTTTGAAACTGTGAATGGGGCCGGGAAATGATCAGACGAACGGATTGCTGGAGTCATCTGGGATGGGCTTACGCGTGGAGGTACTTCAGGAGTTGAACGATGCCTGGGCATGGGTGTCTCTGATTTCTCATCACAGCCAGGCAAAGGGGGAGGCCTGGCTGGCAAACTAGGATCTGACCTCACTCGGGGTTGAGGCATAGGTCTCATTCTAGATTGCTTGCTGGGAATCTCAGAAGCTACTGCCGTCCTGTTGCCTTGGCTGCCAGGTGTTCGTGGCGGTGGCACAGGGACTGGCTCAGAGTCAACTGAAGATGCTGGGAAGTTACTGGAGGACTTGTCTGGTTCTGAATGTGGCCTCCTTGGTGGTAAAACAGGATTAGTTCCTGAAGTTGGTCCATGAAATAAATATGATTCATCATCGAATGTTGGTTTCTTCTCTGTTGGGTGCCCATTTTCTTTACCAAACTGTTTAGGGATGCTCCTACGAGGGGGCATTGGGGGTGGTACCTCTTCTGCTGGAGTTTTAGTCTCTGCATTCTCAGAGCTGGATACAAACTCAGACAAGAAAACTTCTGCCTCTGTGGGTAAATGGTTCAGAACTCTTTTCTGGTAACCTCGCTGTGTTATGCCCAACAAGCTGAGTTGATCTTCAGTGAGATGACACACATGTTGGAGCTCTGTTAGACCGTTATGGAGGAAGTTGTTGGTGAAATGGCCCAAATCTAATGACTCTAGCCAGTCCTGGATTGAAGTTGTCTGCTTCTTGGCTGCCATCTTAAAATGTAGAGATATCCCCCTGTTTAAGTGAAAACAGGTACTTCAGAAATTCCAACAGTCAACCAATGAAATTTTCCTTCGGTTCATGTGAATAGGTCATTGGGTATTTCACAAGTACATGGAGAGTCTCTTTCATTTCTACAGCTATGAAGACATCTCAAGATGTTTGTATGATGCCGACATCTGTTGTAATTCTACTGAGTTGCAAAATGAGTTGTTCACTATTGGTCTGTCATCAGGTCTTGTTGCTGAATTTTAACACATCATTTCCTTGTTATGTTTCTGGCAAACTTCCTATCTGCAAAAAAAAATAATAACAAATACAAAAACCATAAATAAAGTTTGCTAAAGTATGTACGTACAATGCCACTAAATCCCCGTCATCTGATTGGTAGTGTCGTTGATCCCATGTCATTGAATTATTCATCCCAACCCACAAACCGGCCACACCGCAAAAATTAAAGTTCTATTGCATGGTAAATAGAAGTTCCATTGACAAATCAGATGACGAGAATTTATTCAGGTGTTGCAATTAAACAAATAATGAATCTTACACATTCCTGCAATGGAAAGAATAATTTCATTCGGTGGCAATACACTCGTGTTGTCTAACTTACCTTCTGCAACAACAGCAAATTTGGAACATTCCACTATGGTAATATTCTATTCCATGTCAATTTTGTGTTAACATGTACGTATGTAAATCCTATATAAAAAATAGGATACTTCTGTGCTTTCAGACAAGTAATTTGTTATCTCCAAAGATTCTCTGCTAATACACTACTATTCTGGAAACAAGCACAAGTGCACAATAAACTCTGGCCTGATTCCGGAATGTCTCATTCATAGGCAAAATAGACGTGCACGTGCATCGATCGAGACAATGGGGCGTGTTCCGAAAACTTTCGCCACTTTGTGTATTTACTGAAGACGGCATTGCATTTGGTCACATTTTGTCAATTAGTAGTTATATATTATGGGAAACTTTAATAAGGGGGCTCGATTTTGGTCATTTTTTTTCCCGGGGACAGACCTACGGACTGACCAACCACGAAAAGACATGTAGAAACTCCTGCCAGGGCTTCAACATGTCTATTTCTACACCTGAACAAGTTCATTAGTATGTACACGTGTAATTGAGACACTGGACACCACTTCTGTGTTTATAAATCCAGGTTTGTATTTCCCTTTCATTCCACTTCACTTCTGGACAAGGAAGTTTTCTTATATTATTTTTTTTTCAAAAATAAAAATTCAGTGGTTGTGGGTTGCACGATACTGCAACAGGAATCTGGCCATGATTCTAGATAAAAAGCTGTGACACATGCATTGCATGCATGTGAGCTAGGCCTACCATTTTTGGCACAAAATGACCAGTTCACAACATCAATTTGAATATTACTGAACCACAAGTGACGCCCATAAAATTTCTGATGAAATTTCAGCAAGAATAAAAATTGCTGCTCAATGTTTCACCGTGTCAGAAACTCAGAACACCATGCAGGATGTACGTTTAATGAATGCATGCATAGTGATAACAATCTACTTTAGACCACAAGGAAATGAACACAGATCATTTTTTAGTGGGTCGCTTCCTCTTTTTTTTTTAACTGGCCGTGACTTAGATTAATTCCTGGTCAGACTTTCCACGGAGTATACAGGCATATATGACCTCTATCATGTTCATAGTCTATGTAACAAGAATACAATACAATGCTACATGTATGTGCCATACAGCTTTGTTTCCTTGTGCATAGAGGGAAGTCAAATATCTTACGCTCCAGTTAACTGCCATACTTTATTTCTTGGATTTTAACAACCTCACATTATATATGACTCATACCACGTCAGTCGTCAGCTGTTATACACATAATATGATAGTTTAATATGAAACTGATACCCAATACCACATGATGCCAAAAGCCACATGATAACAATATCATTTATTTATGTTATATATTTATTTACGAGTCTGCTGGAAAATCAAAACTACGGCACATGTACAATGTATGAGTACATGTAGGTTTATGGTGTAAATCGAGGACACAGGTGCAACATCAGCGATGAATTAATGACAGGAGTCAAATCGAGGACGACCTCGATTAGAAAACATGTACAAAATCAATGAGAGCTGTTGCAAAAAGTTAGAGTATAAACAAAGAAAAAGGGAAGAGGAACAATAGGAAATCCTCGATTTAAACAAACGTGCAGGTACATCCGTATGCATATAACATTGTATGCAGCTGAACTCTCTAATTAACAGCTTGGGAATGACAACAGAAATGCTCTTATGCTTCACTATCCTGCATCACAATGAGCATATTCTATATTTATGTAAAACAGAAGGCATTTTTTCCCTACGCCCCCCCCCCCAAAAAAAAAACCCAACACACCACTAGCCCCCCCTGAAAAAAAACCCCCAAGACCAAACACAGTCAACTAGGCAATGTTGGACTGATCAGGCGCAATATTGCACAACATGTACAAAGGAAAATTAAATGAAGTTTGCCCTGAAAAAAAAGAACAATGTAGTGTAGTCAATCACACGTATTTTGAGCTGTCCCATGCTCTTAGGATTCACGTACATACACACTACAAAACTTGTTTCCTACCTCCATGTTTAAACAAAATGTGGCAAACAGTTGTTAAATAATTGCCAAATTGTAATTTTCACATTATAGAAGCCGGATATTGTGTAACAAAGAAATACTAGAGGAAATTAGAGGGTGCAGCATGAAGATTACTCATATTTTTTGCTAGTTCAAGATGAAACTTAGCATTTTTCATTACATTGCATTTTTCATCAGGTGTATTTGTATTTGTACAGACTTTAGAAAAAAACACAGTCGAGAATAATGTTTGTACCGGTACATGTTTGTACATGTACAATTTGTGTTTATCTTTGCACTCACTTAATTTATTCACAACAGGTTGTGGGTTACGGATTGTGATTTTCTATGAAATCCACAGAATAACAATATGACAACAGGATGTTTGTTACACTTTACATGTATACATGTACCAATTTCCACATGTGTGGAAGTGATATGTGAAACGTACACTGTAGATTTAGACATTATAAGACTCCAAATAATTAATTCAGAGTGCCACAGTTCTCATGTTCTTAGGCAAGGTACTCTACCACAATCGACCATCAAGTATTATTGAACTACATGTAGATCTGTGTATGTGTGTCTACAATGTCAGAACAGACTTTTGTATTTCAAAATTCTTTGTACACAAATGTGTCAAACTACCAATTTCAAAAATTCCCAGAATACACATAAAAGAAAGCCATCTGTCATGTCTGTATTTTTAACTACAAAACATAAGTGAGTAAACTTAACTGCTTTGATGGGCAATACAGTAAGATTCAATGCAAACTTGATGTGACCTACCGGTATGTCAGTACCGGTATGTCAATATTTACCTTGAGAAACCTTCATCCTGTTCCTCTTCACATTCAGGAGACGGGAATCAGACCTACATGTATGCAATATCGGACTTTACTTCCCCTAAAAAAAATCCTCCAGAGCCACAAATCAGAAAAAGGTGAAATATTCTGCAATTAAATGTAGGATTCGATTTTAAAAGGATAGAGGAAGAAAACTCATACTTTTGGGAAAATGAAACAACAAAATTTGCAAAGTTGGGCATGCGTCTGCAACTCGTATCACCAGCACCGCAGTGCAATGCTTTTCCCATCCAACCACACATTTGCTCGTTTCCAAACAGCAAGTTCTTATTGTATATTATGCGTAAACATTAAGCATATGTGCACATGCAAAAATGAAGTGCCTGCACAAGAGCGAAAAATGAGGGACCCGATGTATTTCACGGCACCAGAAACACTTTGTTTTTCTGACGTAAATTTTCTTTTAAATTTCTAATAATGTAAAATTGGCCTTTCAAATCATTTACCAAGTGCATATTTAGCCGTGAACCAGTCTCACATTTTTTCCATTCTTACACCAATAAATAAGTTATTAATAATGTTGTTGAACGAACGCGTGGCCTAGTGGATAGCGCGCCAGCCTCGGAAGCAACACCGCTTGAGTTTGTGTCCCAGTGTGACCGCTGTTTTGAAACTTTATTTTTTTCTGTCCCAAACAATAAGAATTGTCTTCTTTTATTGTTTTAAATTGAATCCTACATTTAATTGCAGAGTATTTCATCTTCTTTTTCTGATTTGTGGCTCTGGAGGATTTTTTTTTATTAAAGGGAAACAAAGTCCGAAATTGTAATACTATATAATGTAATACTATGTAATATAGGTCTGCTTCCTATCTCTTTAACATTGTTTAACATGAGGTCACAATGACAATGTTACTTAGCGCGGACCAGACAAAGATTCGTCACCATGGTCACAAAGTAAAAAGTAAAAAAAACCTGTCACTGTGCATGTTCAGTGCCGTACCACTACCGGTACAATACTGAAAACAATCGGGAACAAGTTCACGGTCAAATATCCACAGGCACTGCCACTGCCACGACTGCCAATAATATGTATGACTCCCAATTATACCAACATGACCAATTGATTAATTTAAATGGTCTATGTAAACAAGTAATCAGGTATCCGAAAAACTAACCACATCTTTGTCATTTCTAACTTTATGCAAGGTAATGTACGTAAAGTCTGTCGGTCAATGTAGGCCTATAGGCAATCGTGTAGTGAAGGACCTGTCATTAGTTTTGATCAAATTCGAGTCAAGGGTGATTTTTATCATTCAAAAATGACCTATTCAACCTAAAGCAGACTTCTCTAAATTCTTTGTAATGACACATTTTTTTGTAAATTTGAACAGTTTCTGGGGTAGAAATTATGATTTTCATACACTGTTTACGGTTGGTGCCATGCGTTTCAGCGCGCCTTGCGCATTCAGGGTACATCGCGGTGATCGTCATCTTCATTTTTGTGTTGCTTTTGGTGGTCAAAATTGTCTTTTTACCCAGATTTCCCTCAAAAATTTAAAACCCTGCCCTCTATTCATGACATAGGCCTACCTGTTTTTGGTCTTTAAATCAGTCCTACTAAAATGCGTCAACAAGCGTCAACAAATTTTGTAGAAGTTTTGGGAAATCAAAAACAGCTTTATATGGTAGAAATGGCAACAAAGAACACCTTCAGAATATAAATTAAAGTAAAATCTATTCCAAAAGTTTTTTTTTTTTTCAATGCGAAACGTACGACGACTCTGTCGAGTTTGTGTTGGCCGCCATTTTGTTTACGTGAAGCTAGCCGACCTATGCATGCGTGAAGTGTACAGAGCCATACTACGCATTCGCGATGTGTACAGCGCGATCCAAACAAGATGGCGGCAAACACTACTCACTCAGCAAATTCTTATACGAGGCAGTAATCAGCGTAGCACTAGTAGTACTAGTACTAGGACTACTTAAGGCACGGCCTACGCACGTAATACTCCTAGAACTATGAGGCTCCGCGTGAGCGGAGCCCCATAGATCAAGAAGCCCGCAAAATTGCCTGCAGCACAAAACACTAATAAAGTTCAAAAAACGTCCATCAAAATGCAGCCATTTCACACAGAACCGCTGCACAGTTTGCCCCTATACTCCGTACTTTATCTCTTGACATACTCACGTATCTTGTGCAGAACTAACATAGGGGGATTCTGTCGGTTTTTAGGCCAAAATGATGAAAAATATGCCCTTTCCGCATTGAGCCAACCTGACACTTGAAACGTGCACGCATTATGATCGAGCGATGATTTTCGGTTCGCTCGGAGCGCGCCGCGGGGGGTACGGTACATGCACTTGTACGCATGCACATCATTTCGCTTGTACCGTACCCCCCGCGGCGCGCTCCGAGCGAACCGAAAATCATCGCTCGATCATATGCGTGCACGTTTCAAGTGTCAGGTTGGCTCAGTGCGGAAAGGGCATATTTTTCATCATTTTGGCCTAAAAACCGACAGAATCCACCTATGTTAGTTCCGCACAAGATATGTGAGTATGTCAAGAGATAAAGTACGGAGTATAGGGGCAAACTTAGCCCGACTGCGTCTGGCCGTACAGTACTATCGCAAGCTCTGTAGTACGGCCAGACGCTGAATGCTTCCAAAAAGACTGAATTTTTTTGGCCGCTGATGTAGCGATTTTGCTACATCTTTTGATCGAGATTATCTTTTCATCCAGGACAAAAATTTCCACAGTTAAGGTTCTTAGTCGTAGAGCAACTCATACCTTTTCGAAAAAACTTTCTTTGGTCTCAATATTTTCATCCATCTGGCCAAAAGACGACTTTCAGTCATCATCTTCCACAAATATCGTCCCGAAAATGCTTCCCCATGCGATTTCAAAATGGCGGCCGCGCTGTAACTCATGAATATGCATGAAAAGTCTGTGACGTATGACCTCGTGTTTTTGGACGTGCGCGCGGCGGCGCCGTACGTACATATGTACATGTACATTACTTGTAGACAACAGCCCAGTACGTGCATGCACACGTACGTCCGCGCGGCGGTGTGCATGCACGTACTGGGCTGTTGTCTACAAGTAATGTACATGTACATATGTACGTACGGCGCCGCCGCACGCACGTCCAAAAACACGAGGTCATACGTCACAGACTTTTCATGCATATTCATGAGTTACAGCGCGGCCGCCATTTTGAAATCGCATGGGGGAGCATTTTCGGGACGATATTTGTGGAAGATGATGACGGAAAGTTGTCTTTTGGCCAGATGGATGAAAATATTGAGACCAAAGAAAGTTTTTTCGAAAAGGTATGAGTTGCTCTACGACTAAGAACCTTAACTGTGGAAATTTTTGTCCTGGATGAAAAGATAATCTCGATCAAAAGATGTAGCAAAATCGCTACATCAGCGGCCAAAAAAATTCAGTCTTTTTGGAAGCATTCAGCGTCTGGCCGTACTACAGAGCTTGCGATAGTACTGTACGGCCAGACGCAGTCGGGCTAGGGCAAACTGTGCAGCGGTTCTGTGTGAAATGGCTGCAGTTTGATGGACGTTTTTGTACTTAATTAGTGTTTTGTGCTGCAGGCAATTTTGCGGGCTTCTTGATCTATGAGGCTCCGCTCACGCGGAGCCTCATAGTTCTAGGAGTACGCACGTAATACACCGATTGACATTTTTTTGTGACATTGACAGATGACAGTGATGATTGATTGTACAAGTTTACATCATCATGTAATATCAAATCACACGTATAGACTAGCTAAAACCTGAGCAATCATTGTGAAATCTTACCTTAAATGGACAAGAATATTTACAGCTTAAGATCCCGTGAGTTTTGCACAAAATTTGTCGATGAATTATGGAGAAAATTAACTTTACTTTCCATCCATAAAGATACTTCCGCCTTCCTCATTCTATGCAACAGTCTATTGAAAAGCGCCCTCTGTTGGCCAATACTGTTTAGACATGACGTCATCGAAACTTTTATGCGCTAGTTTGGCATCGTTAAACGTTGTCTGCGGAAATCACATTGAGGGTAATATCAACTCAAAAACTAGCCTTTTATTGTTTGTTGATGTCATGATGCCGACTGTGTACAGACAGGATGTAGTCAGATTTTTTAGGCAGCTTGAATTTAAGTGTTTTGTCCCTCATTACAAAAAAAATATTTTCTAAAAAGCTGACACCATTCGAAGTTTTTTGTTTTGGGTATATATTTTACCGGTACAGAATTATTCATCCACTTGTCTGACATTTTGGTTGTAAGCCTTTGCGATGTACTGACCAGGGCCCGCGAAAAACTCGTAGACTAGAAGAATCTACTTTGCTGGTTTTCATAACCAAGTTCTAATCCTTCCTCCATTATGTTCTTACCAACGATAATATTATGGGGTACTTATAGAGGGCGCTATATAACTTTAACGGTAACGTTTCTAATCTACAATAGCTAAATAGAGGGCGCCATATAGCTTTAACGGTGTCCCTTTGACTGTCACGAAAATAGAATAGAGGGCGCAATAACACATCAACGTTCCTGTTTCAAAAGTAACAATACAATAGAGGGCGCAATGACATTTTAAAACGGTCATTCTTAAAATGATTCAATAAAATTGAGGGCGCTATGTCACTTTAGCTTTTCGGGCTCCTCGTGCTCTCCCCCCCCGCCCCCCCCCCCCCCCCCCCCCCCCGGCAACTGCATTATTTTTTGTGTATGATTATAATAACATTTTGTAAGGTATTTCGTTGCTAGGAAAACTAAATATGTAAAAGAAAATCACGTCTGGGTTGAAATGTCAAAGTAAAGGTATTAATAAGGAAAATTTACAACAGAAATTTAGATAGAACTATAATTAATTGTCGAATTGAAGCGTAAAGACCTGAAATAACAATATTTTGGAAGCCCTGATCCTTGCCCCAATCACTCGCTAATGTGAATGGCGCCCTCTATATGTACAGTTCGACCATGGGTACGAAAAGCAGGAAGGACTGAGAACCAGTCTAAGCTTGAGACCGTTAAAATGAAATGGCGCCCTCTATTATATTTCATCTGAAACTTTTGACGAGACCGTTAAAGTAAAATAGCGCCCTCTATTTTAATTGACTTTTGAAATGGGATTTCAAGTGATTGGTGACCTATATTTAATCTGCAACACATCTGAAAGCGAAAAGAGACTGTTAAAGTGAAATAACGCCTTCTTAGTTAATCCTTTTCAAATAAACCACAAAATGGTACCGTTGAAATCAAAGAGCACCCTCTAATTTCTATAACGTTTGAAGCAAAATGGGATTGATTTATCGGTTCAAAACAAACCAGTCTCCATTAAAGTGATATGGCGCCCTCTATTTTTTTTAAAGTTTGCGGAGAAACCGTAGACTGGTTCCCAGTCCTTCCATCATCGATTCTGCTCAGTGGGGACCGTCAAAGTACTAAAAGGACTCCCTCTTATAATTAAACAATTTTCAAAGTGGGACCATTTAAATGAAATAGCCCCCTCTATTTCTATCTGTAACATCCGAAGTGAAAAAGACCGTTCTCCAAAGAACCCTGCTTTAATTATTCCTTCCTCTCCACAAAAAAGAACATTTTAGAGAGGAATTAAACAACAGAAAATTCAACAAAAATCTCTTCACACGTTTTTCGAAAAAGCCACTTTCTATAATTAAAAAAAAATAATTGTTTGCAGGTCCTATGGCAACATGTAACAAGCAATTACGATGTAGACCTATATGTTATTCATCTTCAATTGTTTTATTACAATTTTTCAGTTTCGGTGCTTTAAATAACACTCTTAGATCTGTTTAATTTATGCAACAAACATTAAACAAACCACAGATTTCTCAATCAATTATATACAAACAATCCAGCTTAAAATCTGAAAATAGTGAAAGTACAGAATTTCATTACACATGATGCCAAGAAAAATTTATAAATATCCAAATCAAATCACAAATAAGCTTTAATGAAACTCCTGGAATTTGTGCGGTTTAGAAGAAAAAAACATAAGAGTGCATCTAAATTACAAAAAGATGTTGCGACCAAATTTAAAACGACTTTTGTACATTTGCACTCATTCACAAATTCTCAGCTAGTAATGAAAAAATACAAAACAATTGCACAGGCACATTAAACTGATACTTAAACTGATTAATGTACTTTGAAATAATTACCAGAACTTAAAGTTTGAAATTAGCACCTATAAGGCAGTTTAAAGTTTTATATATCAACCTGATCTTTTCCAAAAGCTGAAACAGAGTATCCTTAGTGTGACGTAAATGTAATAAAAATGTTGAAAAATTAAGTCATTGAGGTCTCATCAAAGAATTCCTTTCTGAATTTGTTTTACCTCAAATGAGTGATATCAGACACATACAATGCTCCCTTCAGAAATTGCTCTACAATCTGACAACACTTGTAACACATTTTTGTCAACAACTTATTACTTATTTTTGAGAGACAAGTTCACCTGTCCACTTCAGATTCAAACTTTTTCCTGCAGAAAAAGTTGCCAACATAATATAAAGCAGTGTTCAATGTTTCAAGAAGCTGTTCTGGAAAGTGCATGGAAACACTTGGTGTAAGTTCCAAGGCTGTTTCAAAGTTTGAAGAGAATGTGACAACTGTATTTTACCAGTCACGATAGTTATCTGAGTTTTCAGAAACCAATTTTTTAAGGAATTTTGAAAAATGTTTGCTTAAAACTTTGAAAAGATCAGAATATAGACAGTGTGAAATTCCGCTGTCTTTGATAAATACTACTTGTAACGAAAAAAGGAGATTATTCATGTACCACTCGTATGCAGTGAAGGTTTAGATACTGACGCCAACATTTCCTGTGTTCTGTTCAAGGCACCCATTCTGGATGGATAGTGAAGTCTGTGCGTACATGTTTTGGGTGAATCTTGTGATGTACTTTGCTGTAGTCGGTGATATGGAAGTGAGGTCCACTCATAGGAAGCGGACGAGGAGCACTCTCAAGACTGTCATATAACTTCTCAGCTGCTCTAGACTCTGCAAGGAAACAAACACAACAGGCAATGTTAGATGGCTTTCCTCTTTACTGTTCATTGATGAATTCAAATTCAATACAGTGTATAAAAACAAAAATTACAGAAACTTTTCAGCAGTTTGATTTCACTGGATGCATTTTGTTTTCTTCAACAGAGACAGACTTTTATAAATAATTCAGATACCGGTACATGCAGTTGATTTCCAGACCAAAAAAACCCCCTAAGAAGCGAGAATATTTCATCCTGTCCTACCTTCATGGCCTGCTCCTTTCAGGAAACGATGCACAGAGGCCTGGTATGGTTCCCTGACTTGCTCACTCACATTTCTGGTGGTTCTATCCTGGTGCTGTCTATTTGACTTTGGACCTCTTGTGTGTGCTTCGTTAACCATTGTCCTGACAGCTTTTCTGTCTGTGAAATGAATGAAAAGCAAGATGGTTTAGGGTGGCTCAAATGAGCTTTGTAGGGAGCAATAATTGGGAGCAGGGATTGTAGATCCGTATCTAAATGTTAAAGGTCAATGCACTGTGCTACAGTGGCAATGTAAATTGCCAATTTGATCAGAACCATTAGACCAGATCAAGAGTAGAGATTTCTTTGAAATGTTTTCCATCAAAGAGTTTATTGCCCCGTTCCGACTTCGGTGAACAAAGGATTGATTTCCCTCTGGCTCAGTGGGTGGTAGTCTTCTGTCAACTGAATGGGCAGACAGAGATTCTTTGTGGCGATAAATCCAACCAATTACAAGCAGCTATTTTGCTTTTTTGTTTTCTAAAAAATATTGATTAGGAGTGTAGGAATTATGGGGTGGCTCACCAACTCCCTTTTATTACGCCTTGGTTCCAAACCACTTTTTTTCTACTTCCATTTTCTACTTACTTGTGCTTCCAGCTAGTTTCATCCAAGCTTCTGCCGCCTGGGCTGACCACGGATCTGATATCACTTTCTTCATCTTCTGTCGCTGTCCGATATAAAAAGTCAAAAAACAAAATTAATAAATTACATCACCAAATGAAATTACATCACTAAATGGATGAAACATTGAAAAACTCATTTGTTTGCACAAAACTGACCCTGATGTTTAGCAGTTGCATGCCAGACCTCATATAAAAAGAGTCTGAAAACATTGATTAGACATTAAATAAAAATTGATTGAAGTGACACAAAAGGTTACAAATAACTACCGAAATACATAAAAGTTAGAGACCATATTTACTGTCTCTGTGTTGCTATGGTTACCTCTTCATCTTTATACGTCATGACGTTAACTGTGCTTGGTCGACCGATGTATTTGTGTCTCAAATGGCGTCTGTCGTGTTGTTCCCATTCAGGACATAAAGCATCAACTGTGAAAACATAGGGAAAATGTTTGAATGATCCTGTAACAGATAGATGGTTTGCTAAATTTGTTGCTTTTTGGTTGTACATGTATATCCTGCATTAACTCACCTAAATAGACTTCTTCTTTGATTCTTGCGTCAGGATTCTGAAAGCCTTGTACAGCACCAATCTCTTTACCCATAGCCGAGGAAGGATCATAATAACCAGGAACTTTGTGAAGTCTGCATGTCATGAAAACACTGCAAAGGGAAAGACAATGATGTTTATTAGAAATCATCCAGATAATCCGTTACTTGGTAAAGAAAGCTTACAATTACGTGGCATAATTAGGAACACAATGATATACTAGACAACACCTTTGAATGCAGTGCAATGTGATACACATTATTTCCTATTCACCACCAAGTCCATGTGGTCTTTGTATTGTAATACAATCTCCACTGACTTTTGTGTTTATTAATGAGCACTTTCCACAGCTTTTCTATTAAAGACACTGAAACCTCTGAAAGAGTTGCAGCTATTACCACTGCACTCAAACATTTTCATGTTTAAAGTTTACTTTCAGAATTTAAAGTTTAAGAGGGCCTTATGTTTCGAGGGAAGGCTTATTGCATGTCGTGCAAAGCTACCCATAATTGTAGAATTAAAATCTGGCTCATAAACTTTCTCAAATTCGCAGATCCACTTAAGTCTGCTTAAGTCTTGAAGAGAAGAGTCGCCAGTTGTTTCCAAATAAATGCAAGCCTCAAGTCTGACAGAAATTGAAGAGTTGTTTGGGGAAATATTTTAATCCTCAAGAAGTGGCTTAGCTGAGCTTAGAAAATCTCTAGCAACTCAAAAGGACACTCTCACAAAAAGATTATACGCTCTTTTGAAGTACATTCCTTCACTCACATCCAGACACCATTGTGTGAAGACTAGGCATCTCCCAATTTTCAAGAATCTTCTTAGAAAAGAGATCCTTCGGAAGACTTCGAAAAATCATTCAAAAACTTACCCTGTCAAAGTTTTCGAAATACATCCTCATCATTTGACTCTCAATGAGCAAATGATGAGGCAGTAGCTTTGTGCATATAATTGGTTCTTAGTTAATATTGATCGGGTCGAGAATATAGCCCTCTCCTTCACAATTAACCCGCCCTCTGCAAATCTAATAAACCCTTTGAGATGCTGTAGCTATGGTTATAGCTACTTGACGAGGATTAGTGAGGACAATACAATTCTTTTGCCTTTTCATCCTGAAAACTGACCACCATAGGACAAATTGATCTACCACGGAAGGTAAACATGACTGGAGTCAGGAAGGGGCAGAAACAAGTTTGGGATTATAGTTCAATATTGGCAAAGCAAGCTTAAGACATTCTTCAAGAACTCATGAGCAAATCATTGGAGTTGGTTTTATCTGTCAGCAACCACACAAGTATGTGTTTTCTTGCTGTGGTTTTGATTTACAATCTAGATCGTTACTAATAGAATAAATGAACGCAGGTTTGAAACTTCTTCTTTTTAATGTGTTGGTATAGTTATGAGCTCTATCATATTTGACATTCATCATATCAAAATAATTTGCAAACATACATGGTCATTGATGAACACCAATTTTATTTTTTTGTAACTCCTCTCAACACAAATTGTACATAATTAAATATCAAGACCACAATACATTTCAACCCTTTACCCTACTGAAGTGCGGTCAGCCTAAATAATAACACAATTAACCTTTTGCTAAATTTAGTTTTTGCTGCAGCATACTTCATGTACCTGAACACTGCATGTACCTTATCAAACGATAACGGCAATAAATCTTGCAACCTGTGGACTTTCCCCTACTGTTTGACAGATTAATTGGGCAATAGTTATAAATTGTTTTGGTTCCAAAAATTGAAAATATTCAATTAAGACTGATCTTGAGCAGAATTTTCTGTATAAGTATACATTACTTGATATTCATCATTTCAATGACTTCGAATGTGACAACACCAGCTGATCTTTTCACATGAAAAATGTGAAATATTTCAAGAAAAAAATAAGCATTCTTTTACGGACTTAACACTGCAAGAAAACAATGTCTGAACATGGCTGTGGACTAAAACCACCAAATTAAGAACACAAGACTGAAAATCAGCTATATGTATTGAAAAATATTTTTACATTTTCACATTTATCACAAGTTATAGTAGGAGATCCAAAAATTAAGCATTCAGGTTTTTAAATTAGCTTCAAGACTGGTGTAATAAATCTTCAAGTTCCTCTTATGACACTGAAAGTGAAATCATTTTATCCATGAACATAAGTAAGATTCTGGCAACTGCTTGGGAAAATTACTTAAACAACTGTTGACAGTATTGGTATATGTTTGTAAAAGGTATAGGGTAAATTTATTATTTTATTCTCTCATCAGCAATATTTTCATAATATTTGACAACATCACCATCATCATCTTAATTCATCCCCATCATCATCGTCATCGATATTAATTATTGAATCATCATGAAAATTGCAATTGTCACAAAGATCACATTTATATGCCATCATGTCAATCACAAAAAGCCAATAAACTAAAAACATCTCCACAAAAAACAACAACATGAGTTCCTTAACTTACTCTTTTGGGTGTGGTTTATTTCTCCTGGTAGGAGATACCGGTCTCATCTTTGCTCTATCGTCCGACTTGACTCCTTTGTTGTAGAAACTGTGCTCATAAGTTGTCGGTCTCTTATTTGCTGATTTGGTCCAATCTTCTAACTCTTCATTCCAAGCAAGTATAGCATCTCGCTTTATTTCCACGAGATCCCTGGGGCTCGTTTGGTACTGCGGCCGGCCGTACGTTCCCCGCCCAGCCAGGCGACCCTCCTTGTTGTACCGGTAACTTGACATCGTCGGGTCGGCGGACTTGGACCGGAATTTAGTGACAATGCTCCCCCGTCCCGGCAAGATGTGTCCAGTTGCCATGATAACTGGCTTCTTATTTCTCACAATTCTATTCACTAGACTCTAATAACATTTGATCCAACTTTTATCCTCCAGAAGCTAGAGGGAAAACAGTTTATTATGAGGGGATTTCTGAGTCAACATTTACGTCCGTGATGTGTGGTCTAACTCATTGTGTACAACAGGTGACCTTTCTAGCTCTAAGCAACCAGTTTCTCATTCATATGGTAATATCCACTTACGTATGCTAATTTTAGTGACCCCTGAGTCACCGATACTGCGCAGATACTCAATTTGACGCTTTGCGCAAAAAATGGTCGCTCCCAGGGTTTGTTACCGATGAGTGGAAACGGAACGATTTTCCACGAAATTTGCGGTAATTATCAGTTTCTAAGCAATTTCGGATACATTTCTGTGTAAATAGAACTAAACTGAATAAGTTGTATCGTTGTTTGTTGAAATCTGACTTCAAGAAGTGAGAAGATCGCAAGTTATTTAGCAAACTTTACTTGTTAATGTGTTTAGCATTAGGCTCCACCGCACCAGTCTAATATTAAATGTTGCACAGTATTGCTAAGCAGAGGGTGCAGTCTGGATACCCGACCAATGGGGAAATAAACAAAACCAACCAACAAAAAAAACCCCATATTATTTTTTATGTATCCTCGATCCTCCTATATCTGCGCAGATAAGGCTTTGCAACCAAATAAGTAGCTTAAAAACCTAGCAAAGCAACCACTCTTTTCCTCAGCTCTACAAAACTATTTTGTTGGCTTACGATCATCCACCGGCCGTACCGAATAACAAAACGAATTCTCTTTAATTATTTATCCTGCCTAAGCCGACCCATGTAGATCCCAATGATATTGTTATTCTGATCATCCCAATAAACAGAGAAAGTTTTTAAGATGTCGGATTTTAAAACTTATGACCAAAAAACTTCCAAAATAATATCAGAAATGTGTCTTTTTAGTTGCACCGTAAGTTTTACACCGTTGTAGAAACTGCAAATTCTTATCTATGACATCTTAACTATAATACTGACCACAGTGGGAGACCAAGAAAGGTCACCTTTTGGTCATATTTTCGACTTCTGTAGGCCCGGAAGCATTTGCCTGCATTTGTACTTAGTAATTAGCTGTAAAAAGCCGATGTTTTTCATATTGTGCCTGAATTTCCGGTAAAGCCTTCAATTTCCAAATTTTTTTCGGCTGCTGGTTAAAGTTCGTGCATCAAAGGATACGATCCCAGTGAAAGTTTGTCATTTTTTAGGATGCATGCCTTGCAAAATATAACTTAAAGGAGGTGCGCAAAAATAGGAGCGTGTAGCTTTAGGAGGTCTGACGATATTAATATTACTAGTTACAAAAAGATTCTGTAAAATTAGTTGTCGCCAAGTTGTATAATATTTTTGGTTTAACACATGTATCTGAGCAGTCAAAAAGTGAAACAAGATGACAGCCATTCGTCACACACTCCAGCGGGATGTATTTCTGCCCAACGATGAGAGGCTCATTGGATTTGTACACGTCACCAAGACGGGCAAGAAAAAGAAAGTCAGCTTTCTCTGTGCCACAGGTGAGTCCAAATGTCTTGCCATTTGTTTCAAGTTCAAGTTCATGACAAGCTTATTTTGTTATGCTCACTTATTTTTCGTCTGTTTCCATTGGATCAATCTTAATTAATATTTAATAATCTCTTTTGTCTTTTCGCTTGTCATCTCTGTAGCTTTTCAGATGTATCTGACATTTTAATAATTTCTAACTACTCATTGCTCCACTCTCCACCAATTTGGCAATTCAAAATATCCCGCAGGCAAATGCTTTTCTACTTATATTTTTCTTCAGTGACAACTGACGTGCCAGCTCAAGTTTCAGTTCACAAAGTGAAGAAGGTGGATAAGGATACATACAAGAAGCGACAATCCTGGAACCTGGCCGAGCTGAGAGAAGTGGACGGCAAAGATTCTTGTATTGTACGAAATTAACATGAATTTTTCTGTGAAAATGTATTTGTTTGTGAAAGACTTGCTGGAATACAGGTAGAAATTTGAATAACAGAGGTAAACAGCTTTCATTTTCCATCAACAGGACATTCCAGACTTTGATTTGCATTTTGATAAGTGCTACAAGTGGATAGCCAGCAACCCTGCAGAGAAGAACTCCTTCATTGAAACGTTATGGAAACTCACACAGCGATACCTGAAACAGCTCAAGAAACCAGACTTTGTGAATATTAATGAGTCACTTCTCGAGGGTAAGCATTTCAAAATCAAACTATTCCTCTTCACATCTCACAAAAACGCATGCAAATCTTGCATGCAAGTATAAAATACAGAGACTGCATTACAGACCATAAGAAAAGTGTAGTGATTCTGGGCCAAACTGTTATTTGCTTTGGTAAAATGGTTTTGTTTTTCCTTTGCTTGAATCTCCAGAGTTTACCCCCGTTGGTGATCAGTCTCGAGTCCAGCATGCCGAGGATGATTTAGGTACTGGAGATGACTATCAGGTCCTAGCTGCCAGGGAGGAAGCGGACTTGGAGCGTATGATGGCAGAGTGTGAGTTTGCTATCGGGAACGCTGAGGCGTTTGTTGAACGACTGGCCAATGATCTATCGGTCCTAGATGGGGTAAGATTGAACATTAAGCTCTTAAACATTAACTCTATTCTAACAATTTTGAAGGGTTGAGGAAAAGGGATTTTGTAGAATGCAATACGCTTAATTGTTATTGAAATCTTGATTTTGATTAAAAAATTCTGACATCTGTGATGAAATGTGGCATGTATGGCACAGGTCTCAAATGAAATGTTTTTGTCTTTGCCTAGTAACATTTCACTATACAAGTAGATTGACAGCATTCTAAAAATCAGGATTAAATTGGGTAAAAATTATCGAATATTGTTTTGTGACTTTTCCTTTTGCCCAGGCCAACATTCATTCCATCATCGAGTCCCAGCAGGAGGTTGCACGTCTCATGCATGTCCTGGATGAATCCCTCCTTGAAGTCAATAAACTGGAGAACAATCTGGATGAGTATGATCGCATGCTGGAGGTACATGTACACTCGTTAATGTGGTTTGGATATGACAGCACTCACAGGGGCAATTCTGCCGGGAAAGGAGAGCTCCTTATCATAATCTTCTCTTGTAGCTTTTTCTAAATGAGGAGCATTTTTCCTAATAATTTTCCTGACAATTAGTTAAGGAATGTTCCGACTTTTGAGACGCTCCCTAAAGCATCTTCCAAATGTTCACTTTCTAAACTGATTCTGTGAATTGTACTAGCAGTTTTGGTTTGCTGCATTTCGGAATCACAAATAAGTTGCCAGAATGACAACGAATAGCAGAAAATAATTACTAGTTAGATGTATTTCTAATGTTTTATGAAATCAATGTCTCTTGTTTAACTGTAGGGTGTTCGAGTCCACATGGAAATCATGGAGCAGAAGGATTCCATGATCCAGATACAGAGCCAGAATCACTCCAAACTGATTGACCAACTCCGCAACATCATCGGCCAGCTAGACATGCCTCATCATTATAAGATGGCAATTATAGATAGTGACTTGGGCACACCCAAAGGAATCTTGGATTGTACGGATGCTACACAGTGTCTGCAGGAGAAAATGGAGGCGGAAATACATCCAGGTAGGAGGAGGAAGATTGAAATCACCACAAGACCGTTGGAGTGCAGTTCAAGTCTTAGCTGTTTCCTCTGAGTCACTGAGCATAAAGAATGTCTGAATTGAAATGTTGGGGCCTGGCTAGGCAAGACTAGACCTGTTTGGAAATATTGTCCATTTCTGGTAGATATGTTGAGCAACGTACCCCTTTGTAGAGATGCATTATGTACATTGAGAGCTAAATGGCTTTGTTTTTAGAGTACACTATTCGCTTTGCATTAGTTATAATTTGTCAAGTTAATGCTTGTTTAGTTTGACCGAAAATCTTTACAAACAATTTCCAGGTTTGAATAAACTTCGGGCGATAATTGATCAGAAGGATCTACTGACAAATCTCCAGGAGAAGTTTGCTCAGCGACTAGCCATTCATCTCAACAATATCTTTGTGCAACAGGTAACTGCTTATTCAATCTTTCTTTCCCATGTTTCATAATTCAGCGCTCAATCTTGATTTTTGACTTGTTCCTCCCCTCCCTCAATATTGATCAGTCTGACAGACTCAAGGCCTTGATTTTATTCTTGATTATGTCACAGGGCAGCATGACAGGAGATAACTTAGCCTACCAGTCTGGGCGTCTAGCCCTGCCCAAGCATCATAACTTCCATCGAGATCTGATTCCATATCCTGAACTCATGCAATGGCTTAAGAAGGCAGACTACACAAGCTTTAAGCTTCTCTCAAGGGTATGCACCATTAATTACCATCTTAGGCCAAAAAAAAAAGTCTCTGGTTTCTGGTATGCGCGCGCGTCGCCATAGCCATGGGCGTCGGCAAAATGAAAAAGTTTTTTTTTCAATGAAAGATGATGTCTCAAAACTGCCAAACTCACTGGTTTGACAGGAATTCTGCTGCTGCACAATTTTAACGTGTTTTTAGATTGGGTTATGGCCGAGAATATGCTTTATGTGGCCTCTCTGGACTCCCATATATTTGCACTAAGTTTAGTCGGGCACCATTTGCAGTCATCGGCCGACATTTGAAGCAAAAAATTCAGGTAAAAAAAAAAAAAAGCCGTGTCGCCGCACACTTTTTGGGCAAGCTCCATACCAGAAACCGGAGACTTTTTTTTTTGGCCTTTGCTTTGGATGGTCCTCTATTGGTTAAGACTCATTTTAATAGTCATACGATCATAAACTTCAGCTGCCTACTCTGGAGAAGCAGTGTTTTCATTCTGTATTAATTCGATAAATAGCTTGACCGTACTGGAGAAAGTTTCTTCAATGTTCGTCTTTGCTCTTCTGCGTTGCAGAATTACACCAAATCCCTGCATAAACTCTACAGCCATGAAATCAGTGAGTTCTTTGAGCATGCCAAGCAGGCATTGATCAGTAAGACTAAGAGCACACTGGATCCTAAGAAATTTGGCTTTGGTGGGCGGGGTCAACTCCAGGGATCAACTGGTGACCTCTCCAAGTCAGGGTCAAAGAGCAAAGGTCAAGAGTTTCATGGGTCGGAGGCTGAGTTGACAGACAGGCAGCGGTTTGATATGGTAAGTCATTGAATGATTGTCAATAAATATGGGAAGGCTGTTATATGGAAAGAAAGAATTCAGGTCTCATGGGTAGTGAGAATGTGTCCAGGCTATATACTGGTTCTGTGATCGAATTTATTATACTGTCTTTAACGTTAAAGATGAAAAAAAAAAAAAAATAAAGCCTTAACATGTGTATCCAAAAGTACTGATTAAGTCATCTTTTACTTGATTCTGCTTATTTCTCCTTTTGAATTATGCATGAGAGAGATTCTTCAGTCATTGTCTCTGTTGTGTTAATTGTCATGGCAACAGGTCTTCACCCAGGTACTGAATGAAGTTGCACCCATGTGCCAGGCGGAGCAGGATTTCTGTGCCAAGTTCTTTGGTCTTGGGTCAGACACAGACTATGTGGTAAGTAGTCGTTAGCAGCGTTACTTGAGCTCATTTATAGGACAGTATGTCATACATGTAGTAATTATGTCTATACTCCCAATTATAATCTCTACACCCAAAGTAATATATATTATAGCACTTTGCTTTTCTGTCTGTGTATTGTGCACTTGGAAGTTTCTTTCAAGCTTTGACAGTTTTGGTGTTGCTGACATACGTGAAATTCCAATACGGTGTCTAGGATAGTTTCACATTTTTGAAAAGATTACTCATTTATTTCAATTTTAAAACTAATCACATCAACAATTAATTTGTGTTTTCTGAGCATTATAGGTACCGAAATAGTCTTGTGTTGATCAAAGCCAATTGCAGTTATGTGTGCTGCTCAAGAACACAAACACAAGAATACTTGATTTGGCCTTAAACCTAATCTCCGTAAAAAAAGACTGTATTAAACATTACACTTATGAAAATGGCACACAAGCTTCTAAAACTCTGAAAGGCGTGCATTTACACACACCAGAATCTGTGGTTACCTCGTTTATTTTAGCCTACCTACAACATCTAATGTTGTCATTCATGTTTAATATTGACAGATTTTAGCCTTAGTTGGCTGTTGTCCAAGTTGGCTGTACTTGAGCTTAAAGCTAACAGCTTGAAATATTGAGTTAGAGGTTTTATTGTATCATGTATTATTGAAGAATTCCAATACGACATACAGAAGATAACTGTGGATGTAACGGCATGGCTTTTTAATGTTGAGTGATGACATCACTAATTTATGTCACTTCACCTTAACGCTTCCAATCAATGAATTTACATGTATCTTTGCATATTGACATGTATTTCTTTAGGTTTCTAACACAGACTTCCTCCAACAGGTTCAAATATTTGGGCTCTTGTTGGAAAGAAATGGTATAGATTTAATTAAAAAAAATAAAACCCAGAGAATGTGTGACTTTGGCTGAGTTCTAACCTAAAAGTGTTTGCGTGTTGGATGTGTGTATATATCCTCCCCAGCAGAGCGCTTCAAGCTCACGTCACGCAGAGCATGGCAGTAACCCAGGCGGAAAGGTCAGAGGTCATTGCAATATTGCACCCAACTGCTGTTTTATGTTTGAAATGTTGCATGAAATGAAATAGCTGCACGTGTGTTGGTTTGTCAAATAACTAATTTGAGTGCTAATCGCATGCTAAAAGTTGTGTACTAATAGCGTCGTCTTGCCTGTTATTGGCTATGTGCTAAGCTGTAGAGGGCAGTGTCTAAGATTTTTGCTTATGATGCATGGAAACTGACTTGTGTGCTATTTTTGGAAATATTGTAGTTCTATTAGTGCAAAAACCAGCATTAGAATTTAACTGTATCATGTAGTTGTAAAAAGCTACTACATTGGATATGAATCTGCCATCGTTGCGTATGAGCAAAAAAGAAACATGTCCATAAATGAATGAAAGGTTTGCGGAAACACCGGGTGCAAATAATTTCTCAAACTAAGAGAATGGTTCTGAAAAGAACCAGAGGTATAAACTCGACGTTCCAGTCAGTATGCTCTGAGCATCTTCACTTTCCTTAAGACACATGGTGTTTCCTCAAACCTTTCATTCATTAGTATCTCCACCATGCAAAGCCTCAAATCTTACTCATGTCCATAAACTGAAAAATTGTGACTGAAAATGTGTGACTGAAAACTTGTGACTTACAATATACACCCAAGCACATGGTCATGAGATGGCCACACAGTTTGAAGGGCTGCAGGATTCTGATGTGCATGGAGCTATTATTTCCTTCTTTTGTTTTATTTCATTATTCTATTGCTTATTCGTCTTACTACGCTCTCTAAAACTGCATGTTTCGGGGTATGGCTTTAATAACTTTATTGTTCCCCTCTCTCAAAACCAAAGTCACCTGAGCAAAAATCAACAAAACTTATAGTAGATTTCAACAAGTGATTACACTTTTGGTTGCAGGTAAAACTTATGAAATGCAAATTGTACTACAGTACATGTATTGGCTTAAAATGACGAATCATTGCGTTCTGAATTACATTTTGTAGATGTATTAGATTTTCAAAATACTCGTAGTAAAAAATGGAGTAGTCCATATAAGCATTAGTACTTACTGCCTTAGATAAAACTTCATGGAATTGTAACATTCTCTTGCATTGCAACCTTTTTAATTGTTTTATTTTGTAAGGGAAGCAAAGCATGCTTTTGATACGAAAGTAAAAAAAAATATGAATTCTTGTTTTTTCCCCTCATTTTTTGATGGTCATGACATAACATTTTGTTGTTTGAGTTGACCCAATGCCTTGAAATTCACTGATTGTAATACTTTTCAGACAAACACCTTTACATTAGTATTACACTGTGACTAGTCAACCATGACTTAAGTATTGACCTATCAGAATGTATCACGAGACTAAGACATTTTATAATCGTCACATTGAATGTTTAAAACTTGTAAGGTGAGTTTTTGTGTAGTTTGTGATTATTTCAATATTTCACAATTGTTTTCCTCCAACATGCCTGATTAATGTTTTGTTTTGGATACTTGTTGTAAATCTTTGGTAGGATCCACGATTTAAGATTGCAATTGAAGCATAGTGTTCCATGCCTCTTCCAGTCATGTGACAAACTTGAAACATTCCAAATTGCAAGAATTTTTTTTTCGGAGTCATCGTTTGTAACAAGTTGAGGCGTTACACTCAGCACGTCAGCTTAGTTACTTTCTCAACATAAGTCTCTGGTACCTTTAATATGAATACATCTTCCTTTTGAGGTGGTATGCTTTGGTTATACTAATACCTAAAATTAATGGGAAATTTTCTCTTTGAACTCTTGAAATTTTCTTTGCCAGATTTCTCCTCTCCTTTTTAAGTCTAACGAAATTCAACAGTACACCATTTCTATTGAATCTTGTTAAATAATTCGAACAATAAAAGAACTATGCCTCACATTAGTACTGTTGGATTTTGTTGAATTTAAGGTGGCTCTATATTATTCTTTTTCAATACATATTAATACTTGATGATTTTCCTGTTCTCATATCTGAAGGATTTTGTGATGGAGGAATTGATGGGAACTATTGATTCTACACCGGGAAAACAAAAGAAAGAGTAAGTTTTAAGTTCTTTAATATTTTGTACCAAAACACAGGGTAGCATTCTCCTCACAATGTATGATGCAATATGTGATTTCATCGTGACATTAAACATGGAGCTATCACAGTCACAGCTTTGTATTATTTTCTTCTGTATACAGGGACAAGAAGGCAACCATTCTTCCTAACAATGAAATGAGGTGAGTACATCAATTTTATTTGTTTTAATCAACTATAAGCTACTGCTACGATGTAAACATGTACACTAGTTTGTACTGTAAGATATTGCAATTAAATACTTGAAGCAAGGTTATGGATGGAGGTTGCCACACTCCTAAAAATCCCCATATTACAGATGAAGTTGTGTTATTTTTCCCGTTCTTATTTGCAGGGAAGTGATGGCAGATCTTTTCCAAACCTTGGAACCAGAGCTCAAGAACTTCATTGCGTTTGCTGAAAGAGTGGACAACTTGTGAGTCCCCTTAATAATAAATCATTCATAATAATGATAGTAAATTTGTATTCACGACCTTATAAATCAAACATTAATGCCACGGTTATGCATAGGGTGGTGTGACCCTAGGGTGGTGCGTCCGCTTAACTGTGAATTAAGGATCAACTTCTTTGGCTATTAAAAAGAAGATTGTGGTGAGATAATGGTATGCTGATGGGCATTGTGTAAACCCACTCCCTCCACATAAATCATTCATAATAATGATAGCAAATTTGTATTCACGACCTTATAAATTAAACAGTAATACCATGGTTATGCATAGGGAATTAAGGATCAACTTCTTCGGCAATTAAAAGAAGAGAATGCTTGGGAATAAACAAGAATCTACTCCAACATTTACTGTCAAGATGGATTTCATTGATTTATTGCTAATTAATATTCACATACACGGAACAAAAACGAAACATTGCTCACAAGACAGCTTGAAATTTGTTGGAGTAGATTGTACATTGTACAGTAATAGTATGGCAATAAAATAGTAGAGTATTACTCAGCTATAGTAATGAAGTATAGTAGTGGCAATAGGTCATAATAATTACTGGGTTACTACAATGGTAATATTAAGCTAATAGTAATGGGCTCATGGTTGGCTAATGGTGAGATAATGGTAGGCTGATGGGCATTGTGCAAACCAGCTGCCTCCACATAAAAGAGTCAACATGTGCAAGAAATACAGGGTCACCGAAACAATAAATGAAACAGCCGTCTAGGTAATACAGTACATGAAACAGTGGCGAAGCCTCACGTGAAACTCACACAATGGAACTTTCTGCACAGAACTTTCTCGAAATGCAACAAACAAAACTTGGCCAAAATGACAGATTCTGACTAAAGTCTAAGTCCACACTTGGTCAATATGTTCTATGAACCATGGGCGTCGCCAGGATTTTTTCTAGAGGAGGGCAAACATATTTTTGCCCAAAAAAATCCTGTATTTCCCAACATTTGCTCGAATTATCAATTTTAGAGGGGGGCAGGGACATTTTGCCCCCCCCCCCAACCCATTAAATGTACACCACTATGACTTCACGCCTCTTTTTCTTTTCTTTTTTTCTCTTTTTTCTTATTCCCTTTTTTTTTTTTTTCTTTTCTTTTCAGGGGGGGGGGGGGGGGCAAGTGCCCCCCTTGCCCCCCCCCCCTCGCGATGCCCATGCTATGAACCTGCATTCATAACATGATTGGGACAGAATGATGAATTTCGGTGAATTAAATGTGCAAAATGCTTAAGATCTGTTGATAAAATGACACTTGCGTCTGAGCAAAATTGTCTGCTGAAAGAGACAATACAATACAATACAATACAATACGTATGCCACGAGGAAGTACATCGCGTAAGCTTACAGGACTGAGCTACATTCGACATAATACGACAATATACAAACATTGTCTCATAATTATAATGACATGAATAGTTAGACATAATAACCAAGATTATGAATAAACACCAGGATGTATTTCATAATTCGTATGAAGGAAAGTTGTTCACATCTCAGAACTATTTTATTTGTGCAAGCGTACTGCAAGTCTTCGTGATGTGGTTAACGTAAACAGTACATTTTGTTCACAACAAAAGTTAGGCTTATTTCAAGTCAGATCGCCACATTAAAACAACAGCACTACAAATAAATTAGATCTCAAAACTCCAGCTAAAAATGAGACAGTCATAAACTCTTTATTTTTGTCTTTCTTTCTGCAGTTTTTCAGTGTACATGCTCGTACGCATTGGCTACCAAGTCATGGCATCCCCTAACAAACAATCCAGCTCCTACCTAAGGATGGTCCTGGCTAACTGTCTCATTGAAGTCAAGAGGAACTTTGATAAATACATCGTAAGATATTTCACTTTTTTGGTTCATCTTCTTCTTTTGCAATAGATTTGCTGTTTTCAATGGCAAACCCAAAGTTGTAGCCATGAAGAGGAAATCTGTATGTGATCTCACTAGTTTTGTATTTGATTTCACTGGTTTATAATTTATTCTGATGTTGGGTTAATGTTATTGGACAAACACTTACACCAATCAGCTAATAAGCTATAGAAAGCTTGGCGGAGAGCCTTGTTCCGTAAATAATAAATAACAACATCCAACCAGCTGTTTGTCAACAAGATAGCATCTGTCAAGTTTTCAGCCAAGTAGCCGTCGTATGCAGAAAAATCGGATTGCTGTGTTAGTATGGCTAACCAAATCAAAGTTGGAATCCAGGCAATTAAGACTGCCCCAGTTATGATGATGATGGTGGTGGTTGATCGGGTATTAATCCTCTGATGTCCCTGTTCATTTCCAGCTTGGTTTTCAGCAGCAATCCGTCGGGCTTGGCGGCGAGCAATCAGAGAAATATGAATATACAGGGCAAATATTGTGCCAAGAACAAGTAGAATAGAAATTATGGATATGTAGCCTCCTAAATCATTAGTTGATGCAAGGCATAAATGCGGACTGGACTGCTGTACTGAGCTGTGGTTATAAACCCCATACACTAAAACAGCACCGACGATGGTGATCAACCATGTCGCACTGACCATCAACTTGGCTCTGGGCACAGTCATCAACATTGGGTAACGCAGTGGATGAGAAATAGCAATATAACGATCCACTGTTAAGAGTAACAGAGAGAAGAAGACAAGTCCCATTAACATGTAGACTATTACACCGTACACTGCACAGAGAAAATCACCCAGCAGCCAGTCTCCTGAGAGAAGTTCCGGTAGTTTGAAGACCCAGAATACTCCAGTGAATAGATCGGACAGGGTGAGAGAAGCCATGAAAATCTTGGTTGTCGGTTGAATGCTGGTGACACGACGTAAAGTAAACAGCATCAGTGGATTCAGCAGAAAGTTCAAAATGAGCGCTAGCATTATGAGAGTTGCAACAACAATTACGAATGGTGTTAGGGTGACGCTCTCCGGGACAAAAACCGTCGTGTTTAACATTTCTTGTTTGGGTTCCATGATTGTAATAGCTGTGGGCAGAAAGTTGAGAAAATATATGCTCCCTCGATGCTCTTGCTATGAATTGGATTATTCCACGTCCTGAGATATTGCTTGACCGGTCTGATGACTCGTCTGATACGTGAGAGAAGATCCACCTTAATTACTTCACAGGCTCCGTCAATATAATTCAGCCAGCTTGGCACACCAACGCCGTGTGCACTGTTTGCATTTCCCGGTCCCTTCAATACTATTCAACAAGCTTGCTAAAGATATGGCTGGAGTTACGATCATCGGTTGACCTAATGCTAGGACGTCATCAAGGACAACGTAATAAATTTTTAATAAATTATGAGCAACGTTGTCATTTATTTCTGGCAGTGCGGCTTCCTTAACTTCCCTTTTTTGTCTGTCTGATCAGTTTGACAGCTATTCATCATCCAATCCAATGCTTCCCATTCATGTGCACTAGTACATGTAATTACATTTTCCCCCGAGTGATTTCAGTAACCTTCAGTTTCCATGTCATTCAATTTATTAGTTTCCATGACAACCGTCTGAATTGTAACTAGAAGGTTTTGGACTAGCTTACCTAATAAACCGAATAGACTGTGCATGAATGCATCCGATTTCCTGTCCATGCATCCAATTAAGAGTCCACGTCACCAATGCGGATAGTTTCTCGCAATTTTGCTACAACTGCAGAATTTTGTTTGTGCAGATTCTGACGCTAAGATTTTGTATGCAGCAGTGTAGCCACTAATGATCACTTCTAACACAGCTAAATTATTACGTTGAAATTGACAAAGAAAAATAATCTAAAAAAGAACAAATTAATAAAGATTTTAAATCCATTAAGTTTCATGTTAGGTTTTGCTAACATTAAAGCTACAGTCCATCATTTGTTATTTGTGCTTTTTGTTCGTTTGAAGCAACAAAAGAGTTCAAAATCTAATGAAGGATACTGAGCAACTAACCTGATGAAGTTTCAGCTAAGCTTCAGCTGTACATTCCGAGAAAAACAGCATTCTAAGATCTCAATTTCAAATCAAAAGTTACTGAATCATGTTTTAAATTGTTTTGAATTGCAGCTGTACGCGACGTAGCGCACTGATCCGACGAATTATAACAACCGCGCGCGCGTGTGCGTTGGTCCAATACTTGTGCGCGCTGCGCTGAATAACAAAACGAACTACTAATTTAAATTTTCCTACGGTGCTTCTTAAGAATCACCGTTGGAAATGCCTTCTTTCGTTAATTACTTCAAAATGACAGCTTCCAGAAAGAATAATTTCACAGGGAGTTTAGTTCCCTTACTATATTTCAACCAAGTTTGTTTTTCAACAATAATTACACCAGTTACTTTTCGGATGGCTGCAAATGATGGACTATAGCTTTAAATGAAATTCAAATATTAACATTGACATAAGTGTGACACAGTTTCTTCCAACTTCTGTTTTGAATGATTCCTTCTATCGATAGGATGGCATTGTAACATCAATAAGAGAAACGAAGATGTCAAGGAAGAGCAAGTGCGGAATCCTGCCATTCGTCAAGGAATTTGAGGTGATTTAGGACATTTATTTATTTTTGTCTGCCGTATTTGTTAAAAATGTTACTTATTTTGAATTAGTTATTAAAAATACATTTATGGCTTGGAGCTCTGGACAAGATTCAGATGTGTCTTTGTACTTTCCAGGGCCCACTTGGATGAAATCCATATTTTGATTTGCGATAAAAATTTGTCAATGATAAATTGATATGATGTCATCAACATTTTTAGCTGATTATAATTTTTGTTTCATTATTTCTGCCGCCTCCAGTGGTTTGCTGAGCAAGCAGAGACCGTCTTCAAAGGATCAGATCGTCGTGGTGATCTGGACAAAGCCTACTCTAAGTTGATCCAGGCCCAGTTCAGTGCCATCCACAAGATTGCCTTAGATCACCAGAAAACACCCAGTGATGTCGTCATCTTTGGTATGTTACTCAATTTGGTTAAGTAATCTTCAACTGTATTTGGTTTACACAAATACAATCTCCCCAAAAGACTACTGTGACTCCAATGCAAAGCCAAGTTGTGAGTTTTTGGGTTATATGGTTTAAACTTTGGCATTTTTTCAGCAGATATTATTTGATGTTGAATTCTAAATAAATTTGTACCGTTGTGAATTTCCTGGAGTGCTAGATAGGTCAGTTAGAAGAGTGTTGCTATGGTTTTTTAGAGGTTTATGAGATCCAGTATTGCATTTGTGTTTGTTGGGTTTTTTTCATCCGAAGTATTAACTTTATGTAACATATTATTTGTATTCTTTCTTGTTTACAGAAAACTTCCATCATTTACATGGTGAGTTTATTAATATTTTCTTTCATTGTTGTATAAACTATTGGACCACAGCACTCCATTTATTTTTGTTTTCTTTTGGTGTTCATCATCCAGTGAATGGTATTCAACTCATGTGCAGTGGTATGTGATTCGAATCCTGACGGGGTGCTTGTGTTCTTTAGCAAGACACTTTACTACAATTATCTCTCTCAACCCATCAAATTAATGCTTAAATGATTTCTCTGTCATTGTTCACAATCAAGTCCTGTCCGTGATATGTACATCACCAGAGTCATCTGATCACTAATTTTGTTTACCCCATCTGGCCGGATGCCTCACATGTTTACAGATGTCAAACTGTAGTCTGGCAAACATCAAGATAAGTCAATTAGTGGTCTGTCTGGGCACGTAGAACGTTCAATCATTAACTGAAGGCTGCAGGTAGCATTGGATCGTTGGGTCTCGCACTTCATATATTTTTACCCAACGGAGAGTAATAGTTGTTCTTAATCCAAACATTTCATTTTGTCATGTTAACTGCCTGCAATAATCTGATAGACTGAGAGTAAATTTACAGTAAACCCAGGGGGTTTAATATGACTGTTTTTGTACTCTGTTTATTAGAATTTAATTGTAATTTTGATGTTCCTAGCAGGCCCTGGATATTTTATATTTATTTTGTTGTGCTGTTTGTATTGCAATTTTGTTCTGTTTTATACCTCGAAATTTTCTGCTTTTGATGATTTGCTTACTATATTTTACTTGGTTTATTCCTCGGACTCCCATGTATTTTTTCTTTAATTTTATCTTAATTAGTAATTGTTAATTCTTTTAATTTCTGTATCATATTTGTAAAGCGCCTGGGAGCATTTTATTTAAATGGATTTGGCGCTATATAAATGTATTTTATTATTATTATTATTATTATTATTAAATTTGCATAAAACATACTTTTGGTTTGCAGATTTAGGGTTTGCAGAATTATTACCCCTACCTACTTATTTTGCCAGCATCCTGAAGTCACAAGGAAATTGTGATTGATTTATTTGTTTGACTTGTTTGCCTCTCAGGAACCCTTTCACGATTGAAGATCACTTGCCTAGAGGCAGAACGCAAAGAAGCCAAACAGAAGTACAATGATCATCTACAGGCATATATCAGAGTGTCGCTAGGAAGGCCTATGGATAAACTCAATGTAAGCTGTCATGCCATCTCATGTCTGCATTGTATAACATCCCCCACCCCCACCCCCACCCCCACCCCCACCCCCGCCCCCACCCCTACCCCCACCCCCACCCCTACCCCCACCCCCACCCCAGAAGGACACTTAAGTGCGTTTTTGCCTTGTGCACACAAGTGTGTATTTGCCTGCAATCAGGGACCCCCTATTGTCCCTCTTTTGTTTGTACTTTAACTTTTTAGGGAGACCTCCCATATGTTTTGTACACCATAAATTGGGGACCTTTGGGAATTGGGGACCCTATTGTCCTCTATCGTTCAACGTCCCCTATTGAATGCAGAAACAAAGTCATTATGTGAGACATTTAGAGTTGATACAAGCAAACCAGTGCACCCATGTGATGTGTAAGGGTATATGTCAGTCTTTCTTCCACATTAGAGCTTTTTAAAAATACACAATTGTCTGCAAGTGTAATTTATGTACTTCAATTTATACACATATGGTCTGGTTCCCCTTTATTACAGCAATTCTTTGAAGGTATCCAGGTGCTGGTATCACAGGGAGTTAAGGAAGAGGAGGTCGGGTACCAGATGGCATTCAACAAGCAGGAGCTACGCAAAGTCATCAGGGAATACCCTGGGAAAGAGGTATCAACTTGTGTCCACTTTCACCCAAAACTCATACCATCACATCAAATGTCTTAAAGTACTAGCACACAATTTTTACTTCAATTTTGTAAAGATAAGGAAAAATTGTCTTGATTTGCAGGTGAGGCGAGGACTTGACAACCTGTACAGAAAGATGGAGAAGACATTGTGTGAAGAAGAAAACCTGATGCAGGTATGTGCTTTCTCAAGCAGGTGGGTCAGGACTCAAAGAGGGCGCCCTTTACATCACCTGTAGACCATCACACATTCAAGTCTGAAGGTTGCAAAACAGTAAAAAGCTAGTTAAAATACTTGCAACTCTCCAAGGTGTTTGAGACACACATCAAATTAAAGCTTTTCTGTGGGTAAACAATGACTTTCAGGAGAAATTTGCATCCAAAGAAAAAAATAACCTTAAAGTAGTCCCATAGCCCATTGCCAGTTTTAAAAATGATTTTTACGCTTCATTGCAAACAGAATGATTTAGAACCCAATGTTATCCAAATTTCACAGAAACAAAGTTTGCAGTCCTGTGCACGGCTTCCACCCTTCTTTTTTACAAACCCTCAAGTTCATGGCCCACAAAATGCTCAAATAGTAGATGGTTTTAGGGCATGCAAATCGTGATTTGGCCGATGTCAGCAATTTTGGGCCTATTTTACTGGCCTGCACCCTGACAGATTTGTATTTCAATATTAGGTTTTGCCCTTCACCGACGTATAAACACTGTATACTCAGTGTGTTACCCCCCCCGAGTAGCAGCGGGTACCGCAGTAAACTATTCATAAGATGGAATTTTGCATCGGGGTGATGTAAATCACATTAGGTTTTGCCCTTCACCGACTTATAAACACTGTATACTCAGTGTTTTACCTACAGAGTGAAAGTTGGAAAAAATGTCTCGGGTGGGACTCGATTTGTATCTGCTGACTGTATGGCGCCCTCATTTGACTTGAAGACAGATGGCATGTTAGATAAAAGCCATTAACTGCGCGTAGATGGTGGCAATAATGGACGATTACATTTACCTCATTTTTACACCTTGGATATGTTTATAGAAGCCTGGGGGGGGGGGGGTCCATCAAGCAACCTTTGTTGACCTCAAATGAACTTCGTGATGATTAGCTTAGGGCAGGGAGTTTAAATACTACGTGATGATTGATTTTTAGCAATATTTGCTTATATTTTGTGCCTAATGTGTTTTGGTTATTGCAGTCATGAGGAATGTCCACTTGTTTCAAGAAGACAAACAAATCATGACTCACTTAACAATTATACACAGCTTTTGACATACATGTATTTGAAACATGCCTCTCATCCTACCACTGGTAATATTGAACTAGGAATAATGAATGGAAATATTGAAAATAAAGTCCCAGTTTGTTGTGAAGACTCGTATGAGATAAGAGGTATAATCCTAACTTGTGGAAAAACCTTTCACTTTGCAAATTGAATAGCACTAAACACCCATAAGAATAAACACTCCTGGATATTTTCATAGTTTGCGCTTCGTGACATGAAAACAGTTGTTTGGGTAGAGGCAAAAACAATTTACTGTGAAATAAAGGAAAAATGTACTATTCCCAGGAATGTCACTTGGCAATTGTGCATTGATTTTTGAGTTAGTAGATAATTAGTATTAGTAATTTGTAAAGATCTAAACACATTTAATACTTCGTCCAAGTATGACTCCCTTGTAGTGCTCACAATCAATCAAGAGACAAGAAAGATAATAAAATAGCGCATGCTTAAATCCGAAGCATGTATATTATGTCTACACTGACAATGGGAAATATAGAGCAACTGATGGTTCATATTTGATCGTTTTTTGTACATGGCTTGAAGCTGTTGGAAAAACTCATCTGTCAATCCATGTACCTGGGAGTGAAAACTTGTAAAAACACTCAGACTCTGCTGGTGTGTTTATTCAGTAGCCATATGCCTACAGTGTTTGTTTGCTTGAACCTAGTATAACACTTGTATACTGCCCTCTGTTGACCTTATGGTGGGTAAATAAATGAAGGAATAATACATTACCCCAGACGTCAGTGGAACTGAAGTCTAGATGCCTTTCTGAACATGCTTGCTTTTTGATGCACATGAAATGGACTGTATTTGTAGGATATCATTTGGGGTCAGTTTTATTGAGGTCGGTTTTCATTTTGGGAGGGTGGAGCACACCTTTCCCTTAAAACTAGTATTACATAAAAGTGAAGCTGATGAAGTAAGACTTGCCGTCATGCAGTGTTCGGCATATGTAGGGTCATTCGTGAAGGAGCACATTCTGTGTATGTTTGTAATGGTTTTAACCTGAACTATGGGCTTTTTCTGCCATCATGTCTGGCTTCAGAACCAATAGTGAATCAGGAAAGCTGTCTTGTCAGGCAGCCTCATCAAGAGCAGCTGGTCAGTCCATACTAAACAAAGAAAACATTAAAAACCGAGACAATTAATACCTTAAATTAGGCCAGTTGCATTGAACACAGTCGCAGCTTATTTACATCAAAATTAGTCATCCTTTCTTACGGATCTGGCGTTTTTGAAAAAGATATATTAAGACTGACCTACAAAGTATGACCCTTCCTACTGCCCTACATCTAACATCATCTTACAGGTGTCCACTGTGGAAAGAAATTCCAATGACTTGTGAAAGTCTTTATTATAAAGTAGCTCTCTGTAAGAAATTCCAGAGTGTTTGCACATTGGGGCATTTGTCCAGTCTGTCTTCATAGTTGGACAGGTGTGCCTAGTCTGTCCCTAAGGTGTCCATTTCTTCAATGCCCCACACAAGACACTCCAGACACAGTCTTGTTTGGAGTTTTCCAACAGCTACAAATGTGGGGCACATTAGCTTAACAAAATTAGATGATTTTATTTGAAGATAGACTAATTTGTCCTTATAAACAACTTGTTTTTACACTTTTAATTTGAGGATAAAAGAAGTAAAATAGATCGCATACATTTTCACACAGCCCTCATCAGCAACAAGACAAAGCACGTAGTGTAATCCAATAAGGTGAATCAACACTTATAACTCTGCCCAGAGAAACAATTTATTGCTCAAAGGCATATCTGGTTGGTTTTGAACGCCCCAATCTTTTAAAATTATCAACACAATTTATACTTTTTGTGTAACTTTCATACCGGTTTACTTGCATACTGATATATGGTGGAGCAAATTCCATGCAGGGATACTCTTGTTTTTGCCGTTTTACAATGCATTGTAACATAATTGTATCTCACAATCCATGGATACATGAGAACCTATTCAGGCAGTGTTTGTCAATATGTGTATGGATGAGGACAGCTCCATAGGAAGGCGAGATAGATCCTTGAATCCTCAAGCCCATCAAACAGGGGTAACAATATCACAGAAGACAATGAATATCTTGTAGATGCACTTCTTTGGTTCTTAGGTCTGTAAAAACTCTTTGATTTCATTGCAGGTGTCCTGGCATTTGATGCAGGAGGAGTTTATCCGTCAGTACAAACACTTTGAAGATTTGATCAATCGTTGCTACCCCGGGGCCAATGTCACCTTGGAATTCAAAGTGGAGGATGTACTTCAGTTCTTCTCAGAAATCGCTCAATCACATTGAGAAACATCAGCATCAAACACAGGGATTCTCTCCAATGATGTGAGGTATGTTAGTTGAAGAAGAAACATGTGGATGGGAAGCTTATACCAATAGACAATTTGGCAAATATCTGCAGTTTGATTTTATTATTTTTTTATTGTTTTCTTCAAAATGCCAGAACAAATAATTTCACAGGGAATTTATTGCCATTACTATCTTTAAATCAAGTAATATGCTTTTCATCAATAATTTTGTCAGTTACTTTTTGGACAGCTGAAAATGATATACCCTGCCTTTAACTATATGTGATCACTAAGCCATATGGATGTAGCATATCATGTCCACTGATTGCACAGTATCTGCAGAGTTTGTTTTTCTACCAGATGTGACAGCAAAGGAGGTCACTGTGAGTGTCATAGTACAAACGTTTGGCATAGTCATTTCAGCAAAGATTGTGAGGAAATTTGGCCCTGCGTCAAGAAATAAATTCGGCTGCAAAATCAGCAATGATCGACCAGAATTTTCTCTGAATGTTCACCTAAGTTTTGTGCAGTAAACACTTTAGCAAAAATGCGTGTAGAGAGTATAAAAATTGTACATTTGTTGTATATTATTCAAGAATGAAAGTTCAAATTATATTGTTATGTTATGTTACTTTGTATAAATTGTATTTCTTTTAATATTTAGTAGCGTTTCTACTAAATATGCTTTACATTTTTGGTTCAGTTTTTAAGCAACTCAAAACCTAAATAAACTTGTTTTGTTTTATTTGATTTGATTGTGTTTTATGTTGTCACAATCATTATTGCGCTTGAGTAACTCTATCTTTGTCCTAAAAGAGGATGCATTACATAATACTTTGTATACATAGTGCTACAAAAATAACTTAATTAAAAGACCAATAATGGAGGAAAAAACTTACCAAATAATTGACAAAATTGTTTTGTGGTGTAAATGTTGGTATATAAGTGACAAACACCTTGTACTTTGTGTTGTGTTTTTAGTATGTCATAATTTTGAAGGAAAAAATAAATAGTGTGTCACTAAAATGTTCAGTTCCCAACTTCATGTGCATTGTATCCCATCGTCGATGGAGTGTTGAAAATTAAAAATAAATGGAACTTAGAGATTACTTTTACCCAAAAAAAAGTAATGGCGAATAAAAATCGCTCTAAAACTGATGGCGTCAAAATAATGAAAGCAGAATTTGAACTTTTCAGTATGTCTTTCACGAGTAGTATATTGTACAGAAGATTGTGCAGTTAGTCTAACCTAATGATGAAATCGGACTCTTATCATCATTATTATCATATCGTCATTGGCTAAATCATTGTCCTTCCTCGCACGTTTCTACCGCTCCTGCATTTCTGCTGACCAAACAAATATCCGGCTACCTTTCTCATAACACCTCATCTCACTGTAAACGGTAAATAGAGGTGTCTTGGTTGCCATGGTGACGTTCTCCATGGCACTTATCGCGGGAGGCGATCACATCACTTCAGATATTTTGTCAAAACAACAAATCCAGAGGGATTTCACGTGCATTTATGTCCAGCGTAAAATTGATCTATTTGTGAACTACATTCAAATTTGTCCAGATTTGTTTGTTATTTTTGTTGAGCTTAAACTAATTAAATAATAATGATGGATCTTGCCAAATATTGTTTCATAAGTTTGTCATGAATGTTTTTGAGTACTTGCCACTTGCTTCGCTGAATGTGTTTGAATATTGCATCAATTTATTGTTTCAAATTTAGTGTCTTTTTTTTAAACCTTGGACGTAGTCCTGTTTCGGTTTAAATTGTCTGTTTGTGAAGTAGTTTCTTATTGATATAATTATAATTCTTTCATATTCATCTGAAGCAGGCTAAGGGGTCGAATTGAATTAACAACAATCTTTCATGACCTAAAACAATATTTAAAACAGAAATGAAGAAGAGTTTGTTTTTGAATAAACTCCCCATTTGGAGCATTTCTTTCGAGCTGTTTAAGCAAATCCTGACATGAATTTCAAAGTTGTCATATCGACAAAAAAGGGCAATAAATCTCCCAAAATGAAAGTGTTGGAGATCCCCCCAGACTCATCATAATGGCTTGTTTTACGCCCTCTGTCTCCTTAACATTCCGACCCGCCTATATGTGTTGATTCATCCCCTGGCCCAGCATCTTCTGGGAAAATTGCCCCCACTTCGACAATTGCAAAATACCTTTCTGATATGTCACGACATGTCACAATAGGTACTGTGTGGGCCCCTATGGACTGCTCGGCTTTTGTCATTCAAATGAATGACATGATACAGGTAATATAGGCTGCTTGCCTCGCTTGAGCGAGTTTTGTGCACAGTCAAAGTTTGTCTAACTCAAGGCTATGGAAAGCTTACCATTGTCCACCTGTTGTTTGTTATTCAAATTATTTTATTGTGTTGGTTGGGCTGGGGGAGACTTCGTAATAATGATTCATTGACGCGGTTTGAATCCACCCTAAATCCACAGGCCGAGTTGGTATAAGCCGTGTGGTCAAGCTTCTTTGCACTCAGTTTTACAACCATCATGGCTGGCAATATGTCTAACTCAAGTCAGTCTCAATTTCTGGTACTTTTCTCTTGGGTGCTGATAGCTTTTCTTGGAAACGTAACTGCCCAGGAAGGTGAGATGGTTGGTTCCCCGTGCGAGGAGACAGTCGGAGGGCCACTAAACCTGACCCCCGAGGATGCTGGAACGGTTGCTTTGATTGCATTAATTGTACTAGGTGTTGTAGGATTAATACTCATTGTGACGATTGCTGCAATGTGTGGATACAGAGTCCAGGCCAACACACTCCAACGAAAACTTAGAGATGTTGAAATGGCGTCAAACTTGAAAAAGAACGGAGGACCGACAACCGTAGTCTACTCAGAGATTGATGACATGGATTTACCTCCTCCTCCACCCGAAACGACCCTCCCTCCTGATGTGAATGAGAACAAGACGGCGGCTGATGAGGATGACACCAAGCCGCCTGTATGTCAGACTCCGCCCTCCGAGGTTCTCACAACTGCAGATGTATCATCTGAGGCTGGGCTTGATAACGAGGGTTACACGGATGAGGCAATTGATGAGGCGTTAAATGACATGGATGCAGCTGTAGACGAGTCGGAAACATCACCAGAGAAAGCTGACGAGCCGGACAATGATGATGCGGTAGAGCCACCTGCTGAGGCACCAGAGTCACCTGCTGAGGCTCCAGCTGAGGCTGAGGAGCCACCTGCTGAGTTACCAGAGGCACCTGCTGATGAGGCTCCAGAGGCACCTGCTGATGAGGCTCCAGAGGCACCTGCTGAGGCTCCAGCTGAGGCACCAGAGTCACCTGCTGAGGCTCCAGAGCCACCTGCTGATGAGGCTCCAGAAGCACCTGCTGAGGCTCAAGAGCCATCCGTTGATAATTGAGGCTCCACAAGGAGAGAACTGACGTGACAAAATTTACTATTTTAGTTCATTGTGGTGAACAACCGTCCGAAACTTATCTGTATATCTTGATACTTAACTTGATATCTGTACCTCAGAATGGTCGGGTAAACTGTAACCGCTCCATCAGATACTTTCGCGGGACTTAAAAAGGATTTTTTAAACCGTTACTGTTGTTGTATTGTCTGTGTTTTGAGATTCCTCGTTCATTTTCCCTCATGTTTGACAGAATTGTTTTTAAATAATTTAAAATGTTATTTTTAAAGTGCCACATAATTATGTCCATTGGTTGTTTTTTTTAAATTTTATCTCTGCTTTCAACCCAAAGGGCAGAATATATAAATGTACATGTAGATTGTGTTTCGAACCATTCACCTCATTATTTTAAATCGCATTTGATTTGTTTTTCACCGTGACTCTAAATGGGTAAATTACATACAGTATCATGACGACACTTTGTGCACGTATGACCTCAATGGTGATCAATCATTGCAGGTGTAGGCACATGTACATGTGTTGAAAAACACGAATTCGGATATAGGTAGACGATTGATTATAAACTATGTTTGCGAGTGACGATGAGCGTGCCGATATTTACAGTGTCCTCAGTGAAGTATATGTACATGTATCGGTTATTCATCCTGTTTTGGTGGGATGATATAAAATACATTGTGAGTATACATGGACATGTGCAACCCATGTAGATGTACTTTGTCGTGCTTCAGAAACGTCTTTGTTGCAAAAGACAAGGATAAACACCAGTAATTAGTTTCTTGAGATGGTATAGAGAGAGGCAAGGATGTTAGGGACAAACAGACGTAAATGCAAATTTCTCAAGATATTTGGTACATTGTTTACATCTCTCGTCATTCGTGGCTTAATTTAAAACGAATCTTTTGAATTTGATTTGGGAGAGGTCCTGCGTGGAAATGGGATCAGATAAATTGATCTTGTATTTTATTTAGTGCGGCATTTGAATATATCTATTTCATTGTAAACGTGCTTAATTATTCTTCATTGTAACCAATAGTATCCTAGAGACTAAATTTCAGAAGATTCAACGACTCTTTCGTGTGACATCTATTTATAGTGGCTAGTGCATTAATTTCAAAGTGTGTTCTTGACCCATATACGTGTAGTTGGGATGTTGTGTTCTTGTAGTTGACAATTGTGCTTTGATCTTACCCCAAAATGTTTGAATGTAAATAAAAAGCTGTTTTTACATCTGATTGAAAATTAGTTATATGAAGCTACATGCAAGTTTTTAAAACTGTTTTGAAGAATCACCTTTTAACCCTATAACATAATTTGTAGTTGTTTCAAAACATGTATGGGACGGTGTTCTTACTTAATATGTACATGTATTAGAAAAAAATATAATCCTAAGCCCCAATATATATTTTCTGTCGTGATTTTATTTTTCATGAAACGCCATCAATTATGATATATTGCAGCAGGAACCGGCCCTAGTTTGCCAGTAAATGCCAGGGTGTATTAATACTTAAGTAGGAAATCTGGCCGAACTGCACGTACCTAACTTCTCTGTCTAAATGTTGCCGCCAGCGAGCTTTATTCCTAGTCACGTTCAAGACTGCATCTCGTGCCTGCCTTAAGCCGTAGTTCCGTGTCAGCAATAGCTCCATGGTGTGAGCAAGCTAGAAACCTGATATGGTCTCCTCTCGTGTCTCACGCTGCAACACCCCCCCCCCCCCCGCACATAGGGAAGTGCATCAACAGAAGACAATTTGATAAAATTTAGAAACATTAACGGCACGGAACCGCGATCGTTTAATCAGCACTAATGCATCTCATAAATGATTGATTTTTATTGAGTCTTGTGATTGAGTGCCGCCATAGTTTCCCGAATTGGCGTCTGTTGCCGAAGGGAGAATAATGAAATGATCAGGAGCGGTATTCGGAGGAAGCCGGGGCCATATTTTTATGAAGCTTGGAAGAATAACAGTCCGGGCAAAGTACATTTGTAAATGCTTGACAGTGATGAAGTGGAAAGAGCGTTGCGTCGGAAAACGGGGCAATCGTCAGAATATCCATCGGTGTGGATGAAATGACTTGTGAGACATCTTGTCTGCTCACTAGTTACCTTTTTTTTTGGGGGGGGGTTGGTTATGGAGATTTTACTTTATGTGCTCCATCAGTGTTTATGCCCATAACCTTCAGTTTTGTGGTGTTTCGAAATGCATACTTTAAAAAACTGAATTTGCGCTTGACGAGGACAACAGAATAATTGAAAAATAGCAAACAACTTTTTAAAATAGCAATAAAAATGAAATCAAGTTAATAGTATTTAAAAACAAAACATGTCAACATATAATAATTATATGAAATGTAATTATGCAGTCCTTTTCAATGAGAGAAAGAAATTCGTTTGCATTTCATTTTACATTTGTTTGGGGTAGTTTTATTTCAATCGCTTGTCATGCAATATATTCGGATGGACCAGTGAGTTGCCTGTGGGTTGAAAACGAATAGCACGTAGCCACAGCCCGCCGCTAGAAATACGTCATATTATCCATCGCTCACTCACATGTGTGCATCATAAATTAGCTTTCATTTTGCGCTCAAGTTTCCTGCTCGGACATAACGCTGCCTGTTTTTGTCTATAGACAGACGCCGCAGAGTTTGGAGGCGAGTGGTTTTACCTGCATGGTGGGTGAAGTTAGGCTATCCCCGGTCCCGCGTGATAAATAGATTGGATGGTGGTCTGTGGGGAGTAGTTGCGCAGGCTTACATCTTGATTATACATAGGGAAACGGGGAAGCCATAATGTATACGCACCCCAGAGGCATCGAACTCACTTAGCGCGCTAATGCACTTTACACACAGCGACGGGAATCGGAAGCTTGCCAGCACGCGAATTGCTTAATCCTGGACTTGCAGAGTTTCGGCATCAACATCCAACATGGTTGTGAGGATGTTTCTGTGGCAATTTTTCGTTGTGACTCTGTTTGTTTGTGGGGTGGTTAGCGTTCCTGATGACAGGACCGAAGTTCGGACATCTAGTGGGAGATTACGCGGTGAGACACGGGTCCTGGACGGTCGAGAGTACCGGGTGTTTCGCGGTGTTCCCTACGCGGAACCACCAATAGGAGATCGGAGATTCAGAGCACCGATTCCTAAAGTACCCTTGGAAGAGACACTTAATGTAGTTGAGTATGGCCCTTCCTGTCCGCAGAATATCGCAGATGTTTCCAAATACTATCCCGATTATGTGGTCCGTATCCCTGACTCGGCTATGGTAATAAGCGAGGACTGTCTGACATTGAATATATTTTCTCCAGTTCGTAGACGAGGTGAGGACGAGCATAGAGCTGTCATGGTTTGGATTCACGGTGGTAGTTTTGAGACTGGACAGGGTAGCGGGTATGACGCGTCTGCTCTGGCCGTCCGTGGTAGGGTTGTCGTGGTCACTATCAACTATCGACTCAATGTCTTCGGGTTTCTCTCCACCAATGACGAGAACGCACCAGGAAACTTTGGTTTGTTGGACCAGCAGCTCGCCTTGCAGTGGGTTCATGAGAACATCGCAGGGTTCGGTGGCGACCCATCCCGAGTTACTATCTTCGGTCAGTCAGCCGGGGGTGTGGCAGTCATGACACACCTCACTGCTCCAAATAGTCGACCATTCTTTCATCGAGTTATTGCTCATAGTGGGATGTCGCGTGGAATGACACCGTCATTATTCCGAAGGCAAACGAAGATGTACGCACAGAGAATCGCTCTGAAAGCTGGTTGCACGGATCAAGGAAAGCCGATGGAAAACACATTTCATCTGGTGACTTGCCTAAGGAGTAAATCCACTCAAATTGTCTTGAGGGCGGGACTAGAAGTAGCCAAAGAAGAAGTCGTTCCAAGGGTATGGTCTACCGTCTTTGATGCAAATTACTTCCAAAGAACACCATCATACTCTGATCCTGCAGCCTTCGAGCAATTTGACATCATAGCAGGAGTAACATCAGGTGATGGTTCCCCGTTATTGCAACTACTGCCAGAGATCATACCCAACTGCGACCCTGAAATGACTGGATTATCCAAGGCGGATTTTGGCACGATCTTATCCATTTTTGCCCCTAGATGGCAAAACAGCATCGCACAGGAAGCTATAAACCTCGAATACATGAACTGGACCTCACCACGCATGCTCAGATCTCACGATAGACTTCTTCAAGCAGCAAATTTCATGTTGGATTATAACTTCCTAATGGGAATGACACTGTTGGGAAATCTCTACAGAGGAGCCAGATCCAGGCGTATGTTTGTTTTCGATCACAGGAGCGCACCTCGCGTGAGGTACCCATACTTGGCCGGGGCACCTCACTCTGAGGAACTCTCCTACGTGTTCGGCTTGCCGTTTAACGCTTCGGGAATAGGACACATCTTCAGCGATGAGGAACGCATGCTGAGTGATCATATGATCACCTATTGGTCCAACATCGCAAAGTCTGGGTAAGTCTGATGTGATTTTTTTATCATAATTGGTGAGGGTTGGGTTGAGTCTATCAGATGTTGTTTGACTGGGTCAGTTTTAAATGACTCAGTGAAGGTTAGATAGATTTTTGCATGATGTAGACTGGACATCTGTGTGTTAGTGAGGTGTAATATAGCTCCGACAAAACGTAAGAGTCTTCTCCATTGAAAAAAAGCCTATGAGGTTCAAAAATTGCCGGCTGAGGTTGAGATTACGTCTATGAGGCGTCACGGAGCCAATTCAAATGACCGTAATGTTCAAGACAAACTATTTCTGACTTACCGACGGTCAAGACAAAACGAAACCGTGTATTGTGGTATCATGCTTTATCAGAGAAGTAAGATTTCTTTAAAATGCAGTCAAACAGGAGCAACACACAGCTTTGGTTTGCTTCGATTTACTTCGTTAGCGTGTACTTTTGTTTTAAGGGCTTGTGATAGGCCTTTTTTTTAATATTAAACAAATGTACCAATGTTCACACACTTGGTCGATGTAACCTCTTTTCTCTCATTGCTTCAGATGTTTGTGATGCAATTGCATCTCTTAGTATTTCGCGGCAACGAAAGCAAGTTACCCGTTATAGCGCATGTACTGATTCGCTGTGAGATAAGTTACGCCCTCTTGCGACAGGTCCGCAAAAATGCAGTTCGGTCAACTTTGAGATTTCATATTTTTACTATTATTTATTTATTTATGAGGTTTTTTTTTACGAAGCCCTATGGCTGGTGTCATTAGTTGAAAAGGCAGTGTACCAGTTACATATGTTTGACCTTTCACCCGTGGTTCAAGTCCAACAGTGATCGTCAACTGGGTGGTCGGTTTTGTCGATTGGATTTTCCATTAAATTAAAATTCGTTCTCTGGGGCCCAGCCTTCATCCTTAGACTCGCACACCAGCCTTTCATCGGTTCCAGATAGGCTCATGGCCACATTGTTTTTATTCGGACATGTACATGTATTGGATATTTTCAAATCTCATTTCGTAACCATAAACTAAAGTATAATACTGGTCAATGTTGGTAATGAACTGAATTTGATCATTATATAAATTCACCCCTTACAAAATGCGATCTTTGTCCGGTCTCTCATGAAGTTTGCTCAACATTTAGACCCTATCTCATTGAAGAATCATTGTGTCAGGCAAACAAATCAATATTTGCAAGACCCAGAGTGGGTCTGTTATCACTAAAAAAAATTGGAAACATCTCAACAACAATGTAGTGGAATATGTATGGACCATTGAAGTAACAGTGGCTACAAAGTAAGTGCCGCTTATTGAAAATTCCCATGTGTGCAGTAGACTTCGACCCCAATAAAAGCCATTTTATGTAAACTTTTTATAAAATCTATATAAAATCAATTTGGATCTCATATCAGCTGCTTGTTAAACGATTTATTTTGGAAGAAAGTTGATCTGGCGAGAAATAACGACAAACAGATTGCCAAATTGCCACGAGCGCTGTCAATCTTTCTGTGAAGTTCAATGCTCCAGTCAATCAGAGTGAAGCCGTTTCGATTTTGTCAAAAGGGATATATAGGCCTATATTATAGACTGATGACAAGCAACCACAGTCTTTCCTGATACGCAAACGATCAGGTTTGCTCAGCTATGGCATCTATGAGATTTGTAATCTTGACTTTGTTGATGACATTAGCTACGCTGTTAGATGCTCGTATTGCGAGGACGGCATCCGGGCTGATCAAGGGAGAACGGTTGGATGTGGATGGGCTACCGTACCATCGGTATCTGGGTATACCGTACGCCGCGCCGCCTGTCGGTAGACTCAGATTCCGAGCCCCGGTCCCTGTAACACCATGGGACTTTGTGTTCAACGCGACGGCGTATGGACCATCTTGCCCACAAAATATTTCAGGAGTGCCTGTCTTTTACCCGGAGTATATGGTGAAAATCCCTCTCAATGCTCAAAATATCAGCGAAGACTGCTTGACGCTGAACATCTTTGCTCCCGTTTCCTCTAATGAGGCTGAACCCGGTTTGACAGTGATGTTTTGGATTCACGGTGGGAGTTTTGAGACTGGACAGGGTAGCGGGTATGACGCGTCTGCTCTGGCCGTCCGTGGTAGGGTTGTCGTGGTCACTATCAACTATCGACTCAATGTCTTCGGGTTTCTCTCCACCAATGACGAGAACGCACCAGGAAATTTTGGTTTGTTGGACCAGCAGCTCGCCTTGCAGTGGGTTCATGAGAACATCGCAGGGTTCGGTGGCGACCCGTCCCGAGTTACTCTCTTCGGTCAGTCAGCTGGGGGTGCTTCAGTCACACTCCACATGTTTGCAAATAAGAGTCGTCCTCTTTTCCAACGAGTGGCTGCTCACAGCGGTTACACCGCACCCTTCCCTGGATTCATAGTTGAGGATGTCGCACGAGAAACCGCTAAGGCAGTTGGGTGCGTCTTGGAGCCTAGTTTGGATCTTGTGGAATGTTTGCGGGAACAATCCATGGAAAAAGTTCTGGAAGCTGGACAGAAAGTCGCTAAGGAGGCAAGAAGACAGGTATGGCTACCACGTATTGATAACATCATGTTGTCTGACAACACAGGGAGATTGGATCTACAGCATGACTTAATGTTGGTCTTTACTTCGGAAGATGGTTCAGTCGGTCTGGAAGTCATCAAAATGATCCTACCAGGCACCTATAATTTCACAGTTGGTTTAACTGAGGAGGAGTGGAAATCATTTAGTGAGTTATTCTTCAAGGAAGTCGGTGTGCTTGCTTTTAATCATGAGTACATTGATCCAACTCTGACCGACAGAGACTTTGCCCGACTGAAAGCACTTGTCGACATGATGCTGGATTGGAATTACCTCAAGAACATACCGTCATTCTTGAGCTATTTGCCCAATTCGCCATCCATACGCATGAGTGTCTTCGACCACCGATGTTCAGTTAACTCCAGGTTGCCAAGGCTCAACCTTGTTCCCCACGGTGAGGAGTTGCCGTTTCTTTTCGGATTGCCCTTCAACGGTTCAGGAATGGGTTCGCTCTTCAGAGACGAGGAAAAAGCTCTCAGTGATCGAGTTATCGCCTACTGGTCAAACTTTGCTAAGAGTGGGTAAGACATTGATGTTTGATAATAATTGTCATTCATGAGTTGATTCGTAGGCATTACAATCTATAGGACGGATGCCTTTTAAATTCGAGCTATTGCTTTTTGATGTTAAAATATTGAAGATGAATTCACAAAATTACACTTGGAATGTCGCATGTATAAAATGTAAACTCTGCAACGATTTATTGGTCGTAAGTGAGTGGAATAACACCTTGTCTAAAATATGCCTGCCATTTTGTCATTTATAGCAGTAGAGGGCGTTACTTTAACAGTAGGTGAATAAAAATGCCTCATTCAAACACTATGCTCAAGTTTATCTTGAAGTGCAACAAACTGAGTTGATCTTAGACCATGTAGTTGACCAACTTTGCTTCATAACTCACTTTATATATTCTCGTTGTCTGTAGCATCGATGTGCGTTTGCTTTTGGTAAAGCTCATGCACTTTTTTGTAGAGTCACAGAAATGTTTTTTTTACCTTATTTCATTCAGTTTGCTCAGCTTTTTTTTTAAGCAATGATTTCGAGTGCTTAGTTGTAATGATTTCGAGTGCTTAGTTGTTTTCGCTTGTTATTTTATCATTTAGATTTATATATTTTACTGTCTGGGGAAAATCTTATTTAAATTGAAACGCTCCGGGATACATGCAATAATATTATGCTATGAGTTCTTCGCATTCCCAGCTGGTAGTTCGAGTATGGCAGTATCAGCATGTTTTATTACTGGTAATTGGTCTACCGCGCTGCGGGGTACTCGGATCCAAATAGTGCTGACATTTTGCGATCATATCACGATAAATTATGCCCTGAATTGGTCTACCTGAGGGAGTCTGGCTTGCAAGATGTCGGGTTTCCGTCTTGAACTAAACCCTGTGCAGCATCAAGGTCACTGACCTCAATCATGGTATGTTAATGACGTCCACAGTGTTCATTGGATCTAAAACCACAGGAATGACTGAGAAATCGACGCCACAAAACGTTATTACCCTGAAATCTGAATCTCAGAAAAACAATCATCAGTAATACTTGACCAAAAAACTGACAAATGTGTTCTACATGTTAAATAGTACGAAGATGTTAAGCTTTAAATTAGACGAGTTTCAAATACCCCATGACTTGGATGATGCTTAAAAAAAGTGCACGCGTAGGAAAATGTAACATTTCAATAACATTTTGAGAGTCGCAATTTAATATCATAGTGACTTTGCAGGTTCATATCAAACCAAGATTTCATGAATCTTGACGAGCCATGCAGTTCCTTTAAGGCATTGTAGTCAGAGAGTATAATCCATATCAAATCCCATGGGGTTACTGATCTACGAGTATCAGTATTCATTGGTTCCGTGATGATGCCAATAAGGTGTTGTTGATTGGTGTCGTGTCAAAGGCGATACAAACACACCTGACTGTGTGACGATACTGGAGGTCTTTAGACCGATGACATATTTAACACAGTGGTAAACTTGACATGTACCGCGTCACGTCAAGAGGTAAGCACCGAACAATATGAAGATGCTACGGTCTTACTACTTCATGTTTCTTGCTGCGATTATTGCAGTTTTCTGCCTTTTGGTGGAAGGGTTTATTGTCCGGACTTCAGCCGGAAAAATTCGTGGTGTACTACGAGATCTTGACGGTGTGGGATACCGCTTGTACGCCGGGATACCGTACGCAGAGGCTCCGATCGGTAGGCTACGATTCGCTGCACCAGTCGCAAGAAAATCCTGGCAGGGAATACGCAATGCCACTCGGTACGGGCCGTCTTGCCCGCAAAACATTTCAAACGTAGCTAAATTCTATCCCGACTACGTTGTTCGGATACCAGATGAAGCGATGGTCGTGAGTGAAGACTGCCTATCACTCAATGTGTTCGCTCCTGGTGATTGCTCAAGTTCATCTGGTTTAGCGGTTATGGTTTGGGTTCATGGCGGGAGTTACGCCACGGGACAGGGTAGCGGGTATGACGCGTCTGCTCTGGCCGTCCGTGGTAGGGTTGTCGTGGTCACTATCAACTATCGACTCAATGTCTTCGGGTTTCTCTCCACCAATGACGAGAACGCACCAGGAAACTATGGTTTGTTGGACCAGCAGCTCGCCTTGCAGTGGGTTCATGAGAACATCGCAGGGTTTGGTGGCGACCCATCCCGAGTTACTCTCTTCGGCCAGTCAGCTGGAGGGGCGGCGGCCACTCTACACCTTTTCGCACCAAACAGCCGGCGGCTTTTTCAACGTGTTGGAGCCATAGGGGGATATTTTGAGCCAAGTCACGCCGCCAGTGGTCCACGTATGAGGCAATATGCAAACGTAGTCGGCCGTAATATGAACTGTACACATGACACGACGACGGACTTGGTGCAGTGTCTACGAGAGAGAACAATGCACGAACTACTTGCGGCAGGGTTAGAATTAGAGCAAGCATTGATTCTCCCAGTTATATGGGGACCAGTAATTGATGGCCATCTCTTATTTCCTCATCATGTAGCATCCAATGACTCCTTGGACCTGCATCACGATCTCATGATCTCCTTCTGCACAGGTGATGGCTCTGTCATCTTAGAGGCACTACCTTTCATCAGCCCCCGAGAATTAAACCTCTCCGTCGGCGTCACGCCTTTGCAGTGGACGCGATTCTTGACATATTTGTGGAGAACACCTCTCCAACAAGAAGCCATCGGCTTTGCCTACCCTGCCCTTGATGACCCTTCCCGGGGCAGGGCGATCGTCGACCTTATGACTGACTGGAACTTCCTGGCAGATGTTCCATCAACTCTTGATAAAGTCACCACGGTCCGATCAGTGTACATGAGCGTGTTTGACTACCGGAGCAGTGCCAACACCAGGTACCCCTGGCTCCAACCTTCCCCTCACTCCGAAGACCTGTCTTACATTTTTGGCCTTCCATACAACGCATCAGGCCTTGGATCTCGATTTACCACTCAAGAGACAGCATTGAGCAACCGCCTCATCACGTACTGGTCAAACTTTGCAAAGAGCGGGTAGGTAAAGAGCGTGTTTCCATGCATAAAATAAACATATCAGATCACTGTTCAACTATTCTCAAGTTATGAAGAAAAAATAACAGTTTTATTTTACCACTAAACAAAATATAATCAATTAAATGACAGTTCGAATGCATTTATAGACATGCGTAGATTGCTACTGTGGTAGACCATTAAGGACTCGAACCTCTTACACTCAAAATGAAGTGAATAAAAATACTTCATTTTGTGATTTTTGGGGGACACTTACCAGTCCGACTGTATTCCCGTTGATGTTTGTGTGTTAAAGTTTAGGTTCAGTTTTTGGAAAAAATGTGTAACTTGTAGTTTCATGAGTTTTGATGAAACTTGGATGCAGTGACCCTTTTGAGGGAAGACACAATCCTTAATCGTATTACTGAGATGAGGTCATGCAGGGGTCATTGTTGAAATATGCTTCGAATGTTTCTTTGTCTATACAGGATTTGATAGATTTAAATGTAACAAGGATGTAGTGATCCTTGGGTGGGGGTTCATGACAACTCTTCCGAAATTGGAGCTCAAAGCTCATGTATGTGGGGGTCATTTTGAGGTCGTTGTTGAAGAATGCACAAAACGTGATTTTTTTTAAGAACCCAAAACATATCAAGATCGACCGCGACAAAAGGCGACATGTGCGATCCACGGATCACCTTGTATGAAATGACTGTGTGAGTCACAGCGATATACCTAATTAATAAATATGTCCGGTTATTCTTATACATCCGTTTAAAAAAGGGCTTTCTTACAAAAACCTGTTGGTTTCTTAAATTTTCGTCCCAATGGATTGTGAATACTCGGTGATCATTTACACAGGATATAGTGAGAATTTTCATTTTCAATAAAAAAAAACCTCGACATTGGTAGTAGCCAGCCATGCACAAATGAAAATACTGAGTAAACTGCTGAAAAAATTAATTAGTGTATGCCAAGTTTATTCACCCTTCAATTAGCTGTTTAAAAGTCATTCCCCGTTGGTTATTTCGAGTTGACCATTCCTCAGTTTGTCACTTTTTACAATTATTTTTTTTTTCATTGTAACTGCAGGAAGTAGATGATTTTAGAGACTTGTTTCAGTTACTTTGAAACGTAGCCACGCCATTTTGTTACGCCCTTTTGGAAAATGTGAGTGACTGTGCTATATTTTGTTAATGATTTAGAGAGAAAGGGTGAACCAACTGAAATTAAACAGTTTGGATGGATATATAACAACACTAGTCTCACTATTATCAAGTAAAAATGAATCATGAGTAACGAGGCATCGTAGAAGTAATAAACAAACCTACTCTGGCGCGGAAAATTCCATGGGACAAAACAATCTATAATACCCTTTTTTGAAAGTATTTGGACAATAAAATATTTGTATGCTTGAATAAAATCCTTGAACTAAATGTGAAAGGAACACAAGCGCTTATGACGTAGATATAAATAGTTGAGTTCACACTGTGAATACAATTTAGGTAGGCCCTATTTTGACCTTTCTTTATATAGAAATTCAATGAGTACATGCCGGTTTAAAGCCAAACTTTAACAACGCGTGTTTGTGCAGTTGGCGGGGTGTGTGTGGGTGCTGACAAGGAGATTGGAGCAGTTTGCCTGAGGCCTAGCCTGTACATAGAAGTTAAATTGATGCAACGAGACAAACATGGCCGTTGCACCATCTCTCTCGCAAATCTTCGCCTGTATTTTTGCAGTATTTCTCCCGTGGCTTGGTAATTGTGACCCGGTCGTCAACACTACCGCGGGAATGATTCGCGGACGTCACTTAACTTACGATGGCAGCGATTCAACGCATGATGTGTATGTCTATAAGGGGATCCCATACGCCGAACCACCGGTGGGTGGGTTAAGATTCAGTGCACCTGCTCCAAAGTCACCATGGAATGGGACATTTAATGCTAGTACATTCGGACCATCGTGTCCACAGGATGTGTCGGGTGTGGCCACATTCTATCCCGATTACGTTGTTCAGATACCCAAAGAAGCGACAGTGATAAATGAAGATTGCTTGACACTGAATGTGTACAGTCCATTCAATATCAGTAAAGGTAGCACCCCAGTCATGGTTTGGATTCACGGTGGGAGTTTTGAGACTGGACAGGGTAGCGGGTATGACGCGTCTGCTCTGGCCGTCCGTGGTAGGGTTGTCGTGGTCACTATCAACTATCGACTCAATGTCTTCGGGTTTCTCTCCACCAATGACGAGAACGCACCAGGAAACTTTGGTTTGTTGGACCAGCAGCTCGCCTTGAAGTGGGTTCATGAGAACATCGCAGGGTTCGGTGGCGACCCGTCCCGAGTTACTCTCTTCGGTCAGTCAGCTGGTGGGGCGTCTGCTTTCCTTCATCTTTTCGCTAACAACAGCCGGCCGCTGTTCCGTCGTGTGGCAGCTCACAGCGGTGTGTTTAACCCGTCTTATATCGTCGGTAAAGCCAAGGATGAAAGCAAAATAGCAAGAATGATCGGCAAAGCTGCCGGTATCGCCTCGGTATCGACCATGGACAATGTTGAACTTATCCAAAGTCTTCGGAATTTGTCCATGGATGATCTGCTCACTGCTGCCCTGTTTGTAGCTCGTCAAACTCCCCGACAGATCTTCACTCCTGTCTTAGATAACAATGTCTTGTCTCTGACTACAGGACTGACTAACCTCCAACATGACGTCATACTCCTACACACATCAGGAGATGGCTCCACAGGATTGGATGTATTCAAAATCCTCTTAAATGACGAAATTGACCCGGAAGCTGGGGTCACTAAAGACCAATGGATCAGTTTGTTGCATGCTCTGTTTAAAAGTGGTGTGTCAAGTGCTGTCATAAGTCACGAGTACATCAATGACGCTATTGAAGACGAGAACTTTGCAAGATTGAAGGCCTTAGTGAACATGTTCCTGGACTTTAACTACCTGGCACCAATGCAAGCAGCACTGGCAGCTTTGCCCAATTCGTCCTCCATATATGCCTGCATTTTCGACCACCGCAGCACAGCCGATACCAGGTTGCCAGATCTCAACCTCGTTCCCCACAGCGAAGAGTTATCGTACTTATTTGGCTTGCCATTTAATGGGCTGTCTCGATTGGGGTCGAACTTCACCGACCAGGAAAGGCTGTTGAGCGATCGAATAATTACATATTGGTCCAACTTTGCGAAAAGTGGGTAAGTGGAAACAATGTTGAGCGTGAAAAGTGCGGGGCAAAGATTACCAAATTGTTTTGACAAAATAATATCTCATTAACAAATCAAATAATTATGACTCGAACAGCTAATGTCCATGAAATATCTATCCGAAATCTTTTGACTCTAACAACTAACGATAAATGACTATGAAGTTCAGAATATGTTCAAAAAATTACCAATGCGAATTGAGTTGGAGATTACAACTTGGAGTTGAAAGTGTTTGTTTTTTTATTTGCTTAACAGGTGTCGTTGCACCGCATGTAGTTTCTTACATAATGAGATTTTGATCCAAAGCTGCCGTTGTGTTGTTTAAGCTAAATAAGCTTTTTGATGAAAATTTGGTCAGTAAGTGTAGCAGCGAAGTTGAACAGGCATTGCAGCAGTCACTGTGTGGACCTATAGTGCAGGTCGTGAATACGTTGTGTGGACTTGCCCACGTCCCCACAACGTACCCCTCAATGAACATCAGTTTTAGAGGAATTTCGGGATACTGGTTATGGGTCGCAAAATGAAGAGGAACACTCAAGGAAATCATGATCAATTGAAAGAATGTTGAGTGAAATATTGTTTTTCTCCGCTTTTTGTTAACTACACGGAAACAATGGTATGTCCCTTGCAACGTAAACATGCGTGTGTATTTTGTGCGCTAAAATTATTTTTACCTTTGTTTGTCAGTGAAGTTTAACTGTCCGTTAAATCGTTGTGGCATTATATGTAGACCATGCAGTCAAGTAAAGATTACTGTGTATTATGGAGTAACTGGACTCTCCCGATTCCCCAAATGGCCACCGGAAGGCATCCAAATTCACAGCGTAGTACTGCGTCTATTGAAACTATTTGCCATTGAACTTGTGCCGTTGTACTTTCCCATGGGAAATCACGCACGAAAAGGTATGCTTTTGTAATATTGTGTTTATTCAGATTTGCAAGGCAATGCTTTCTCAACCATAGAAAAGAATACCACAGTTCAATTACGGTCTTTGTGCTGTTTTTCCCCTGCCCATAGGCCATCGTGCAGTACGCCTAACCGATAAAATGGCGGCACTAGTATTTGTTTGGTGCGTAATGCTATGGTTTGTTTCGACGGGGGTTAATGGTGATACGATTGTCAATACAACTCTGGGACAACTCCTTGGGACGAAGCAAAAACTGGATGGGGCTGATTACTACATTTTTAAGGGAGTGCCTTATGCTGAGCCGCCTGTTGGGCCACTCAGGTTTCGTGCACCTTTACCCAAAGTGCGGATGACCCGGGTATTCAACGCTACACGCTTTGGCCCGTCGTGCCCCCAGGATGTATCGGGCGTGGCACAGTTCTACCCGGCGTATATGGTTCAGATCCCAGAAGGGGCAAATGAGACGAGTGAAGAAGATTGCTTAACGCTCAACATCTACACTCCCGTGGATTTGGCAAATATGACTTGGAAGTCCGATGCTGGCCTCGCTGTGGTGTTGTACATCCACGGGGGAAGTTATTTGACAGGCCAGGGTAGTGGGTATGACGCGTCTGCTCTGGCCGTCCGTGGTGGGGTTGTCGTGGTCACTATCAACTATCGACTCAATGTCTTCGGATTTTTCTCCACCAATGACGAGAACGCACCAGGAAACTTTGGTATGCTGGACCAGCAGCTCGCCTTGCAGTGGGTTCATGAGAACATCGCAGGGTTCGGTGGCGACCCGTCCCGAGTTACTCTCTTCGGTCAGTCAGCTGGTGCTGACGCGGTCTCGCTTCATGCTTTTGCCAACAAAAGCCGTCCGTTCTTCAAGCGGGTAGCCTCACATAGCGGGCCGTCGACCTTAGCGTTTGTACCCAGTCGTAGCTATGTTGCGTCAAATTCTCTTAAAGTAGCTCAGGCGCTAGATTGCAGTTCCTCAGCCACAGAGGAAATCCTTGACTGTTTGCGAAACAGGACAACTGAGGATATTTTATCCACAGCATTAAGTTTTCTTAGTCCGCTCAGCCAGTTTTTCCTTCCTGTCATTGATGACGTCTTCTTGTCGTCATCAGTGGGCTATGCAGATTTGGCGCACGATTACTTGATCCTTCATACATCCGGTGATGGTTCAGTTATCCTAGAGGTTGCTAAAGATGTTTTCTCACCCGCCAAATTCAACGTTACAAAAGGCATCACAAAAGATCAGTTTAAAGATGTACTTGGTCTGTTCATTCCTAACTCTTTATCAGTGACTGCAGTTACCAGAGAGTATGCTAGTGAAAAAGATACAAATTACATGGAAGCTCTGGTTGATTTCATGTTGGATTGGAATTACATTAACTTGGTTGGTCCTGTCGTTGAAAACCAACCTAAGTTATCCTCGCTTCGATGGGCCATCTTTGACTATCACAGCCAAGTCGATAGTAGCAGGTACCCGGGTCTTACGCGGGCTCCTCACGGCGAAGAGCTGCCTTACGTCTTCGGATTGCCCTTCACTATGACGTCATCTTTTACCGATGAAGAAAGAAAGCTGAGCGATAGGGTCATGCGGTATTGGACTAACTTCTTCAAAACCGGGTAGGGGTCATGGCGTCATATAGTACACTGAAAATCAATATTTATCGTCTTCCTATTAAAATCATGAAGTCGGGACATAAAGTACTGAACGGTATAGCACGTCAGACATGACTGAGTTGGTGCCGAACTCGAACACAGTTTGCACGCGCGCTTAGTACTGATCAAAATTATTAACTTAAGCTGTGAATCAGTCTCAACTCAAACAAAATGCATCCTATCCCACTTTGATTAACCTTTTTTGATCTGTTGTTCAACTATTCTGTGGTCAATTGTCTTTGTTCGTGCAGCAGCTCCATGTTGGAATCATCCTCAATCAGATGCAGATTTTGATTGGGAAAGTTGTTCTTTCTCTCTCCCTTTCTCCCATGCAGAGACCCGAACGTCAACCCGGATGTGAACACCACTAGCAACTTGACCTACTGGCCTGAGTATGGCGACTCAGAAACCTATCTCCTCATTCAGCTCAATGATAGTAGTGTTGGGCAGGGATATCGTAAGGACAAGGTCATGTTCTGGTCAGACTACTTACCCAAGCTAACAACGGCAGCTGATGAATACTGCAGCAACCAGCGGGAATCAATGGAGCCACCAACTTCTGACAAGCCTGGATGTAAGATCTTCATCGGTGAGGGGTTAGGGCTCAAGTTAACCCAGCAACAAGCCGAGACTCTGATCGAGGTTTTCATGTTCGTAATAATCGCCCTGCTAGTTATCTTGATCATTGTGTTTGGCGCCTTGATGGGTTATAAGTTTAAGTACAAAGATAGACAGGCAGCAATTAAGAAAAACGGTGTTCAGACAAATGGCGACCTTAAAAAAAATGCAGCCTTTGAGGTGAACGAGGGGTTCACGCCAGAGTTCGAGGATACAAAAATGTAAAAACCACAATGATCAACCAGTCAAACTAAGGTCTTTTCAGATTGAATGTTAGGGCGCCCTCTCTATAGGTTCTTCCAAATAGTGAAACAATTGAACATTTTGACAAATTTATCTGACATCATTTCTTTGAGGTGCTGTTTTAAAATAGAACTGAAATGTTGGAACTGAAATATGTTTTTGATTCACGTATCCTAGGAGTTCTAAATCGTTGATGTATCTTAATCAAGCGAAAATTGTGTTGTTTCATTGTCCATTTTATTGTCTGACCATGAGCAATAGACTCCACGTTAAACGAGAGCGTTAATGTGTAAAGTTTGACCTATGTTTTGGTCCAATCTTCTTGAAGTCAGTCTTTTGTTTGCAGAGTTCTGCACTGTTCACGAATCTGAAGTTTGTGTCCTTGAATCCTTGGATAAACCAATTTTTTAATTGTAATTAAAGGGAATGTACGTCATTTGCTTTTGCTGCAATTTTCAGAAATAGTTGGATTTGGAGGAATAGTATGTTATAGCCAATATTGTTACACTGACTTGTTTCATGTTTTGGGTTCGTATATACTGGAAAAACTTGAAGTCTGGTTCCCCAACCTCACTTAAGATGAAACGGAGCAATTTATAGACTTTGGGGAATTGTAAGATCAGAGAATCAGTCTAGCAGTGTTGTAGTCTTCACAGGTGTGTAATCAATTGCAAAGAAAATACAGATGAACTAAATATAAAAAGGAAGGAGCACTTTTTGAAAAAAAAGCCAATTTTCTCCAACGCTGGTCGGCCGACCAGCGTTGGAAAAATGCAGTTTTTCTTGAAAATGTCAGCACACCAGGAGCCACAACTTTACAGGATGCTTTAGACTGTCATTCCCAAACAATCCAGTAAGATATTTCGTGACAATTTGATCATTTCGTTTTTTGATGTTTGCAAATGTTGTATCTTCCCTTTAAACTGAAGAATAATTGAACTGAAGAATAGTTTTAACTGGATCTGTTAATCTTAACAGAGTTAGTCAATTTCTTCTGAAGAAACCTATCCATGACTTGTCTCGTTATCTAATATTGTGTGTTATATTGGGATGTCTAAAAATTTGTCACAAACGATAATCAAATTTCTAAGGCTTGTACATACTTCTAATAATCACAGAATCTCAATGTGGTATTTTCTTGTACTTTCTTGTACATTTATTTCTTATTGAAAAACAAAACTTTGGGTGTCAAGTATGCTGCTTATCGTACTCGCATAAACTATATACGTAATATAGTCTTTAGATTAGGAAAACTTTATTTTTTCATTAAATCAGATTTTTTTATTTTGTATTCTTATGATAATTATAGTAGTGACTCTATTCAGATAAAACAATTTCTGCCAGAGAGGGAGAGAAATTATTTTTTTTTTTCGCTTATAAAGCCGATGGTATTTTTCTTAGTAGTTGTATTACAGCTTGTATTCCGTATTACCTGGAATAGATTTAAAAAAAAAAAAAAATGAATAAATACATGTAACTATAGTAACTGTTAGGGCATAATGATAACACCATAGAGTAAAATCACTGGACAGCGTCATTTGATAGTGAAATGAAACATGTATCTTTACAAGGATTTCGTCTCTAGTTGAATTAGTTAACTTTCGTAAGTGATCTATCTATATTTGATGTAGACCAATAATTGAGTTTAGATTGAATGGCTCACTATTGTTCATACATTTTTTGGTCAAAAGAACAGTTTAACGTGTCTATTAGCGATATAACCGTGATAAATTAATTTTGGGAAGGCTGTAGTATTTGAGTGACGATGCTGTTAATAAATATAATCACGTTTAACGAATGAAATCACATAAATACGGGCAGGAGAGGTCAATGTCCTTAAAGGACAGTTTACAACAATTTCGGTTCCCCACGTGGCATGTTCAAGCAAGTTTGGAAATAATTATAACGAAGGCTTAGCACTCCGACGCTACTCAAGTCGAGGGTATGACCTTTAAGCCACGCTAGATACCGGAAATCAGGTGCATTATGGTCTTAATTGTATGTGAATTTATTAATCAGTTGTGTTAAAGTGTAGCTGCTAATTATCTATTCTAATGGTGTGGTTGTAAATACACTGTGCAGTCTGCAGCTGTATCGTTAGTCGATTAAAAATCACAAAATAGTGATAGATTGTTTCGTTTGTGCTATGTTAATAATATGAAGGCCTAACCACATCTAAATTAATTATGTAGGCCTATTTGCGAAAATGGAGGGACTGACCAACCAACTGACCGAGTTCCAAGTCAGTGCCACTAGTTTCAGACTTCCCTTTTGAAAGAAGCCCAGGCCTGGCCTTTCCCCGCACCCCGGGAGGAGAATAAGAACAAGAAAAACTTTTATCTACTTCCCCCGGCTTCTCATGCCAATACGTGGAAGGTTTCGACCCATTGAAGTCAAAGTTACCCTATTATTACAATCAAACGCGTGTTTCGATCAAACAACAGACTTTCTCAAGTCTATTAGGCTGGCACTGTTGTTTTCAAGTCTTATACCTAGACTCTAACAGCAAAATGTGTTATCTCGATCTCATGCATGCAGCGGTACGGTTTGAGTTAAGCGCGCGTTATGTCCGCGATGAAGTTGTGTTCATTTCTGACTTGGAAGAGTTTCTCAAGATTACTTCGCTACGCAGGGAGGAAAGTAGGCCTACATGGACAATAGTTGCCGTCTTGATGAATATCAGGAGCATTGTTGAAACTACTTTTTGGAGTGCTAAAAGGATCAAAACTGCAGCACATTAGGCTACTTTGCGACTCCTCTAGGCGCGTACATCGTGTGCGTTTATATGAAGTGGACGCATTATGAGAAATACAAATAGAGGTAAGCCATTCGCTCAGCATTTTAACTTTCAGCTTGTGTCAAAATAATTACTTTTACCTTATTAATGCTTGCTATTTAACCACTGTGAACAATTTCGGTGTCATGAAATTTAATCCGATATTCAAAAACGATGGCATCCGGAAATTGGGCAAAAAATGGCTGAGTGTTCCCTAACGTGGCGCACTTAAATAAATCTCAGAAAATTCCAAATTAACATGTGAGAATTTATGTAAAGTTGATAAATTCTGATAAACCATTACTATCTCTACTTACATACCCAACGAGAAGTTTGTCAAGAATTTTTTCTTATTTTTGGGGGGCATTTTCAAAGGGTTCACTTTGCACTTCAAAATAAAATCGGAAAATCACGCCAAACTAATGTTTTCTTCTAACTTTGTAATGAGCGGATAAACTCGCGATTTATGAACGGGAGTGTTTAGTACTTGATGAAATTTCACTTTCTGTGAAATTTCAGTTTAAACTTTTGCTCTAACTAGGTGCTACAGACGAAAAATCATAGTGCGCCTCGTTAGGGGCCGCGCCACGTTAGGGTACATCAACAATTATGTATACTCGCGCTACATCAAAATGGCGCATTTTAAAAACTTTCGTACTTTGCTTCTCCAATTTTCAGTGTTATTGAATACATTTCGGTTGTTGGGATGTTCGAAAAAATACCTGTTGCATGTATTTTGAAATCAGTGTCTTTGCACATATTTTGCTATCAAGGTCATTTTGTGTAAAGACTGTAAATGCAAACGATAATGCTGAGAAGCTGCAGTATAAGGGATAGAAACCTTTGTGAATATGACTCAAAACATCAAGTTATAATGGAAGATGTTTTGTAGCTGCTTTACATGCATTGCATTGCAAATTCAATACCAACATTCATCATATGTTTTTATGCAACACTTTAGGAGCCAGGGCATAACCAGTAACAATCAGGTATTCTAAACTTTAAAAATGTTATCTTTATGAGTACTTTGTTAATACATCGGAATGTAAACACATTGAAAAAGTATTATGGTTTGAATTATTGTGATATATGATTTTTATTGTATATTACAATATGCATCAAGCTTATACCTTTTTCACAAGATAACTTGAATTTCTTACCCATCGTGAACGAAGTTTCCCAAGGATGTCATGACTTCAAGGCTCAACAACTGTAGTACACAATGTTTTTATTAACAAGCCTGGCTAGGCAAACAATATGATTTATAAAATCTACTTTTTTCAAAGGACGAGCCTTCAAAGGGATTCTGTTAAATATTTTTAACGTTTAAACTGAGATTTTATCGCTGCTTGATGTTTTAAGACAATTGCGATGACGATTCTTGAAATCGCATTTTTTTGGACGAGACAGGTTTTAGGGTCATTGTGTTTAGTGATATTTTCTGTACGGATTGACCAATTTCAGTCATTTTTTATCTATAAGTAGCTTATGAAATTGGCTTTTCATTCATTATTATTTTTGGTGCTACGTATTTGTTTAAATATAAATATAATTTTTGGGGTTTGGGTTCCGCTTTTTTGACTCGCCCTGTAGTATACAATATTTGTTAAAATTCTTGTAATAGATGAAATAGTGAAACAAAATCGTCACGGCAGAGGGCAGCATGTGCACTTCATGTTTGCGCAAGGTTATTCAAACTTAGTATCTAAAGCAGTTGTCATGTACGACCATGCAAGTGCTGTCAGAGCAGACTGAAGAAAATGTTCCCGGTTTCATAAATTCTCTCACTCTCACCCAAGTGCATTTGGGTTCTCACCAAAAACAGTGCTCGAGAAAATTAGCCATCTGTATTCGGGTGATTTAATCTCCTATTTGCAAGCAGATTCTTAATGGCATACAGCAGTTGGGTATTAAAGAAATGTTTATATTACTATACTAACATTCAGATTAGAAAACTAATACAATTGTATGTTTTTAAACAAAACAAAAATACAAATAAAATTCACATATATTTATACAAAGACTATTACATCCGTTAATAACGATGCACAAAATACTCCAGTTGTTTGATGTAAGGATCACAGAAATGATGTCGTTCTGTATTTGTTATTCCTTCGCATTAATGCTTGGATGTTAGAGTTTCCACAGCGTTTAAAAATGAAACTATACTAGTATTATGTACAAAGAGGACGATCACATTTTATGACTTTTGCTTCAACTGAAAGGATTATGAGTCACATAACAGCTTTTTTTGTAAAAAAAAAAACGATATAGGCCTAAATCGTTAATTTCATACTGTCGCAACCTGCCTCGCGAAATAAATGATCGT